CCTGTAAAATAATTCCTTTTGTCTAACATCACCAGGTTTGCTCGGAGGTTGTGAAATTCGACGGGCAGGTTATGTGTCATCAACTCTAAATGACCCCATGGGTAGACTTGACTTTACATCTCTCCTGAGTCCATCCTCATTTCAGGATTCAGAAGCCGGAATCACGTGATTCACTTAACAACAGGATTCCACATGATTCGCTTAACAACCATAGTGAAAAATGATTGTAAAATCTGCTCAACCACAAAGGTTGCGGTCCTATTCTGGTCATAAGCCGAGGACTATCGCGAAAGAAAGCCCGGGTTAGAGTTAGGGTTAAGCCATAGGAGACCTGTCAAATCTTGAACTCAGAACTTTTAGGGATGCGGGTTTTTAAGCACAGGGATTGGTGTGGGGGAGACATTTATGCATATATCCTTGAACCCACTGTGCTCAGCTTCTGGATAGCGGTGATGCAAGAAGCGTTTTGAATGTTGACACAAAAAAAGGAAGCAACAATGTTGTGTTGTTGAGTTGTGCAGCCAAAGACACACACTGGTGGAGAGAACCCTGCGAACTTTGAGAAAAATAAATGCAATTGCTGGTTTAAGCTCTGGTTTTTTTCTCAAATTGGAGCATTTTAAGGGGTGGACTTCAATTCTCAGAATTCCTCAGCCAGCATGCCTTAAGAAGTGTGGGGGGGGAGTGGACTTCATTTCCCAGAATTCCTCAGGCTGGCCAGCTGGGGAATTCTGGGAGTTGAAGTCCACTCTTTTTAAAATGCTCCAGTTTTTTGTTTTAAATACTAATTTAAACCTGTTGTCAATTTAGTCAAAGGCAGATTTTGGGAGACACTTAAACATGCCTGACTGGGTGGCTCAGTGGTCAAGACACTGAGCTTGTCGATCAGAAAGGTTGGCAGTTCGGCGGTTCGAATCCCTAGTACGTGAGCAGGGGGTTGGACTAGATGACCTCCAAGGTCCCTTCCAACTCCGTTAGTGTTAGTTAGTTAGTAATCAGAAATTTTTCAGGGTTACAAATTCCATTTTCTCACATTGGGGTCAAAGAAGTTGTCGCCAGCAACAAATGTGTCACAATTTCACAATGTGTTGCTTCAGCCTTCCTGCTTGTGGTTGTTGCAGTTGAAAAGTCCTGGTGAAAACCATTGTTGGAGTCCAGGCTGTTCGCTAGATTGGGTGCGCAGCCTCATTTTGGCTTCCAATGACGGGTAATCCTCAACTTACGACCAAAATGGAGCCCAAATTTTATGTCGCTAAGCGAGACAGTTGTTGAGTGAGTGTTGCCCCCTTTGGTGGCTTTCCTGGTCATTAAGCAAATCCCTGCAGTTATCAAGTTAAGTGCACGGTTGTTAAGTGAATCTGGGCTCCTCCATTGACTTAGCTTGTTGGAAGGTCGCAGAAGAGGATCATGTGAGCTCAGGACACCGCAACCGTCATAAGTATGAGACAGTTGCCAAGCGTCCGAATTTTCATCATGTGGAGGTGCAACAGTTGTAAGTGTGAAAATAGTCATAAATTACTTTTTTCAGCGCTATCGTAAATACATGATGATGCCAGTTGTTGAGCCCCTGAATCACAATCTCCTAACTGTGGGAACTCTTGAAACGGTCGTAAATACGAGGACCGTGTCCAAGTCCCTTTTTTCAGCACTAACACCGGTCACTAAATGAGCGGTCGTAAATCAAGGATTACCTGTAATCACATTCCCCGGGTTCTCTTATGATGCTTTTCAACTCTATTGATTGCGCAGAATTGCTGAATTTGCAAGTTCAGCCCTTTGCAAATGGACGAAATAATCTGAAAATCAATAAATCCCACTGTAATTCTACAAATTCTGCTCAATGAGAATTTAGCCTCAAGCCCAATGATTAGCTATTACCTGCCCCTTAGTTCCAACTATTTATTTCCTCTGGGCCAGAAATAATTGTTTTTGGGGGATGCATATTTTGCTCAGGAACCCCTACACACTTTGTTTCTTACACAATTTGTTTGTTTGTATCCCACCTTTTTATTTTTTACAAATAACTCAAGGAGGCAAACATATCCCACACAACTTCCTCGTCTTTATTTTCCACACAACAACAACTGTGCAAGGTAGGTTGGGCTGAGACAGATAGATTGGTCCCAAATCACCCTGCCGGCTTTCATACCTAAAGTGGGACTAGAACTCACTGTCTCCTGGTGATTGGCCCAAAGTCACCCAGCTGGCCTTCGTGCCTAAAGTGGGACTAGAACTCCCTGTCTCCCGGTGATTGGTCCAAAGTCACCCAGCCAGCTTTTGTACCTAAGGCAGAACTAGAACTCCCTGTCTCCTGTTTTCTAGCCTGGTGCCTTAACCACTACACCGAGCAGACTCTCTTTTGCAATCCCCGCGCCGTACTTGGGCCATAGAAGGTGTCTTAATGGTTTAAATGGTTTTAAATATTTTAATAGTCTAAACCTCCCATGATCTCCTCTCGTAAACTGAAGTCAGGACTCCAGGCTACGTATATTATCCTTATCTCGTGTTTGGATTTTAGCTGTAAATCGAAAGCTGAAAGCACAGGCGCCAGTCCCCAACAGGGTACGATGCTGTACCAGCTCTCCTGTGAGAGCTTTGTTTGCCAACAAAGATTAGCCAACTGCTTTCACTCCTGTTTTCAGTAGATGCTGGGTGCAGGGGGCACCTGAAGGTCATCTGTCCCCCAACCACCTCATTAGAGATGGGACAGAATGTCAAGGAAGCTGTGGGGACCCTCAATTTCTCCTCCACCCACCCACTCACTCACTCTGCGTTTCCTACTTGTTTGCATCTGGAGCTGGTAGCAAATGCAACATTTTAAAAGTTTTGCGTTCTCTTCCAGCCTCCAGATGCAAACAATTAGGAAATGCAGAGTGGGTGGGTGGGTGGAGGAGAAATTGAGGGTCCCCACAGCTTCCTTGACATACTGTCCCATCTCTAATTTGAAATGTTGGGATACGTTCACCAGGTTGCAAACATAGTGTTTGGGGTTTCGTTTTTTTTTACCTTTTTTGAATTAGGTTTATTGTATAATTGAAAATAAAGATAGGAGGGAAAGGAGAAAGGGAAAGAAAGAAGTCTGAGATTTGAACGTTAATATTTATTTTCTTAATATTTTAACGTTTGATCTTGCTTTTTTTAAAAAACTTAGTGGTAAAGTGAGAAAGAAACACAGGTAGTCCTCAACTTATGACCACAATGAAGCCCAACATTTCTGTTGCGAAGTGAGACATTTGTTAAGTGAGCTTTGTCCTATTTTACGGCCTTTCTTTTCCCAGTCATTAAGTGAATTACTGCAGTTGTTAAGTAAGTAACACAGTTGTTAAGCAAATCTGGCTGACTTTGATTGTCAGAAGGCCATAAGTCGAGGACTGCATGTAAAAGGGAGGGGTGGGGGGAGAAAAACATTGATTTCCGACTTTTTTCAGCACCCTAAAATATAAAGTCAAACTACAGCCTCGGATTTTAATGTTTACATGCAGGTAGATATTAACTCTTCCTGTAATAAACATCTTGTCAGCAAAAGCCAAGCACAGAACTTCAATTTTTTTTTTCTTCCTATCTTGAGCACAAAGTCCAGAAACGCTTTCCTAATAAAAGCAAAACTCGATGTGTTGTTGCAGACTCACAACAGATCTTTGACCGTGACGGCAAAAAGACATGAATTTTTTTGTGTTTTGATGAAAGAATTTTGGTTCAGGCGTCTTGTGCAAAAAAATAAAATAAAACATGGCGTCTGCTAACAGCTTTTCCAACAAACCTGTGTTATTAAAAGGTCTTCATCTTTTGTGAGCTGAGCTTCACACAATCGGGAGGCGTCTGCTAGCGCTTTTTCCCACCTACAATTTTCACAAAAAGGCGTCAGCTTCTCTGAGCTGCTGCATCAGAGGCGTAAAGTGTGTTTAAATAAGGTTGTACCAAGAGAGGAGAATATTATTTGTAGCTCAAGAATGGTGCTTGGTGCTCTCTGAGCTCGGTGGTCTTCTTGTAGACGTTTCAGGACCGGTTTAGGGAACATCATCAGGATTAGGAGGGAGTGGGGTTTGTAGAGGAGAGGTGGGGAGGAGGAGGAGGACTGTGGGATCCTTGGTGCACTCTGAGCTTGGTGGATTTCTTGCAGACGTTTCAGGACCCATCTAGGGAACATCATCAGTGCTAGAATGGAGGGAAAGTTGCAGGGAGGAGGAGAAGGAAAATGACTGTGTGGTTGAACTGGGTGTTTTTCTTGCAGATGTTTTGTGACCCAGCTAGGGAACATCATGCGTGGTAGAAGAGGAGGATGGTGTTTGGGGAGAGGAGGAGGAGGACTTGGTGGTCTCTGAACTTGGTAGTTTTCTTTTAGACATTTTTTGACCCAGCTAAAGGACATCATCAGTGCTAGAAGGGAGCGAAGTTTGCAGGGAGGAGAAGGAGGACTGTAGCATCCTTGGTGGTCTCTGAGCTTGGTCGTTTTCTTGCAGGCATTTCACGACTCTACTAGGTAACATCATCAGTGTGGTAGGAAGGAGTGAGGCTAACGCTTTTAGCAGTGATGATACTACTGAGTTGGGTTGTGAAACGTCCCAACTCAAGGAAGCAACTAAACCCAGAGAGCAGCAAGTACCCTACAGTCCTACCCCTCCTCCTCTCCATACACCCCACTCCCTTCTAGCACTGATTATGTTCCCTAGTTGGGTCATGAAACGTTTGCAACAAAACCACCAAGCTCAGAGGAGCCCCAAGGGCAGATTGTGCATGGAATGTCGGACAGATGGAGACTTCCAATAAAATCCACGAATTCAGCTAGGCGCCGCTACTGGACTCCTGGTTTTTCAAGGAAGAGACTGACGCTGAGGAAAGTTCAAAGGGGCCTCCTTGAGATCATCTGGAAGGCCTTCCTTCCTTGTCCAGTCACCTTGACAAAGATCCCAAATGGTCCTGAGCCTGGAACTGTGAAAAGGGCATCATTTCCCCCCCCCCCTGTTTCTAACTTCTATTTTATTGTGTTTTTATTTTTCTAGAAAGATTTGTCCTACCTCCAACAATGGTTAGAAGCCTTTGTGGCCAATTTTGAGAAGATCATCGCTGTCCATTCTCTGGAACCGAGAAGGTAACTTAAATGCCAAGAATTTGATTGACATCCATTGAAATAAAAATAGAATTAAAACTTTACAGATAGGCCTCAATGCATGACCCTAATTAGGACTGGAATTTCTGGTTGTTAAATGAGTCGTGTCCAATTTTTCAGGTAGTCCTCGACTTCCAACCACAATTGAGCCCCAAATTTCCACTGCTAAGCGAGACATTTGTGAATTGAGTAGTGTTTCATGACTTTTTATTGCCACCATTGTTAAGTGAAACATTGCAGTCGTTAAGTTAGTCACATGGTCATTAAGCGAATCTGGCTTCCCCATGGCTTGGCAGATGGTCACAAAAGGGGGATCACATGACCCCAGGACGCTGCAACCGCCATAAATGTGAGTCACTTACCAGGCATGTGACCGTTGGGATGCTGCAATAGTCATAAGTGTGAAAAATGGTCGTAACTGGCTTTTTTCTGTGCCATTGTAAGTTCAAATGGTCACTAAACGAATGGTTGTAAAATCGAGGACTGCCTGCAATGTCTGGAAATCAAACTGGACAGAGTCCGTTTGGTGTGGATGTGGCTATTGTTTCGGAGTGCACTTAAAACCAAGGAACCATGCAGCTAGTCCTCATGGATGCACCATTTGAATGATCCCTTGTCTTGGTCAGCCTGCGTAGGTTGACGCTTTCTTAGGCAATCTTTAAAAAAAATACTTGGCTGTTAGTTTTTCAACCATAGGGTAGTCTTCGACTTATGACCACAATGCAGACCAAAATTTCCATTGTGAAACAAAACGTTTGTTCAGTGCGTTTTGCCCCTTTGTTGTTAAGTGAATCACTGCAACTGTTAAGTTAGTAACATGGTTATTAAGTGAATCTGGCTTCCCCATTGACTTTGCTCGTCGGAAAGTCACAAAAGGGGATCACGGGACACTGCGACTGTCATAAATACGAGTCAGTTGCCAAGGATTTTGATCACGTGACCACAGGCCATTTTGATCACGTGCAACGGACATAAGTGTGAAAAATGGTTCTAAGTCACTTTTTTCCTGTGCTGTTGTAATTTCGAACCGTCACTAAACAAATTGTTGTAAGTCAAGGACTAGCTATATCCGTGACGGCGAACCTATGGCACACGTGCCACAGGTGGCCCACGGAACCATATCTCTGGGCACGCGAGAGTTGCCCTAGCCATGTGCACGCCGGCCAGCTGATTTTCGGGCCTTCCTGGGCCCACCGGAAGTCAGGAAATGGGCTGTTTTCATCCTCCTCAGGCTCCAAGAAAGCCTCTGGCGCCTGGGGAGGGCAAAAACCAGGCCTACTGGACCCACCAGTAACCTTTTTGCCGTCGCGGGCCAAAAGCGGGGGGAGTGCAGAGGGGCCACGCACACTTGCGTGCGGGGCATTGAATTGTGGGTGTGGCCACGCCCGCAACACCCCTGCACTCCCCCCTGCTTTTGGCCCGCGACGGCAAAAAGGTTAACCATCACTGGGCTATATACTTTCCCTTTAAAAAAAGGATGTTTATCTTCTAAAACCCAATTTCTGGATTTCTCTACAGCTGCCACCTCATTTTCTCCCTGGGTGTTTGTCCCTAATTTTTCTTCATTCTTCTAAACGGGGCGATTTTCCCTTTATTCGTGAGCAAAGCCTTAATAAATCTTGAATTGTGTTGTCCTTTCTCCAGCTCTGCTGGATGCTGTACATAAAGTCCGCCTCTCCTCCCAACAAGAAATTGTGTGAGAGACACAGGGAAGAAAATAACACACTCAAGGACAAAAATGGCATTTTTTTTTCTCTTTTTTTTAAAAAAAGAGAAAATACACATAAAATGTGAGTTATTTCACCAGATTTCTGCAGGGTGCTGATTGATCTCTTGCCTTTCACGAGACAGGAATCAATTCGCTGAATCAACTTTTGGGGTCAAGTTGGACCCCGTGTTTATAGGTAATCCTCAATTTACGACCACAGCTTGAGCCCAAAATTTTCACTGTTAAACAAGATCGTTTTGTTTGTCCCATTTTTTTACAGTCATTTTTTTGCCACGGTTGTTAAGCGAATCGTGTGGTTGTACAAGCAGGTCAGTCACATCACGGGCCCGTTTTACAACTGTGATGGGCAGATTCCCATTACGGCCGTAAGTTGAGGACTTATCAGAAAAGGCATTTTCCTTTGGGCTGCTTTCCATCTTTGCTACTTTGCAAATATAGGTGGATGGGACCCTGTATTTATAGGTATCCTCGATTTATGACCATAATTGAGCCCCCAAAATTTCCTTTGCTAAATGAGACATTCGTTAACTGAGTTTTCCCCCCATTTTATCTTCTTTCTGGGTACAGTTGTTAAAGGGTTCACTGCAGTTGTTAAGTTAGTAGCACGGTTGTTAAATGAATCTGGCTTCCTCGTTGACTTTGCTCATCAGGAGGTCTTAAAAGGGGATCAGGTGACACACACACACACATACACACACACACACACACACACACACACCGGGACATTGCGACCGTCATAAATACAAGTTGGTTGCCAAGAATCTGAATTTCGATCCATGATCATAGGAACACTGGGATGGTCGTAAGTGTGAAAAAGTGTCCCAAGTCATTTTTTTCAGTGCCGTTGTAACTTTGAACGGTCACTAAATGAACTGTTGTAAGTCGAGGACTACCTGTATGTCAGGCTGCAAGCCCACGTTGCAATGGTGGGTTCCACCCAGCCTCAAAAACGTGCTTAAATAGGATGGCATAGAGCAGTGATGGCTAACCTTTATGCCATTGCGTGCCAAAAGCAGGGGGGAGTGCAGGGGGGGGTCGTGTGTGCGCGTGCCCACACCCATAATTCTATGCCGCCCACCCCCCTGCGCATGTGCCCATTCACCCCGCTTTTGGCACGCGATGGCAGAGTGGGCCCGGTAGGCCCGTTTTTCGCTCTCCCCAGGCTCCAGATGTCAGCACTGGAGTGAATGCAATTTATTTGAGACGACATCATAACCTGACACCAGAGCCTTTCTAGGAGTCTGGGGAGGGCAGAAAAGGCCTTTCCCACCCTCCCGGAGGTCCTCCAGAGGCCACAGTCAGTTTCCTGACTTCCAGTGGGCCCAGAAGGCCCGAAAATCAGCTGGCCGGCGCACACATGCATGTCGGAGCTGAGCTGGCGTGCCCACCGATATCGCTCGTGCCATAGGTTCACCATCACGGGCATAGAGCCTGAGCAGGTGGGCTACCGGTTCGGGTAAACCGGTCTAAACCGGCTGAATACCTCCTCTGCTACAGTGCCTGTTATCTGTTCTTCCTTTAGGCCCGAAGACTCCGTATCTGAAATTCCACTTTTACCTCTGGACGTCTTGCAAGTGTTAACCCAACAACTGACGTCTTCGGTGTCCCAAATTTCACGCGACGAGGTAGCCGAACCTGGCTTGAAGCAAGCTCTCCTGCTCACCAAGTTCTTCATCATTATTTGCAGGTAAAACTTTTTATTTATTTTTTGTAAGCGAACTGTGTTGGTTTTTTTTTTCTCCCCACCCAAATTCAGCTCTGAATAATTTCCACCTTTTGCAAAATGAAATATTAGAGCCCAGGCTTCTTTTAGCGCCTGCGATCAAATGTGTTAGGTTGAGTTTTGATTTGTTTGGGGTTGTTGTTGTTTTTTTTGGGATGGAAGTTTTTACAAATCGCTCGAGGGAAAAAATATATATATTTTCCCCGCATAACGAAAACTCTTAATTTTTCTTTCATTTCCGAATGAAATGCAGATTTTCTGTATGAAATATAACGTAAACGTGATATTGGGAGTCCTCCTGCGTGTATTTTGATAAACCATGATTTCCTTCTGGGAATATTTGCAGAGTTTTGGCAGTTTTGCCATTTTTTTTCTCACTTAGTGATGAGATACATAGATAGTCCTCGACATACGACTGCAATGGAGCCCAAAATTTCTGTTTTCTAAGCAAGACAGATTTTAAGCGAATTTGGCCCCGTATTACGACTGTTTTTGCTACGGTTTTTAACTGAACCCCTTGCAGGGGTTAAGTTAGTCACACAATTGTTCGGGCGAATCTGGGCTTCCCGTGGATTTTGCTCGACAGAAGGTCGCAAAGGGGGGATCACGGGACACTGGGACTGTCGTAAATACGAATAGAGGCCAAATTTCGATCAAGTGATCCTTTCTCGTGTCGGGATTTGCACCCAGCTCCGAGTTGGTACAAGGTGGGCCCCAGGCTTGGTTTACAAGGTGGCCTCTCAGAGTAAACAGAATAAAAGTTGGAAGGGACCTTGGAGGTCCTCTAGTCCACCCCCTGACTCAAGCAGGAAATCCTCCTCCTTCTCCAACGAATAGGAGAGTTGGAAGGGACCTTGGAGGTCCTCTAGTCCACCCCCTGACTCAAGCAGGAAACCCTCCTCCTTCTCCAACGAATAGGAGAGTTGGAAGGGACCTTGGAGGTCCTCTAGTCCACCCCATGGCTCAAGCAAGCATTTCAGAGAACTGGCTGTCCGGTCTCTTCTTAAAATCTTCCATCTCCATCTCAAGTAGGAGCCTGAAGGCTGGGAAGTAGCTATTAGGGTCTGCAGGGATGCGGTGGGTGGCATAATTGTGATTGTGGTTGCTAAGTTACACGACACTTTGTCTGTCTAGCAGAGCGGCCTGGTGTGAAAAATCTTTTCTCAAAGGGAATGGAAAGGGCAGCCTGGTATTTCAGCAGGAGGATCTCTGCCTGGCCCCAAAGCAGTGAAAATAGGAAATTATATAATGCCTTGTGAATTTCTTCGTTTCTCTTTTTCTTTTCCCCTTCCTTTCTCCCTTTCTCCCTTTGTTCTCTTTCTTCCTTTTTTCCTTCCTTCCTTCCTTCCTTTCCCTCCCTTTCTTTCTTTTCTAATTCAATTTCTATTTCTTTCACTCTGCTTTCTTCTCATTTCCTTTTCTTTTTTCTCCCTCCCTCCCTCCTTTCCTCCTCTCTCCTTCCTTTTCTATTTCTATTATTTCTATTGCTATTTCTCCTCATTTCCTTTTCTTTCTTTCTTTCTTTCTTTCTTTCTTTCTTTCTTTCTTTCTTTCTCTCTCCTTCCTTTTTTCCTCCCTCCTCTTTCTCCCTCCTTCCTTTATTTTCTATTTCAATTTAATTTTTCCTATTTTTCTCTTCTCCTCCTTTCCTTTTTCTTTCTCTCTTTCCTTTTTTTTCTTTTCTGTTTTCTCTTTCTCTTTACCTCTCGCTTTCCTTCCCTTTTTCTTTCTTTCCTTCCTGAGGGGACCATCTAGAATCCCTCAAGAAAAGACCCCCACTCCAAATTACAGTGAAATCTCATTCTTTTTCCACTTCCCACCAAAAACATTGATTGTGTAGCTTGAAATCCCCTCCAAATCTTTACGACTATCCAAATTTGACTTCACTTTTTCATATTTTCTCCAGGGAGCTGGAAATAAATGTATTATCAAAGGGGTGATTGCTGGATAATCTTAGATAGTAGAGTTGGCTTGCTTGGAGGCTGCAAGACGGCCTTAGCAATGGTTGGAGAGTTAATCCCTTGCCTGGATTTGTTGTCTTAGTGGAGAGCTTTAGAGATGCCACTTCTCCAACCTGGTGTCCTTCCGTTGCGTTGGAAAGTCGTAATCCATATGGGTCTGGCATGGGAACCCCGGAAGTTGTCATCCTGATGCATCTGATGGGCACCAGATTGGGGAAAGGAGACTCCCTGGAAGGCCTCTCCACCACCACTGTACAGAAGTGGCCAAAATTGTGGAAACCTTTTAGGAAAAGTGTATTTTTTAAAACTAGCTAATAACACCATTTTTTTTAAGGGGGGGAGTAGTACCATAAAATTATATATCAATGGAAAGATAGTTGATAAAAAAAAAATTAAATGTATATGAAATTTTAATCTGTTCACTGCCCTGAGTCCTTTGGGAGAAGGGCGGTATAGAAATTCAATCAATCAATCAATCAATCAATCAATCAATCAATTGAATCAAGAATGTAATGCAATAACTTTTAGGAAGGATTTGCTATTAGAATAGCAGTTACAGTAGAAAGAAGAAAAGTGAAACACGTAGAAAAAATGAGATATGCAAAAATGATCCCCATGTCAGTGAATAGTTGGGTAACTTCCAGCATGAATGATGGCCTTGCCACGTCTTCCCATGGAGTGAACCAAGCCTTTTAGTTCTGCAGCTGTTCTAATGTGAAACCAAGATTGAAGGATGGCTTCTATTAACTGGGTTTTATTGCTGGGTCGCTTCTGACTAACCAGTTTCTTTAGTTGGCTCCATAGATTTTCAATTGGGTGAAGGTCTGGGCTGTTCCCAGGCCATTCCAGCAGTGGAATAGCATTATCTTGAAATTCCCCCCCAAAAAAGTGGTATTATTAACCATCAAACCTCAAAAATACATTTTTCCCAAAAGGTTTCCACAATTTTGGCCGCTACTGGATTCTCCTGTTGGTAGTCCAGCCCGGAAGCCCCTTGGCAACCTGGAGGATCAACGTGAGATGTTGGCTTCCTACCCCAAAGCCCCCACATTAAAAGTCTGCCCCTAATTCCAGAATGTGACATTCCCCAGGCCCCAAAATTTCTTTCTGAGGAATCCTATAGAAAAGCCAAGTCAAGAGAGATGGCCCTCAAAAAAGCCTCCTTAGATGCCTTCAACCTTGGACCAGGCAGGATGTCCTTCTGTTATTTCGGTTTCCATAGAAACCCATCCTCCATCCCTTCTGAGCATCTGCATCCTTAAGCTCCTTAAAAGACCCCCCTCCCCATGTCCTTTCCTTATCCCCCAAAATCTTGGAGGCTCTCAACATTCAACAGGAACTTGATCTGGCTGGAGACCATGTTCTTCAGCCCATATGCCGAAAAACTTCTTTTAGACTCTCGTTTTTTGGGGAGCGGGGAAGGTTCCTCTGCAATCTAAAGATCCATATCTGTAGGTTGTTGAGGTTTTTTTTTTTTTTGACATTTTCCATTCCTTTGGAAACCTGGAAGTTTTTTTTACTGAAGCCTTTCCAATTCTTCCACAACCCTGAAGCTACAAAGCTTGGAAGAAGATCTACTGGCCTTCTGGGTGTGGACGATAGCAGAAATTTCACATTTCCACCGACAGAGACCGGAAATAGGAATGTGCAATTTGCATCCTTGCTCAATTCGTTCCTACAAACCCCTTTTAGCGCGTGGGAGGAAAAAAAAATATTGTTTTTGACCACAGTTGCATTGAACAATTTTTTCCCTGTCTAAAAAAGTCGGCATGGTTGACCAACCTTGAGAGGTATGACTTTCCGGCCCCTCAAAAACCACAACGGCTGGACAGTGAGTGTGCAAACAATGCCCCAGGTGTGTCTCCAGATGGCCAGGTTGGATAATCAAACACGCTTTTTCAGAGGGCGGGTGAAAAATGGCAATTAAGCAACTTCACTGAGTATGCAATTCAGTCAACAGCTGAATAGTCTCTTGGAGATGAAACTCTAAACTGGGTTTTGCCATCTGCTTAAGGCTGGTTATTTCTGGGGGTGGGGAATGTTGCAGAAGTGGGTAAGGTTTGGGAGAAGAGGGCTGGCACCTTTGGATTTTTGCAAACTACCCAGTTCCTTGCTGCCAGGAAGCTTACAATTTTTAACAAACCTGAGATGTGTATTTTTAATATTATGTTTATTATTATGGTTTTATGACTACAGTTCGTCCTTGACTTACAACAGTTCATTTAGTGGCCATTCACTAAACTAAACACAACATAAAACCTCTCTTTTCTTAGCTTGGCAGGGAGTCCTTGACTTATGACCATTCATTTAGTGACTGTTCAGAGTTACAACAGTACTGGCAAAGAGGACTTATGACCGTTTTTTTATGCTTATGTTATGACCGTTGCAAGGTCCTCACTACAGTCACAGGGTCAGAATTGGCAACTGGCTCCTATTTATGATGTTTCCCGTGTCCCAAGATCACGTCCATCCCCCTTTTGTGACGTTCTGGCAAGTCAGTGGGGAAGCCAGGTTTGCTTAACGACCGTGTGTCCAATTTAACAATGGCAGTGATTCACTTGGCAAGAAGACTCATAAAAATGGGACAAAATTCGCTTCACAAATTTCTCACTTAGCAACATCAGTTCTGGGCTCCATTGTGGTCGTACATCGAGGACTACTTGTATTGTCACAGGACGTTAGCTAGTCCAAGTCAAGCTGCTGTTTGCAATTGACCGATGGGCATTTGGCCAAGAATGACAGTTTTCAATTGGTATTCCAGTTCTTTCACGATTATTCTAATTATAATAATCATTATATAGAATTCGGTTGGCTTTTTGGGTGGAGCCTGGCATGAGGTTGGCACCTCTGCAGCAATTGGAGAGGAAGCAGAAACTGAAGTATAGGGGGCCCTTGACTTACAACAATTCATTTAGTGACCATTCAAAATTTACAACATCACTGGGAAAAAAAATGACCCATGTCCTTTTTTCACAGTTACAACCTTTGAAGGATCCTCCCCCACCCCATCATATGATCAAAATTCAGATGCTTAACAACTGGTTCATACTTACGACCGTTGCTGTGTCCCCGGGGGGAGGGTGTCACGTGATCTCCTTTTGCGACCTTCTCACAAGCAAAGTCAATGGGGAAGTCAGATTCACTTAATGACTTAACGGCTTACTAACTTATCAACTGCTGAGATTCACTTAACAACCGTGGCAAGAAAGGTCGTAAAAATAGGGCAAAACTCAACTTAGTGAATGTCTCATTTAATGACGTAAATTTTGGGCTCAATTGTGGCCGCAAATCGAGGGCCACCTGTACTGAACAACGCGAATTATAAATTGAACAAACTGAAAACTGAACAACACTGAAAATTTGTTGGCGATTTGAATAAATCCCATCACAGAATCATTGAAGTTGTTAAGTGAATCAAGTGGTCATTAAATGAATCTGGCATTGACTGCTTGTCTGAAGATTGGAAAAAGGGGATCACATGATCCTGGACACAGCAACGGTCGTAAGTACGAACCAGTGGCCAAGCATCTGAATTTTTATCCCTTCCAGTGGTCGTAAAAGGGTCATAAGTCACATTTTTCAGTGGCATTGTAACCTTCGTCACTAAATGAATGGTTGTAAGTCAAGGATTGCCTGTTCTGCACATGTTTCTGAGACCTTTAAAAAAAATCTGCGACATAAACATAAAGGAATAAACATAAGGAATAAAAGCTAGAAACTGGGCCCTTGGATGGAGTAGTTCAAAAAACTTCGGCCGGTGGGAGGTTTGAAAACGCTTAAAAAATTTTTTTTTTCTTTTCTCTTACGTTTGTTTGCACCAGAGCAAAAAAGTTGGCTAGATATTTTTTTTTAAATGTCCTTTAAACTTCAGGAATCCAGTTTGAGTTTTATTCAGAAAGCTGCACCTTAAAAATAAGACGTTGGTAAAAATAAGACTAAATGTTTGCACTTTAAATATAGGAAGCTGCTTTGTTTTCCTCTCTAAAGGTGAAATCTTAAAAATAGGAAGCTGTTTTGCTGTTCACAGAAAAAGTTGCACCTTAAAGATTTCCTGCCTGAGCAGGGAGTTGAACTAGCAGACTTCCAAGGGCTGCTTCCAACTCTGTTATTCTATTCTATTAAAAAGAAGATTCTGGTTTGTTTTCCAGCCTAAATGCTGCACCTTAAAAACAGGAAGCTGGTTTGGTTTCCACCCTAAAAGTTTCACCTTAAAAATAAGAAGCTGGTTTGGTTTTCCCTCTAAAAGTTGGACCTTAAAAAGATACGAAGCTAGTTTGGTTTCTTTCCTTAAAGTTTCACCTTAAAACTAGGAAGCTGGTTTGTTTTTCACTCTAAAAGTTGCAGATGAAAATATTGAAAACTGGTTTGGATTTCTTTTCTAAAGATTAAAAATGCGCAGTCTGGTTTGTTTTCATTTTGAAAGCTGCACGATTAAAAGAAAAAAAGAACCCAAAATCAGCAAAGCACCGCTTATCATTGCCAGTTCTCAAAGATGCAATTTCCTTGAAGTCTTGCTTAGTTTATATTATGAGTTTAACAGACAAACAGATTAAATATTGCTTTGTTTCATGGCAAGGTATTTTACTGCTAAAAGTTCTCCATTATATATATAATAATGGAGAACTTATAATATAAAGTTTATTATATTAAATATTAATATAATTAATAAATATATTAATAATATAATATTATTATATTTTATATAATATAAAATAACTTTTAGCAACAGGGAACAATCTCTATGTATATATATCTATATATCTATATGTATAAAAAATATAATATGTATGGAGAAGGAACAAAATTAACCCAGGAGAACTTTTAGCCGTAGGTTACAATCAGAAAAAAGTGCCAGATAATGTCTGCCATAAATTTCTTTGATTTCAATCCCAGGGTTTAGGATCTACAGGTAGTCCTTGATTTATGACCACAATTAGAACCAAAAGGCCCATCGCTAAGTGAGGTAGTCATTAAGCAGGTCACCCTAAACTTACATCTTTTTTTTTACTGTGGTTGTAAAGTGAATCAGAGCAATTTACTGCAGTTAAGTGAATTCCCATCACCAGGAGACGATGAGTTCGAGTTCTCCCTTAGGCACAAAAGCCATCTAGGTGACCTTGGGCCATATCACCAGGTAACGGTGAGTTCTAGTCCCACCTTAGCCAGGAAAGCCAGCTGGGTGACTTTGGGCCAGTCCCTCTCTCTCTCTCTCAGCCCAATCCACCTCGCAGGGTTGTTTTTATTGGGAAAACAGAAGGAGGAAGGTGTGTCAGATACATTCACCATTTTGAGTTATTTGTAAAAAGAATAAAAGCAGGATAGAAACTTTTTAAAAATCAATACAAATAAATTATTTCCCCTTTCCCCCACTCTGACACAAAGCAGAGCTGCACTGGCCCAGCTGTACGGGACTACTGCTCCCATCGTCCCCAAACAGAACTGACAATGGGGATGATGGTCCAGCTGATCTGAAGGCATGTGCCAAGCTCTGTTTTATTTTTAACCTGACAGGAAGGGGGGCAGACAGCGCCTAGCGCTACCCGTCTTCCTGTGGGTGATGCGGTTGGTTGGTAAGCTGCTGATAAGCACCCGGAGAAGTTTAGCACAGGCGACCAAGATGGAGGATGAGGAGAGATCAGAAATGAAATGTGGGGAGGGGAGAGACCAGGAATGGAAGTCCACCACTCTTAAAGCATGCCAGTTGGGGGATTATGGGAGTGGAAGTCCTCCCCTCTTAAAGCATGTCGGCTGGGGGATTCTGGGAATGGAAGTCCTCCCCTCTTAAAGCATGCCATTGGGGGATTATGGGAGTTGAAGTCCTCCCCTCTTAAAGCATGTCAGCTGGGGGATTCTGGGAATGGAAGTCCTCCCCTCTTAAAGCATGCCAGCTGGGGGATTATGGGAGTTGAAGTCCTCCCCTCTTAAAGCATGTCAGCTGGGAGATTCTGGGAGTTGGAGTCCTCCCCTCTTAAAGCATGCCAGCTGGGGGATTCTGGGAGTTGGAGTCCTCCCCTCTTAAAGCATGCCCAGCTGGGGGATTCTGGGAGTTGGAGTCCTCCCCTCTTAAAGCATGCTGGCTGGGGGATTATGGGAGTCGAAGCCCTCCCCTCTTAAAGCATGCCGACTGGGGGATTATGGGAGCTGAAGTTCTCTCCTCTTAAAGCATGCTGCCTGGGGGATTATGGGAGTTGAAGTCCATCCCTCTTAAAGCATGTCAGCTGGGGGATTCTGGGAGTTGAAGTCCTCCCCTCTTAAAGCATGCTGGATGGGGGATTCTGGAAATGGAAGTTCTCTCCTCTTAAAGCATGCCGACTGGGGGATTATGGGAGTTGAAGTCCATCCCTCTTAAAGCATGCCGGCTGGGGGATTCTGGGAGTCAAAGTCCACTCCTCTTGAACCATAATGGATGTCCACCCCTCTTAAAGCAGGGGTCCCCAACTTAAACAACTGTCTAGGTTAGCAACAGAAATTTGGGGCTCAGTTGTGGTCATAAGTGGAGGATGCCATATCCTACTTACTAAATTCATTTCAATTTATTGCAGTCATGAACCAATCACGTTATCTGGAGCTCAATTTTGGTCATAAGCCGAGTACTCCCTGCGTAACTTCTCCCGAAGGAGAAACTGAACCTAAAAGCAATGTGCAAAATGCAATTATTACAGTTGCTATAATTACTGATTATTATTCATTACCAATATTAAAAAAAAATTATTACGTGTGTGGCATAACGATGCCAAAGTTTTGCACAAAAGTGCATTCGACACCAGATAATTTTTTCCGCTTCTCAAGGCCGCTTCTGGTTTCTTTGCAGGAATCTCGAAAACGTCCAAGCTGATCGTCCACCCCTGTTTGTCCACGAGCTGATCATTCTGCTGTCTACCTGTTCAAAACAGGTAACCATGGACTTCTGAGCCTCCTAATTTGGGTTAGGAAGGGGGCTTCACTTACAAACAAGAGACACAAGTTGGTGAAGAGAAACGTTCGTTTGATGGCTCAGTGGGAGAAACCACGTCAATCTGAGACCATCTCGCAAGGAGAAAGCTAAGCAGCTGGACAGGAGGGATGGGGGTTGGACTAGATGACCTATAAGGTCCCTTCTAACTCTGTTAATCTACTGCCTGTGTTGGGTGCCTTGCGGGGTCTTTCATGCAGAGGGTGTCCAGAAGAGCAGATGTTGGCTTGATGACACGATCAAAGCTTGTGAAACAAAACGGGGAGCTTTGATTATGTGATGGTGGCTCTCATCTGAAGTCTTGCACTCTTCGAAACCTGGGTTACGGGGCTTAATACAGGTAGTCCTCGACTTACAACAGTTCATTTAGTGACCATTCGAAGTTACAACAGCCCCGAAAAAAGTGACTTAGGCCCGTTTTTCACACTTAACGAACGTTGCAGCATCCCCGTGGTCATGTGATCAAAATTTGGATGCTTGGCAGCTGACTCATATTTATGACGGTCCCCTTTTGCGACCTTCCGATGAGCAAAGTCAATGGGGAAGCCGGATTCACTTAACGACCGTTTGACTGATTAAACAACCTCAGGGACTCACTTAAAAACTGTGGGAAGAGTGATCGTAAAATGGGGGGGGGGGAAAACTGGCTTAACGACTAGTGTTGCTTTAGCCAAAAGGAATTTGGGACTCAATTGTGGTCGTAAGTCGAGGACTACCTGTATGTTATTTAATAGCTTTATTGCAATTTAATTATGGTCATAAACCTGCAGATTGTTTACAAAATACTCCTAGTATTAAACTTGATTTTAGGCCACATCAGGGTTGTGTTTGACCTTGGAGGGGTGGGGGGGGGCGGAGGACGTGGCCGGGAGGCGTGGCCAACTTGACTTGTGTCAGAGGCGCCCGTAGCGGCCAGCGTGCTGCCAGTGAAACTGGGCTCCCGAGCTCCGTTTTCATTGGCAGAGAGTTGCAGGAGGCTGTCCCAGCTGAAAACGGTGCTCGGGAGCCCAGTTACACTGGCAGAGGCGCTGCGGGCTGGTCTTTCACTGTTTCCAGGGTGGCCCCGCAGGCCAGATTTGCAAGCAGCCCGCAAGCTGGATTCGGCCCACAGACCTTGAGTTTGATAGCGCTGTCCTAGATGGTTGTAGGATTTCCTCTAAAACCTACGACTATTTTTCAACCTCGGGAACTTGAAAATGGGCGGGTTTCAACTCCCAGAATTCCCCACCCGGCATGCTCCCTAGGGAATTCTGGGAGCTGAAGTCCACCCGTCTTCAAATTTTCAAGATTGAGAGATCCTAGGATAGAGAGTAAAAACCTTAAAAACCTACATATTAGACGGGTTGCTCCTCTATCCTGGTCCTGTTAGATCTCTCAGCGGCTTTTGATACCATCGACCATGGTATCCTGCTGCGCCGGTTGGAGGGGTGTGTGGGGGCACCGTTCTGCGGTGGTTCTCCTCCTATCTCTCCGACCGGTTGCAGTCGGTGTTGGCAGGGGGGCGGAGGTCGACCCCAAGGCGCCTTGTTTGTGGGGTGCCTCAGCGGTCGGTCCTCTCGCCCCTCCTGTTCAACATTTATGTAAAGCCGCTGGGTGAGATCATCCGTGGCTTTGGGGTGGAATTCCATCAGTACGCTGACGATACTCAGCTGTACATCTCCACCCCAGGCCACCCCAACGATGCCCTTGAAGTGATGTCCACTGGAGGCCGTGTGGATCTGGATGGGGAGTAACAGGTTTCGACTCAACCCTTCCAAGACCGAGTGGCTGTGGCTTCCGGCGTCCCGATATAGCCAGCAGGTGCCATCGCTGACTATTGGGGGCGAGTTATTGGCCCCCACAGACAGGGCTCGCAACTTGGGCGTCCTCCTGGATGCACGGCTGTCTTTAGAAGAGCATGTGACGGCTGTGGCCAGGGGGGCTTTTCATCAGGTTCGCCTGATTCGCCAGTTGCGTCCCTTTCTGGATTGGGACTCCCTACGCACGGTCACTCAAGCACTCGTCACTTCCCGCCTGGACTACTGCAATGCTCTCTACATGGGGTTCCCCTTGAGGAGCACCCGGAGGCTCCAACTGGTGCAGAATGCGGCCGCGCGGGGGATTATGGGAGCGAGGGGGCGCTCCCATGTGACACCTCTCCTGCGTGAGCTGCATTGGCTTCCAGTGGTCTTCCGGGTGCGCTTCAAGGTGTTGGTCACCACCTTTAAAGCGCTCCATGGCTTAGGACCTGGGTATTTGCGGGATCGCCTTCTGCCGCCAATAGCCTCCCACCGACCAGTACGCTCCCACAGAGAGGGACTCCTCAGGGTGCCGTCGGCCAGGCAATGTCGGCTGGCGACCCCCAGGGGGAGGGCCTTCTCTGTGGCAGCACCTGCCCTCTGGAACAATTTGCCCCCGGAGATAAGAAGGATATCGGATCTTCGGGTCTTTCGCTGTGCCCTGAAAACTCTTCTTTTCCAGCAAGCAGGGCTGGCGTGCCCCCCCCCCTTTTTTTTTTTTACTCTTTTTTAGTTTTTTAGCTTTTAAATTGTCATTGGGTTTTAATTCGAATTGTTTTAAATTTGGGCCAGTTATGTAATTCTTTTAATAATTTTAAATTTTCTATTGGTATGTGTTTTAGTTCTGGCTGTGCACCGCCCTGAGTCCACTAGGAGAAGGGCGGTATACAAATTGAAATAAATAAATAAATAAATATCCACCCACATCAGACCCCTTTCTTTCCTTTCTTCCTTCCTTCCCATCCCTCTTTTTTCCTTCTTCTTCCTCTTCCCTCTTCCTCCCTCTCTCTCTCAGTCAGTTTTCCTGCCTCCCTCCCTCCCTTCCTTCCCTCCGTCCTTCCTTCCTCCCTTCGTACTTCCTCCCCTCTTCTTCATTCCTTTCCTTTCCTTTCCTTTCCTTTCCTTTCCTTTCCTTTCCTTTCCTTTCCTTTCCTTTCCTTTCCTTTCCTTCCCCTTTCCTTTCCTTTCCTTTCCTTTCTTTCCTTCCCCTTCCTTTCCTTTCCTTTCCTTTCTTTCCTTCCCCTTCCTTTCCTTTCCTTTCCTTTCCCCTTCCCTTCCCTTCCCTTCCCATCCCTTTCCTTCCCTTCCCTTCCCTTCCCTTCCATCTTTCCTCTCCTCTCCTCTCCTCTCCTCTCCTCTCCTCTCCTCTCCTCTCCTCTCCTCTCCTCCCCTCCCCTCCCCTCCCCTCCCCTCCCCTTCCCTTCTTTCCTCTTTCTTTCCTTTCCCTTTTCCTGGCACTCGTTTCCTCTTTCTCTCCTTTCTTCTCCTTCCCTCTTTCCCTTCCTTACTCCCTCCCTTTCTTCCCCCTCTCTCTTCCTGTCTCCCTTCTTTTCCTCCCTCTCTTTTCTTTCCTCCCTCTCTCTTTCCCCTTTCCTCCCTCCTCTTCTTTCCTCCCTCCCTCTTTTCCTTCCTTTCCTACTCTCCCTCTCTCCTTCCTTTGTTCCTTCCTCCCTTCCTCTCCTCTCCTCCCCTCCCTCTGAAACCTCCTTGTTATCTTCATGGTCCATCCTGCATTTTCCTGTCTTTTGACCTCCTTGGTTAAAATAAGACTCTTTTGGGAACTTGGCTAATTGGCGGTTAACTCCCCGACAGCTCAACAGCTTCCACACGGACGCCTGGCCCCACCATCGCCAGCTGGAGACCCTCACCCTCTACGCCCTGCACCTTTGCGAGTGTCTCTTTGATCCCTACCAAACTTGGCGGAGGCAGCTGAGCGGGTGAGTAGGTCTCCGTCCTCACCCATGGGAAAGTCTCAACGGGGGAGAAGCTGTGGCTTTTAGGCAGGGGACGAGAAATGCTTGGCCACATCTGGCCAGAGGTGAATGGCCGGACCTTGTAGATTGTTTCTTGGTTGGCAGTGTGAAGTGAAGACATTCTCTGACAGGCTTGCAATGCAGTTGAGGATATTGTCTATCTCCCTAAAACCCTTCTGTCTGTTTGTCTGTCTGTAACCTTCAGTGGGGCAATACGGTGCCATGTGGGGCAACAATATTTGAACCAACAGACCTCAAATTACCGAGTGCATCCAAGATCCAAGACCCCTGATTTTTTTTGGGTGGACGGGATTGAAATTTGGCAGTGCCGCAGCCTCGTCAACGTAATCAGCTGCAATAACTTGATCATCATTTCAATAATGTTCATGATCATTTCAGTGTTCACGATGATCACTTCAATAATAAAAGCGGGGCCTCTAGGGTCCCAAAATGTTGGTCGCAACAGAGCGACTGAACAACAGCAACAATTAAATTAAAATTAAACTTTCGGTGGTTCTCTGCCACCTTCCTGCAAGGCGAGTCATTGGGGAAGCCAGCAGGCAATCGAATATATTCCAATCGTATATTCCAAGTCTTTAAAGAAATGTATAACGAAGCTGTTGTTTTTCCTATCTCTTGAGGTTGTCAAAGGCTGCCCGGGATAAGCCAATAATTTGCATGGGGCACAATCTTTTGTGGGTTTCCATGATATGGTGCAGAAGTTGGCGATACAAGTAATTCTCGGCGTATGACCAAAATTGAGCCCAAAATTCTCCATTGCTAACAAGACAGTTGTTAACTGTGTTTGGCTCCATTTTACAACTTTTCTTGCCCCGGTTGTTAAGTGAATCACTGCAATGGTTAAATTAGTCATTAGTAAATTAGTAAACAAATTTTCTCCAGTTTGTTAACGGTTGTTAAAAAATTTTGGCTTCCCCCGTTGTCAGAAGACGACAAAAGGGGATCGATCACGTGACATTGCAACCGTCATAAATATGAGTCCGTTGCCAAGTGCCCAAATTTTGATCATGTGACCGCAGGGATGCTGCAAAAGTCGTTCTTTTTCAGTGCCGTGGTAACTTCGAACGGTCACTAAATGAATTGTTGTATGTAGAGGATTACCTCTATTTGTCTTCTAAGCAAGCCAGATGTTTATTTTATTTTATTTTATTTTTATTTTTATTTGATTTATATGCCGCCCTTCTCCGGAGACTCAGGGCGGCTTACAATGTGTTAAGCAATAGCCTTCATACTTTTGTATATTTTATACAAAGTCAGCTTATTGCCCCACAAACTGGGTCCTCATTTAACCTACCTTGGAAAGGATGGAAGGCTGAGTCAACCTTGAGCCTGGGGAGATTCGAACCTGCAGAAATTACAGGCAGCTGTTGTATTTAATTCAAAACCAGATTCCTACTCCTGGCTGGGGAATTCTGGGAGTGGAAGTCCACCCATCTTCACGTGGCCACGGTTGACAGACACAGCTCTGAAGTTCTGTATGGGTCGTCCTTGACTTACGACGGCTCGCTTAACAACCCTTCAAAATTACGACCTTCCTGAAAAAAAAGGGACTTGGAAATTCAGATCTGAAGTTCTGACCGTTGTATCGGACTGACCCCTTGTGGTCATCCTTGGTTTAACGACTAGAGCGGTGTTTCTCAACCTTGGAAGCTTGAAGATGGGTGGACTTCAACTCCCAGAATCCCCCAGCCAGCAGCGCTTCCAAGGTTGAGAAACACTGGACTAGAGAATTAATTTAACGACTGCAGCGATTCAATTAACCCTCAGGGCAAAAAAGGTGACTCACTTAACAGCCGCCTCACTTAGCGACCAGCGTTCCAATCTCTATGACGGTCGTAAGTCAAGGACTACCTGTATCGCTTTCGAAGCGGCTGGGATCGACCGCTATTCCTCCCTCTAGTCCTTGTCACACAGGTTGGGCTTCGATTCCCTAGCTAGTCTGCAGCTGGGGATGATGGGATCTAAATCCGGCACATCTGGAAAGCACACTTTAAGACAACAGTTGCATATGTGGGAGAGTATTTTTCCTGCCCTAATTCGCTCGGGTTATTCCTTAACAACCTCTTTCCTTCCCCAGCTTCCCTTCCCTCTCTCTCCTTCCTTATTTAATAGTTTTTTAATAGGTTTATTTCAATTTATTATGGTCACGAAACTGCAGATTGCTTACCAGATGCTCCTAGATAGTTGTAGGATTGCCTCTAAATCGATATTTTTCCACCTCTGCAATTTTAAGATGGGTGGGCTTCAACTCCCAGAATTCCCCACCCGGCATGCTCGTTAGGGAATTCTGGGAGCTGAAGTCCACGCATCTTCAAATTGTCAAGATTGCTAGAATGCTAGAGGAGAGAATAAAAACCTTAAAACCCCACATATCCACCTTACCAGCCTGCCTGCCTTCTTTCTTTCTTTCTTTCTTTCTTTCTTTCTTTCTTTCTTTCTTTCTTTCTTTCTTTCTTTCTTTCTTTCCTTCTTCCTTTCTTCCTTCCTTCTTTCCTTTCTTTCCTTCCCTCCTTCCTTCCTTTCATTTTTCTCTTCTCCCCTCCACCCTCTCTCCCCCTCTCGCACTGTCAATTTTCCTCCCTCCCTTCCTCCCTCTCCTCCTTCCTCCTTCCTCCTCTTTTTTCCTTCCTTCCTTCCTTTCTCCCTCTCCTCCCTCTCTCCCTCCCTCTCTCTCCTTTCTTCCCTTCCTTCATTTTTCTCTTCTCCCCTTCCTCTCTCTCTCCCCCTCTCACACTATCCTTTTCCTTCCTTCCCCCTCCCTCTCCTTCCTCCCTTCCTCCTCCTCCTCCTCTTCCTTCCTTCTTCCTCCCACTCTTTCTCTCTCCCCCTCTCCTTCCTTTCTTCCTTCCTTCTTCCCTCCCTCCCTTCCTTCCCTTCCCTTCACCTTCCTTCCTCCCTCTGTCCCTCCCACCTTTTTCCTTCCTTTTCTCCCTCCTTCCAACCTCTCTTACACCTCTTTTGTGTTGTTTCCCTCCCAGGGAGATTGTGAGTGCGAAAGAGAAGAACAAATACAAGTTCGCACCAGCTGTGTTGCCTCCGGAGTTCGGTTCCTTTTTTGAAGGTATACGTGGCAGCCTCACTAAATTTCTCTCTTTCTCTCTTCCCCACCCTGCAAAAAAAAAAAATCCCCTTTCCTCTCTTTTCCTTCTTTCTATTTTTAATTGCTTTTTAATTAATCACCAAAAGAAGAGCAAAACACACAAAACCCACAGTGATTCTCAAAGAGGAGAAGGAAAACAGGTAATATTCTCGTTAAACGAGTCGATAGAGGATTGTTATTGGAACATAGGTGCTCCCTTTCTTCCTTTCAATTCCTTAAAATCAATGGAACATTATTTAATTAAAAATAATGATGGATTAAAATTAATCATGGATTAATTGCTTTTTAATTAGTAAGAAAACATGAGCAAAATGCAAAAGGAGCAGGGAGAATCCATTGTCAAAGAGAAGAAAGCAATACATCTCAAAAGGGCTTTAATAAAAAACACAGTTTTATCACTGTAAAGGTAATATTCTCATTAGACAAGCATATACAGTTAGTCCTTGATTTACGAGCCCAAGATTTCTGTTGTTAAGTGAGACATTTGTTAAGTGAGTTTTGCCCCATTGTACAACCTTTCTTGCCACAGTCGTTAAGCAAATTCCTGCAGCTGTTAAGTGTTAGTTCCTGAATCACACAGTCATTAAGCGAATCCCTGCAGCTGTTAAGTGAATCACACAGTCATTAAGTGAATCTTGCTTTCCCATTGACTTTGCTGTGTCAGAAGGTAGCTAAAGAGTGACTCCAGAACATTGCAACTGTCATAAATGTGAGTCAGTTGCCAAATGTTTGAATTCTGATGATGGGGATACTGCAACGGTCATAAGTGTGAAAAACAGTGATTTTTAAAAAAAAATCTCTTCCGCTGCTTTAAATTTACCCTCTTAAATTTTAAATTAATTTTTAAATTAGATTTTAAACTTAATTAAATTTAAATTAGATTTAAAATTTAATATAAAACTTAATATAATATAACATCAGGAGATGTTAGCTGAAGTTATCTACGTAAGGAATCTTCCCAGGCAACAGCACCTCTTCTCGCCTCATTAAACACACACACACAAAGTCACAAATGCAGGGTGGAGTAGATTTCCAAAAACCGTTGGTGCTTTTAATATTAATTATCTGCCTGCCAGGGATTTTGGGGACTTTTCTTAACTGAAAGCCCCTTGAATAGAATGCGTTTTCGCTGCATTTTTTTTCTTATTTCTAGAGACTTCTAGAAAGTTGCCAATATTGCCATCATGGTTTCTTCTTAGCTTGGGATGAACCCCTCCAAACCAGCTTTCTTGGTTAATTGGTGTACACCAGAGATTGGATATTTGCTGATAGAGAAATAAAGGGAGACTAGTATAGATCTGTTTCAAGCTATTTAGCTCTCATCAGCTAGCCATACCCTTACTCACATTCGAACTTACTCAGATCCGAATAAGGGTGTGACTAGCTGATGAGAGCTAAATAGCTTGAAATAGATCTATACTAGTCTCCCTTTATTTCTTCATCAGCAAATATAAATTTGGTATAAAATGGTTTGTCGTGAATGCGACTGCTTGAGGGCTCCTGGATTGGAGCTGAAAGGCGAAAGGGAAGCAGGATGCTCCCTCCCACATGTTGGGGTAGACCAGGTGCCTCGACAGAAAAACATTTATATATATATTTCGCTGATGAAGAAATAAAGGGAGACTAGTATAGATCTATTTCAAGCTATTTAGCTCTCATCAGCTAGCCATACCCTTACTTGGATTCGAACTTGGGCTGCCTGCATGTTAGGCAGCTGTATTAACCTCTGAGCCACAAATTCTTGGGTTTGGGCCAGGGGACAGAGATATATATATATGGGTAATCCTCATGTTACAACCATCCATTTAGCAACCATTCTAAGTTACAACAACAGTGGGAAAAAGATACAGTTTTTCACATTTAACGACCGTTGCAGCATCCCCATGGTTACATGATCAAAATTCAGATGCATGTCAACTGGCGTGTACTTACGGCGGTTGCAGAAACACAGGTTCACACTTTTGCGACCTTCTGACAAGCAAAGTCAATGGGGGAAGCCAGATTCATTTAGCAACCATGTGACTCACTTAACAACTGCAGAAAGATCGTAAAATGGGGCAAATCTCACTTAACAACTGTCTCGCTTAGCAACAGAAATGTTGGGCTCGATCGTGGTCATAAATCGAGGAATACCTGCATTAGGGAATTGTAAGCAAAAACAAATTTAAAATAAATGTAAAGTATAGCTAGTCCTCCGTTTATGGCCATTGTGGTGCCTGCCGATTATGGACGCAAGTCAGGGTGATCATAAATGCTGTTTCTGAATCTTGGCAACTTTAAAATGTGTGGGCTTCAATTCCCAGAATTCCCTGTCCAGCCATCCCTTCATCCCTCTTAAAGCATACCGTTTGAGGGATTCTGGGACTTGTAGTCTTCCCCTATTAAAGCATGCTGGCTAGGGAATTCTGGGAATTGAAGTCCACTCTTAAAAATAGCCAACATTGAGAAACACTGCATTTCACTTGAATCATTTAGTCAAGGCGGCTGGAGGTGGGTGTTTAATTATTTAATTGATTTATTTATTTTGATTTTTTTCCCCCCTACCTCACCAGAATGCTTTGAAACGGACCAAGAGCTGCCAGAATGCCTTCAGTTACGGCTAATCCACCTTTTGGGGGCTATTCTATCTGGATCCAAGGTAAGTCTTTGAACTTCTGCATTTAAAAGCCTCCAGGATCACAAAATTCTAGCGTTAGAAGGAACTCTAGAGGTCATCTAGTCCAACCCCCTATTCGGTGCTGAGTCCCAAAGCAAAGTCATTGGCTGAAACTAGATTTATTTAGATAATGACCGCACAATTCCCTTAACAACTGTTGTGATTACCTTAACCACTTTGTCAAAAAAAAGTTGCAAACTCAGATGGGACTCACTTAACAACCTGTCTTGCTTAGCAACGGAAAATCTGGTTCCCATTGTGGTCATAAATCAAGGATTACCTGTGAGGAGTGGGATGGGAGCAGGACAGTGCAGAGGTCTAACAAGAGATAGATCCACTCCTGCTTTAGCTCTTAAGAGATATGGATGGAGGGATGGAAGACCAAGAGGCGACCAAGACCATCACCAAAAACCCATTGGCCCATGTTCCACTGCCTGCATGGAGTATGTATCAGCTCTACAGAGAGATGAGGCAAAATAATTTTTTTACTTAGCTTTTCCACTTTTCTCTCCTGTTGATGATCAATCAGCTTTCCATAACTCTTTGCATACAAGAGACACCAAGTCCCATGGTTCTCAGCTGAGAAGCCAACCACTGTCCTGTTTGTGAATTCAGTGGATTGTGGTTGAGCATTGTTGAGAGGAAGCCTGTCCTTGAGGTACAGATAGTCCTCAACGTACAACCACAATTGAGCCCAACATTTCCTTTGCTACGTGAGTTTTGTCCCATTTTACAACCTTTTTGGTTGTTAAGCGAATTGCTGCAGTTGTTAAAGGAATCACGTGATCGTTAAACGAATCTGGCTCCCCCATTGACTTTGCTTGTCAGAAGATGACTAAATGAACCACTGCAGTCTTTAAATGAATCACGTCGTCATTAAGCGAATCCAGTTTCCCCCATTGACTCTGCTTGGTCACTAATGGCAGTCACAGACTAGAACTGTCATAAGTACATGCCAGTTGCCAAGCCTCCTAATTTTAAATCACGTGGCCGTGGAGATGCTGCAAAGGTCCGTAAGTGTGAGAAAAACGGTTATAAGTCTCTTTTTTCAGTGCCGTTGTAACTTTGAACAATTGCTAAACGAACGGTCGTAAGTCGAGGGCTACCTGTAGCAAGCCATCAATTCCTCCTAGCCAAACAACAGCAATAACACTTAGACTTACAGTATATACCGCTTCATAGTGTTTTAGACTAGAGCCAGGGATGGGATTCAGCCGGTTCGCACCAGTTCAGACAAACCGGATGTTAATTTGAATCTGGTTCGCCGAAATGATAGTTGTAAGGACTGGTTCACCCTGCCTGCCCCTCCCCTCCCAAGAGTCTCCATGTGTCCCATTTTGGATGCCAGGTAAGTGCAGGGCCTGCGTGGAGCCTCTGAGAGGGCGAAAATCGGGCCTACCGGAAGTATCAGAAATCCGGAAACAGGCCTCCAGAGCCCGGGAGAGGCCGTTTTCGCCCTTCCGGAGGCTCAAGGAAAGCCTCCAGAGCCTGGGGAGGGTGAAAACGCACCCACCCCACCCCGCCGTGGTGCAGGAAGCCGACTAAGCCACGCCCCCATGGCCACGCCCACCCAGCAACCAGGCAAAGAAACGGTTGCTAAAATATTTCAATCCCGCCCCTGTTTAGAGCCCTCTCTAAGCGCTTTACAGAGTCAGCCTCTTGCCCCCAACAATCTGGGTCCTCATTTTACCGACCTCGGGAGGAATGGAAGGCTGAGTCAACCTTGAGCCTGGTGAGATTCGAACTACTGGCAGTCGGCAGAGTTAGCCTGCAATACTGCATTCTAACCACGGCGCAACATGGGAGGGAGGAAGGGAGAGAAATAGCAGACTTATATACCGCTTCATAGTGCTTTTACAGCCCTCTCTAAGCGGTTTACCGAGTCAGCCTATTGCCCCCCCAACAATCTGGGTCCTCATTTTACCCATCATGGAAGGACGGAAGGCTGAGTCAACCTTGAGCCTGGTGGGATTCGAACTGCCAAATTGCAGGCAGCTGAAGTAGCTTGCAATACTGCACTCTAACCACTGCGCCACCGCGGCTCCTAACAACGCTGGTCTCCTTCTCCTCCTTATTAGCAAAATGCCCTCCAGATGATTACCCCATCGACCGTCGAGGTTCTCATGTTGGTCCTCAGGAGGTGGTGCCTTCCGGCCAGCGGACCCACGAAGGACCCCCAGTTGCTGCAGTTGACCCTCAAGAGCGTGGTGTCCATGGTTCACGTCCTCCACACCAGCAGCCCCAGCCAACGGGCCGTAGAGATACGAGCCATCTTGGACAGCTTCTTCAAGGTCCTCAACGCCGACCAACCCTTGGCCTCCTTGGAAGGATCACCCGGTCCTCACTGGGAGGAGAAGTTGATCACACTGCGGGTGAACATGCTGGGTAAGGGGGAAGAGGCCGTGGGGGGGGTCTCCTGGGCTGGAAGAGAAGGGTCTCTGCTGGATGGTGGTACGTACCGAAGTTGTCGGTGGGATTGGAAAAGAAGGTTTGTAGGCCAGGACTGAACCGTTGGGTCCTTGGTGCTCTCTGAGCTTGGTGGTTTTCTTACAGACATTTCATGACCCAACTAGGTAACATCATCAGTGCTGGAAGGGACGGTATAGAAACAGACAGCAAACCCTCCCTCCCTTCTAGCACTGATGATGTTACCTAATTGGGTCATGAAATGTCTGCAAGAAATCAACCAAGCTCAGAGAGCACCAAGGAACCACAATCCTCCTCCTCCTACTCCTCCTCACTCCCATCTAGCACTGATGATGTTACCTAGTTGGGTTATGAAACTTCTACACCAAGGACACCACAGTCATCTTCCTCCTCCTCCTCCTCTCCCCAAACCCCACTCCCTTCTAGTACTGTTGATGTACCCTATCATCCATGAGACCCCTGCAAGAAAACCTCCAAGCTCATAGAGGACCAAGGTTCCTACATTGTCCATGTCCTCACTGAAAAATCTAAGCAATCTTCCTAGGAACCTTTTGAAACATTTCTGAGATCCAAGACAAATCCGTTGTGTAGCAACAGGCTCCAAATCTCAGGTCAGAGGAGAAAGCCAGCCTGGTCCTCCCAAGATCTGAAACTGAAAGCAAATGCAGTGGTCCAGCATTAGAACCTCTCTATGGTTCTGATGTCCCAGAGAGGCCTTCTCTGAAATCTTATGGAACAGGGGTCTCCAACCTTGGCAACTTTAAGCCTTGTGGACTTCAACTCCCAGAGTTCAACTGGAGTTGTCCACAAGGCTTAAAGTTGCCAAGGTTGGAGACCCCTGTTATGGAAGATCTTCAGAATTGGGTTGGTTGGTTGCCCTAAAATTAAGCCGGTATTAGTGGACCACAAAACCAGTTGGGCTCTGCAGTGATGGGACCCATGTTTTGGTACCTTGACTCTTTCTTTGGAGTCTTCATCCCCAAGCTGGAAACAGACCTTCCTGTTTTTGGAGAACCTCAATGGAAGCGACCAATCTCCACTTAGCCATTGTGGTTGCTTGGCCAATAAGCCAACTCTAACTGGGATGCTGTTAGAAGTTCAAACCCGGGTCGTATGTACAGGTAGTCCTGGACTTACGACCACAATGGAGCCCAAAATTTCTGTTGCTGAGCGAGACAGTTTTTAAGCGAATTTTGCCCCATATGATGACCGTTTTTGCCACAGTTGTTAAGCGAATCATTGCTTTGCTCAGTTAGTAACATGGTTGTTAAGTGAATCTGGCTTTGACTCTGCTTGTCAGAAGGTCGCAAAAGGGGATCATGTGACACTGCGACCGTCATAAATATGAGTCCTTTGCCAAGCGTCTGAATTTTAATCATGTGACCAGAACGGTCGTAAGTGTGAAAAAGGGTCATAAGGTCACTTTTTCCGGCGCTGTTTTAATTTCAAACCTCCACTAAATGAATGGTTGTAAGTCAAGTACCTTTTGAGGAGTCCGTTGTAGCTTCAAATAGTGCCAAAGCCACCAGTCGTAAATTGAGGATTCATCCTGTGCGATTTCTTATTCTCCCTTTGTTTTTCTGAATGTCACCTGTCCTTTTTTCTTTTCAGATGCCATTCCGGAAATGTTGAATTCCGACGATCGTCCAGTCTTGCAGGCCATGTTCCTGAGCAACAATTGTTTTGAACACATCATACGATTGATCCAAAACAGCAAGGTAAAAAAATAATAACAAATCCAAGTTTTTCCAAACGACATTGGTGGGTTTCCTTAAATTTCAGAAAAATATTTTTTTTTCATTTTCTTCTGTTAGGGGAAAATTAAATGTATGGATGAATAATCCCTACAAAGTAGGATACTCGTGGTCCAATTTCAACTTCAGTTTTTCTACAGGTAGCCCTCGACTTATGACCACAATAAGTGAAGTGGTTGTTAAATGAGCTTTGCCCCATTTTACGACCTTTCTTGTCCATTAAGTGAATCACTGAGGTTGTTCAGTTAGCAACACTTTGTTAAGTGAATCTGGCTTCCTCATTGAGTGTCCTTGTCATAAGGTCGCAAAAGGGGATCATGTGACACACCCCTCCCAGGACACTGTGACCGTCATAAGTACGAACCAGTTGCTGAGCACCTGAATTTTGATCCCGTGATCACGGGAATGTTGCAACGGTCGTAAGTGTGAAAAACAGTCCTGAGTTCCTTTTTTCAGTGCTGTTGTAACTTTGAACGGTCACTAAATGGACGGTCGTAAGCCGAGGACTGTCTGTGCATCCTCAGAGGGGTTCCCTTAATTCCCTTCTGCCTCTAAACCATGGTGTGTATATAGTATGGGTCAAAAAAGTCAAAATGTCCAATCTGCCATTTTAGGATATTTTGAATACGCCCTACAAACATCCCTGCTGTGCTGAATACTTTATTTAAAAAAAAGTATAAGTATTTTTTATTAAGTATATTTAAGTATTTTAAGTATTAAGTATTTTTTATTTTATGATCACATTGCTCAGAACTATCTAAAAAATAGATAGTTCTGAGCAATGTGATCATAAAATAAAAAATACTTAATTACTAATTAATGAATTATTTTTATTAATAACAATAGCTAATTAATAACTAATAACTAACTAATTAATAATACTATTATTAAAGCTGGACTGTTGAAGCTGGATAAGCTCTGAGTCGGAGAAAGATTATTGCAAGATGGGAAAGTTTTCAAGCAAATTTCTCGAGGCGCAAACCATGATAAATTGGTCAGGGTTAGCATGAGAGTTAAAACTTGGGGGTTGCAAAAGAACATTAGATCCTTGCCAGGAGCAACAGGACATCCCTTAATTCCTTTGGGGTCATTAAGCAAATCTATTTTCCCCACTGGACAGGTTTTCGGGTGCAGGAAACGAGGGTTGGGTTGATGGATAACTTTTTGAACGAAAAAGAGACAGCTGACAGTTTTGCGTCCCAGATGGTTCTCCTCCCTTCGCGTTCTCCCTTCAAAAGTCCTCCGGACAGCTCGTAAATAAACCCTGATTTCTCTTTCTTCGAGGTGGCTCTGCTCTGTCTCTCTCCGGGGCTATTTTTAAACTTGGCTGTTTTTAAACAAACAAGGATCTGTCCACCTTCTACTTTGCTGGTTTTTCCATTTTAACATTCTTTGTGCACGTCCGTCCGTCATCTTATCCGGAAACTCTAACTCATTAAGACTTCTGGTTGCTACAACACAACTCCCAAATTTTCCACCAGATCCCCAATTCGGCAATCTTTACGGGTGCGGGGGGAACAATGGGGTGGGGACTAAGGTTTGGGATGGGTTCGGATGTCAGAAAGCTGCAGAGTTTGGGAATAGGGTTCGTTTGGAGGTGGTGGGGAAGCCCTATTAATTGTGGGATTATACCCTATCCTTGGTTTACAACCACAGTCCGGAACGGGATTTCCATTGCTAAGCAAGGTGGTCCTTAACTGAGTCAATTTAACAGTTGTTAAGAAATCACATGGTCATTAAGTGAAACCAGCTTCCCCTGTTGACTTTGTTGTCAGAAGCCAGCTGGGATTGCATGATTTGGCAATTCATGTACCCAAATTTTGATCCTGTGACCCTGAAGAAGGCTGCAAAGGCTGTAAGTGTGAGGACCAGTTATAACCCACTCTTTTCGGAACTCCAAACATTCACTAAGTGAATGGTTGTAAGTTGAGGACTATCTATAGATTTAGGGCAGGGATGTCAAACTCCAGGCCCGGGAACCAGATCCGGCCTGCGGGGTGCTTAGATCTGGCCAGTGGGGCCACAATGGAAACGCGAAGGACCGGCCCCCGTTGCCTCTGCCAGCGAAACGGAGGACGGGAGGGCTCCGTGCGACCCTCCCAAGCTCCGTTTTCAGTGGCAGGGGGTTGCAGGGGTCATCGCAGCCGAAAACTGAGCTCGGGAGCCCATTTTCGCTGGCAGCATTCGGGCCACCACAGCCCCCCTCCCCCCACGACACCAGTGACGTCAAGCTGGCCACCCCCCCCAAGACCCCTGATGTGGCCCTCAATGAAATGGAGTTTGACACCCCTGGATTAGGAGGGTCTTTTCCTTCCTTCCTTCCTTCCTTCCTTCCCTTCCTTCCTTCCTTCCTTCCTTCCTTCCTTTCCTTCCTTCCTCCTTCATTCTGTCTGTCTTCTGGTCTGTCCTGTTCCTGTCTGCCTGTCTGTCATTTGTCATTTCACTTTCCTTCCATCCTTCCTACCCATTCCATCTATCTATCCCTCTCTATATTTCGTTTGTTCCTTCCTTCCTTCCTTCCTTCCTTCCTTCCATCCTTCCTTCCTTCCTTCCTTCCTTCCTTCCTTCCTTCCTAGGTTCCTTCCTTCCTTCCTAGGTTCCTTCCTTCCTTCCTTCCTTCCTTCCTTCCTTCCTTCCTTCCTTCCTTCCTTCCTTCCTTCCTTGGTTCCTTCCTTCCTTCCTTCCTTCCTAGGTTCCTTCCTTCCTTCCTTCCTTCCTTCCTAGGTTCCTTCCTTCCTTCCTTCCTTCCTCCTTGGGTCTTGTGTGGCCTCTCTGTCCGAGCTCCGTTTTCACTGGCAGAGGGCTGCAGGAGTCTATTGCAGACAAAAATGAGTGACATTGAGCTGGCCACGCCTAGCCTGGCTGTGACCCTCCACAAAATCGAGTTTGACATCCCCCATTTAAGAGGTCCTTGGGCCTCTGTGCATCTTGACCAGCCCAAAATTCTGCTACTCCAAAGTCCCTTCTGACTCTGGTATTCTGTCCAGTTTGAGTTGTGTGGAAACAAGAGAGTATTTGTAACTCAGGGTTAGTGTTCTCTGAGTTGGGTGGTTTTATTGCAGGCATTTCATGACCCAACTAGGGAACGTCATCTAGAAGGGAGGGGGATTAGGAGGAGGAGGAGGAAGAAGGAGAAGGAGATGGAGAAGGAGAAGGAGGAGACTGTGGGTTCCTTGGTGTTCTCTGATCTTGGTGGTTTTATTGCAAACATTTCATGGCCCAACTAGGTAACATCATCAGTGGTAGAAGGGGTGGTGAGTTTTTGGAAAAGAGAAGGATAGGAGGAAGAGGAGAAGGACTGTGAGATCCTTGGTGCTCTCTGAGCTTGGTGGCTTTGGGGATCAAGGAATTATGAAGACCACTCCCACGAATATTGCTAGCGCAAGCCACTAGTATATAAAAAGACAGCCAAACCCCCTTCCTTCTAGCACTGATGATATTATCTAGTTGGGTCATGAAATGTCTGCAAGAAAACCACTAAGCTCAGAGACCCTACAGTCCTCCTCCTCCTACTCCTCTCTGCAACCCCCACTCCCTTCTAGCACTGATCATGTTCCCTAGTTGGGTCATGAGAGGTCTACAAGAAAACCACCCAACTCAGAGAGCACCCAGGACCCCACAATCCCTCCTCTTCCTCCCACTCCCACTCCTCCTCCCTTTAAATCCTCCCTCCCTCCCTTTTAGCACTGATGACGTTCCGTAGTTGGGTCGTGAGAGGTCTGCAAGAAAACCACCCAGCTCAGAAGGCACCAAGGACCCCACAGTTAATCCCTGAGCTTCAAACTTTCTCTCCCATCTTGAAAGCATTTTAGTCTGCAGAGAGCTTTGTTCCCTTCCAAAACTGCTGGGCAGGTGCTGGGCTCTGCTCTCTGTGCCCCCGGGGCCCAGTCGCCGGGTCCTTCCTTTTCTGGGGAGACCCTCCTCTCTCCCCCATTGGCCCCTCCGGAATGACCCTGCTTTTTTGACCCCATTTCCGACAGCTCCACCTGAGCAGGGAGTGCAAAGCACCTGCAAGGGATCTGGCCACACGGCTGCTGACTGAGATGGAGACCTGTCAGGTATAGCCTCCTGCTGCTTCTCGTGGTGTGGCAGGGGCGCATGGGGGCTGCATGGGGGCTGCTCTCTTTTCACGCGCGGGGGAGGGGCGTTCCACCAGCTTTTGCACGCTTCTCACGAATGGGAGGGGTGGCATTTGGAAACCTGCACGGGGGGGGGGGGAAACACTGGGGAAGGTCTTGAAATGAGGGAGGGAGGGAAGGTGGGAGGAAGGAAGGAAGGAATAATGAAAGAATGGAGGGAAGGACGGAGGAAGGAAGGAAGGAGAAAGAAATAATGAAAGGAGGGAGGGAGGGAGGGAGGAGAAAGAAATAATGAAAGAGGAGAGGAAGGGAGGGAAGGTGAGAAAAGGGAAGAAAAGAGGGAGGGAGGAAGGAAGAAAAGGAAAGGAAAGAGGAGAAGGAAAGAGGAAAGAAGGAATCAAAGAGAAAGGGAGGAAGGAAGAAAAAGAGGGAGGGAGGGAGGACTCGGAGGTATGAGAAAGAATGAAAGAAAGAAGGGAGGAAGGAAGGAAGGAGAAAGAAATAATGAAAGAATGGAGGGAGGGACGGAGGAAGGAAGAAAGGAAAAAGAATGAATGAAAGAGGAGAGAGTATGGGGGAGAGGGAAGGAAAGAGGGAGGGAGGGAGGGAGGATAGTAGGAAGGAAGAAGAGGAAAGAAGGAATCAAAGAGGGAGGAAGGAAGGAAGAAGAGGGAGGGAGGAAGAAGAAAAGAGGGAGGGAGGGAAGGAGGAAGGATAGGGAGGAAGGAGAAAGAAAGAATGAAAGGAAGGAAGGAAGAAGAAAGAAAGAATGAAAGAATGGAGGGAAAGAGGAAGAGAAAGAAAGGGAGGAAAGAAGGAGAAACAAAGAATGAAAGAGGAGAGAGGAAGGGAGGAGGATGGAAGGAAGGAAGAAAAGGAAAGAAGGAAAAAAGGAGAGGGAGAAAGGAAGGAGGAAAGAAGGAATCAAAGAGGGAGGGAGGTAAGAAGGAAGGAAGTAAACAATAGTTTGCAGCAAAAAATATCATAAATCATTGTCAATTGATCATGAAACACTCCAAACAGTTATAAGTGCCAGTCAGTTGCCAAATGCCCAAAATATGATCATTTGACCACAGGGCAGGGGGAGGGGCAGCCAATTTCAGATCTGGATCATAAATACCTTTGGGGGAGGTCCATCATACCTTTGAACAGATGCACAGCCAAACAGTCGTAAATCGAGGACTGCCTGCAAAGAGATAATCAAGGCTGCCTCCTGCTGGTAGTAGTAGGAGAGACCCCTGCCTCTAAAACCAATCATTCCCACGCCCTCTGACCCCCCCCTCCCAGGGGTGGACCTACTCTGGACCCATTATTTCTGCAATCCAAAATTGCATATTATATTATATTATTATTATTATTATTATTATTATTATTATTATTATTATTATTATTATTATTATTATTATTATTATTTTTAAGAGTCCGATAAAATGACCTGCAAATGCTTGTCCCTTTTAATAACTTGTATTCATTGGGAGCTGGACTCCCGGGGTGAGACTTGAACCCGGCACCCCTCCTTACAACAAGGAGGGAAAAATTGCAAAATTTGAGACCCCAAACAGGACCCCTATATATACCATCCATTTCAAATCATCAGGGGATGGTTTTGGAGTTTTGCAAGCAACGGAGGCAGAAATTCGCATCCTTCCTCGATCTGACGGCTTACAAAATTTGCAATTGCCGTTGAAAAATTTAGTCCTAAAATAAACCATGGTTTGCACACTTTTGCTCTGGTTTGTCCCTGCCAAGAAATTCAAACTTTCTCCTCTGGATTGAGAACCATATTTGTTCCACCACATTCAGAGAAAGGAGTCGGTCGGTAAACAGCATACAGGTAGTCCTCGAGTTACGACCACAATGGAGCCCAAAACTGTGTCTTGTTAAGCAGGGCATTTTTAAAAGTGAGTTTTGCCCCACTTTACAACTTTCCCTGCCACAGTTGTTAAGTGAAGCACAAAAGTTCTTAGTCACATGGTCATTAAGTGAATCTGGCTTTCCTATTGATTATGCGGGTCGGATGGTCGCAAAAGAGGATTGCGTGTCCCCCCAGAACCGTCATAAATAAGAGCCAGTTGCCAAGCATCTAAAATTTTATCCTATGACCTATGGGGATGCTGCAACAGTCATAAGTGTGAAAAAACCATCATCCCTTTTTACAGTGCTGTTGTAAATGAACTGTTACTGTTCACTTACACTGAGTGTAAATGAACACTCAATGAACTGTTGTAAGTTGAGGACTCCCTGTAATTGCTGAGAACAAACCAGGATCTTGGCGGTTCTTTGCCTCTTCCTAAATCGCATTCACAGAGACTTCAGCCCCAAATAAATGGAAAGAAAAGGAGTGGATATTTATTTCAGCTTGTTCCGATCTGGGGAAAACCATGGTTATCTGAATTAAAGCCGCAAACATTTCCGAGCTTGCTGGGATCTGCATGTGACCCATTAAACAAACAGAATTCCTTTCCTCCTGCCGGTTTTGGTAGCCAGGGAAACTGAGGGACGCTTTTGAAAGTTGGCTGGCTAAAAAAGAAAGGAAAAAACATCTAGGCAACATCTGGGTGAAACTGACCGGGAGCTTGTCTGTGGAGGGGAAAAAGCAATTAAGCATCCTTTCGTCGGGAAAGGAAAGGGGTGATCTCAGCTTAGCATCTTGACAAGTTTTCCTAGTTTTCAGGACATTTGCACGTAGTCCTCGGCTTACGACCACAATGGAGCTCAAGATTTCCATTGGTAAATGAGACGGTTGCTAAGTGAGTTTTGCCCCATTTTATGACCATTCTTACCACCGTTGTTAAGCAAATCCTTGTAATTTTGTTAAACTATTCACACAATTGATTATTAGCTCACGACCAGATTTTCTGTTCCTAAGTAAACCGACTGTTAAGTCAGTGGTGCCTGATTTTACAACAACTTTCTTGCCACGGTCGTTAAGCGAGTCATTGCAGTTGTTAAGTTAGGAACGCGGTTGTTAAGTGAATCTGGCTTCCCCATTGACCATGCTTGTCAAAAGGTCACAAAAAGCGATCACTTGACCCCAGGATGCTGCAACGGTCATAAATATGAGTCAGTTGCCAGGCATCCGAATTTTTCTGATGCCAGGGATGTCGCAACCAATATAAATAGGCAGCAGTTTGCTGAGCCTCAAATTTTGATCTCGCCACAGTGGCGATGCTGCAACGGTCATAAGTGTGAGGACAGATCATAAGTCGCTTTTCTTAAAAGGGGTGTTGCCTTTTGGAATCGTTGCAAAACAAAACGGTTGTAAGCCGAGGACTTCCATTTGTAGCTGAACCTATAATAATGGTGTTTCTCTGCCCCCTGCTGTTTTTAATTTTCATTTATGGATGAACACTTTTTGCTGTTTTAATATTCGTTTTTGTGTTCCATGGGCGCTGCAGCTTAATTTAATTTTTTGCAGAGTTAATGGCTTTGCTTCCTTGTCAGAAACTGGTGTTTGTGTGAGGGGCTGCGTAGTTGTAGGTTTTGTGGTGCTTTGTCCCTCTTGATGAAACATTTCCGACTCCGACTTAATTTTCTGACGGAAAGCATGAAGTAAAAAAATGTCTGGGTGCTTTTTTTAATTTCAGGTAGTCCTCGACTTATGACCACAACTGAGCCCCGAATTTATGTCACTAAACGAGAGAGTTGTTAAGTGAATTTTGCCCCGCTGTACGACCTTCCTCGCCAAGGTTGTTAAAGGGAACCACTGCAGTTTTTAAGTTAGGAACATGGTCGTTAAGCGAATCTGGCTTCCCCATTGACTCTGCTTGTCAGAAGGTCGCAAAAGGGGATCACGTAACCGTCGTAAATACGAGTCGGTTGCCAAGCATCTGAATTCTGATCACGTGACCATGGGGACACTGTAACGGTCGTTAAGTGTGAAAAACTATCGTTAGTCACTTTTTTCAGTGCTGTTGTAACTTAGAACTTTCACCAAGCAAACTGTCGTAAGTCGAAGACTACCTGTATTCCCTACCTCTATCTCTCCTCTTCCAGGTTTATTTTATTTTATTGTTTATTTTATTTGTACCCCGCCTTTATAATTATAATTGCAAATAATTCAAGGTGGTGAACGCATCTAAGACGCCTTCCTCCTCCTCCTCCTCCCGTTTTACCTAAAACAACGACCCTATGAGGTAGGCCGGGCTCAGAGAAAGTGACCAGACCAAGGACATCCAGCTGGGTTTCATGACTAACGCAGGACTTGAACTCAGGGTCTTCTGCTCCTTTTGAACACCCACTGGAAGTTCTTGAGATGTTCGTCCACCCATGAGAATTTTTGTCATTTTGGGGTGATGAGACCCTTTTCTCTCCCCTCCCCCCTTCCAGGTTTTTGACAACAGTTCGGACGCCATTCCAATTCACGCCATTGGGGTCCTCACCTCCATCATGGCTACGTCTCCCGCTGCTAAGGTAAGAGTCCAGAGACACACAACCTCCCCCACCCCACTCCTTTATGTCTGAAGACCCCAGAATGGTGAGAGCCATGCAGGCTGGCCATCTCTGTTGTGTCTTCACCCCAAAGCGAAATGGGGGAACAGGGTACAGGAAGCGAAGACAAGGAAAATCAGCTTGCAGGCCAGCAGAACTGCCTTGGTGGGGTCCTTGGTGGTCTCCAAGCTTGGTGGTTTTCTTGGTAGACGTTTCACGACCCAACTAGAGAACGTTATCAGTGCTCGAAGAGACTGCAGATAAATAGGGAATAACCCACCCTTCTTTCTGATGATGTTCCCTAGTTGGGTCATGAAATGGAAAGAAAATCACCAAACTCAGAGACCACCAAGGACAGTCCTCCTCCTCCTCCTCCTCCTCCTCCTCCTTCTCCTCCTCCTCCTCTCCACAAACCCCACTCCCTTCTAGCACTGATCATGTTATCTAGTTGGCTCATGAAACACCTGCAAGCAAACAGCCAAGCTCAGAGAGCATCAAGGACCCTACAGTACAACTCTGAGCTGTAAAGATTAACTTCTATTGAGATGGATGAGGGAGGGAGGGAGGGAGGGAGAGATGGAGGAATGGAGGCATGCATGATTAGAAGGATTGGATGGATGGCTTGATGGGTATATTGAGAGAAAGAGAGAGAGATGATTGGAGAGAGAGGGAGAGAGAGAGAAAAGCGGATGGATGGATGGATGGATGGATGGATGGATGGAGGGATGTGGGGGGGGCAAGTGGGTAGACAGACAGACACAGACAGATAGATGATTGGATGGATAGATGGATGGATGGATGGATGGATGGATAGATGGATGGATGGATGGATGGATGGATGGATGGATGGATGGGCGGGCAAGTGGGCAGACAGACAGACACAGACAGACACAGACAGATAAATAGATGATTGGATGGATGGATGGATGGATGGATGGATGGATGGATGGATGGATGTGGGGGGGCAAGTGGGTAGACAGACAGACACAGACAGATAGATGATTGGATGGATGAATGGATGGATGGATGAGCAAGTGGGCAGACAGACAGACAGACACAGACAGACAGATAAATGATTGGATGGATGGATGGATGGATGGATGGATGGATGGATGGATGGATGGATGGATATGGGGGGGGCAAGTGGACAGACAGATAGATGATTGGATGGATGGATGAATGGATGGGCAAGTGGGCGGATAGACAGGCAGACAGAGACAGACAGACAGATAGACAGACAGATGATTGGATGGATGGATGGAGAGACACAGAGAGAGAGAGAGAGAGAGAGAGACTTCCTGAAGTTTGCAAAATGACCCACCATGGTCTGATTGGATCTAGCCCACGTTAACTGCCAATTGTCTTCTCCAGGAGGTCTTCAAAGAAAGGATTGGCTACTCCCACCTCTACGAGGTCCTGAAGAGCCAGAGTCAGCCCACCAAGAAACTGCTTCAGCAGCTCCTCAACATGGTGAGGACGTCGCACTTTCCGATTTGGGGAGCCGAGAAACAATGCCACTCTTCTTTGTTTCTACAAAGTCCATGCTTTTTACATCTGGCCCTCCAAAACTAAAGAGGCTTTTTTGGGCCCTAGCCATAGTCCAAAAATGGTTTGCTGATGGCTTTTTTTGTTTGTTTGTTTGTTTATTGTTGTTTTTGCAAACTGCTTAACTCCCGTTTCCAGTGCAGCCTATTGCTTTAGGATTTCCAGGTGGTCTCCTTTCCCAATCCCACTTATCCTTTTTTTCAAGGTCAAAATTGAATTGAATTAGAATAGAATAGAATAGGGATAGAATTAAATTAGGGATAGAATTGAGTTAGAATCAAAATTAGATCAGAATTAATTCTGATTCTGATTGCCGTAGAATTGTTAAATTAGAACTACGTCTAGCATTGGAATTAGAATTGAATTAGAATTAAAAAGGTTCAGATTAGAATCGGATTGGAATTGAATTAGAATTATTGAATTAGACATTCCTATTCCAGCAGGCCAGCCTGACCTAACCTCTCTTTTAAACTGTTTTTAAAATTTTTAAAATTTGTCTTATAATTTGGGGTGTTTTAAATTTCGTTTCTGGGCCAAATTATTTAATTGTATTTTAATGGTTTTTTAACATTTGTATTATATGTATTTTATTTTGTCTGTTCACCGCCCTGAGTCCTTCGGGAGTAGGGCGGTATACAAATTCAATAAATAAAATAAAATAAAATAAAATAAAATAAAATAAAATAAAATAAATAAATAAATAAATAAATAAATAAATAAATAAATAAATAAATGTTGAATCAAATTCAATTAGAATTCAAATTCAGTTAGAACTATTGAATTAGAATGAGGATTAAAATTAGAATTGAAATCAGAATCAAAATCAGAATTAGAATTAGAACTTAATTAGAATTATTGAACTAGAATTAGAACTGAATTAAAATCAGAGTCAGAATTAGCCATAACTCACCGTCAGACCTGTGACCCTTTTCCCAGGCTGTTGAAGGGGACCACACCGCCTCGCCTCCGCGCCTCATCCACAACGAGCAGCCGCTACTGATCCTGACTCAGTGGATTCCCGAACTCACCTCCCGGGACCTCCAGATCTTCCTTTCGGAGTGGCTGAAGAAAATCTGCAACGCTTCTCTCCAGAGCCGCACCACCTGCGTCCGGGCGGGCATGGTGGGTTACCTGTTGGACACGCTGAGCGCCGCGCAGCAGAATCTTGACCGCAAATGCACCGAGAACCTCGTCGACTTGCTGCAAGTGCTCGGCGGTCTCTCGATCCGTCCGGGCGAGTTACGGCAGTTGCTGAAACTCCTCCGGACCGAGAATGGCGCAGGTTGTCACCCGTACACTGTGCAAGTCGTGCGAGCTCTTTCGGGGATGGCGCGCAAGGAAGGACCCGAGCGGGCACTGCAGTATTTCGACCTGACGCCCAGCATGGCGGGAATCATGGTGCCCACCATCCAGAAGTGGCCTGGGGTTGGCTTTGCCTTCCACGCCTGGCTGTGTCTCCTGACTGAAGAAACCAAGGACGCTCCGGAGGAAACTGGCCGACTGAAGCGGAAACAATTGTACAGGTGGGAGCGCCTGGCGCACATAGGCAGTGTGGCATGACACCTGTCTTTCATGCTCCGAAGGGGATTGGGAAACCCAACCTCTAGGTAATGGAGAGGGTTGAAGTTTCTCCACCTTGGCAACTTTAAGAGGGGTGGACTTCCACTCCCAGAATCCCCCAGCCATGATGCTTTAAGAGGGGAGGACTTCAACTCCCAGAATCCCCCAGCCAGCAAGCTTTAAGAGGGGAGGACTTCAACTCCCAGAATCCCCCAGCCAGCATGCTTTAAAAGGGGTGGACCGATCTCAGAATTCTCCAGTCAGCATGGCAGCCTGGGGAATTCTGGGAGTTGAAATCCAGCTACCTTAAAGTTGCCAAAGCCAGAAACACAACCCTAAACTAACATTACTAACCATGATTAAAAAGGCAAGCAGCTTGCTCCATTCTGCTGGAGAAAGTCTATTGTCCACTTAGTTTTGGAAATAGGACTTCTTTATCTGCTCAGGTAAATCTAAAAACCTGCAGCAAAGATGACCTCAGGTGAGTTCCTTCCTTCCGATCACCCACCTGTCCTTCCTTCCCATCCCACACAGCTTCTTCACAGCCAGCGGGACCGGCTTCGAAGCCTTCTTCACCACGGAGGGCATGTTGGTGGTAGCCGTTTGCACCAAGAAGGAGTATATGACGGTCGCTCTGCCAGAGATTCACTTCAACGACGCAGCCTGGGTGAGCGATGGATGGGCTGGGCAGGTTTGGGGTGTCCGGGAACAAAATCTGGGGGTCCCCGAGGTGCCCCACACTCCAGGTGCTGGATACTTGTAGCTGAGTCAGATCCCCTCCAGTGATTTTAGACAACAATTAGTCTGGGATTAACCAAGATTGTACCCAGAAAGCTTATCTGGATATCCCCCAAAAGCTATAAATTTGGGGTACCATTTTGTTGCAGGGAGGATGCAGGAATATCTACAGGGGGGCAAAGAAATCAAGATAGCATCTCTGGCCAATTAAAGACACATAAGAATAATTGCCCCTATCTTTGGGGGAGGGGCCTTATATGGGGGAACCACAAAGAACCCCCCCCTCTAAATATCTAACCAGCACTGATCAGTTTAGGAAGCTTAACAGGAATTTTAAACTTTGGAGGGCTTGTTTTTAATGGAGTCAAGAAAATTACAGGTACGCCTCAATTTACAACCATTCATTTAGTGACTGTTCAAAATTGCAAAGGCACTAAAAAGACTGACTTAATGACCAGTACTTGCACTTATGACCATCACAGCCTTCCCACAGTCCCATAATTGAAATTTTGACGCTTGACAACATGGTAACAGCGTCCCCCAATCCTATGATCGCCGTTTGCGACCTTCCCAGCTGGCTTCGGATGAGCAAAGTCAATGAGGGAAGCTGGATTCACTTAATGACCGCATGATTCATTTAACAACTGCAATTTATTTATTTAGAAATTCTATATGGCCACCCACTCACTCTCGGTGACCCTGGACGTCTTGTTTTCCTTAACAACGAAATGTCGTAAAATCGGATACAGCTAAAAACCTCCTTGTTTAGTAGTGCAAATTCAGGTCCCAATTGTGGTCGTAAATCGAGGCCTACCGCTTGGAGATCGTATCTCTTGAAAAGTATCCGCTTGGCCGATAGTTTTCCGAATCGACCCGTGTTTTGTCCCTAATGCTTTTCATCGCCTTTCCATTCTGTATCCACAACTTGACAAACATCGCGGTTCCGTTGGAGTGAAATCACTAATCTTTGCTTCCTTTTGTCGCTAGCATTGCGTTGATGTCGTCCACATTGTGGGCCGCCGGCTGTTCAGTCAGAACGTGGTGAACATTTTCGTAGATGGTCAGCTCCAGAAATTCGCCCAGCTGCGTTTCCCGTCCCTTGGCGAGGTACGTTGTCCTCGGATCACGCCGTACAATTTTATGGATCTGTAAAAATTGCACCCAAGGAGGACGCGGACAGCCAGGGGATCGTTAAAACCAGTACTACCGGTGACAGCTTTAAGGAAAACCGGTGGTATCCATCTATCAGCAATCTTATCTATCACATTCGTTCCTTCGAAGGGAACTAGGACAGGAGTGTCAAACTCGATTTCATTGAGGGCCGCATCAGGGTTGTGTTTGACCTCGGGGGGACAGAGAGGGTGTGGCCAGGGTGGGCATGGCCAGCTCGAAGTCACTCAGGTCGGGGGCACCTGTGGTGGCCTGAGCACTCTGCCAACGAAAACGGGCTCCCGAGTTCGCTCTTCAGCTGCAACGGCTTCTGATCTGTCCCCGTCCACACACACACACAAACACAGCCAGCCGAGGGTTAAGGAAGCACTTGGAACACACCCAGGTCTTTATCTCCAACTTGACAGCGATATACACACCGTCTGCCAAGTGCTTTTATTTCCACAGAAAACAGAAAGATAATATACTCAGCGTACAAGAGTCCAACAAAAATAAATATTCCTCTCAGCAGTTTCGGACGAGGCTTTAGTGACTATCCAAGGTTTATTTTTGTTCGTCACAGGGATCACTGGCCACCACCCTCTATTATATAGTCTCTGGGGTGTGGTCCAGTGACTCAGTTCTAATCCCTAGCACGCCTCCTGAGCTGCTGCAATCGTTTATCACACCTTCGGAGGCGTGCGTCCAGGAATGATGTCTCTCCTTCACTTTCATCCGAGACACCTGTCTCCCTGCTAATCTCCTCTCCCTCGGCCGGCACCTGAGACAGTGCCAGAGGGGAGGGGCCTGGAGAGGGAGGCCTGGCTGACTCCTCTTCCTCATGCTCGGAGCTTTCTTCCTCCGATGGGACAGGCTCAGAGGGCGGGGCCACAACAGCTTCCTGTAACCCTCTGCCAGTGAAAACAGAGCTCCGTTTTCTCTGGCAGAGGCACTGTGGGCCGGTCCTTCGCTGTTTCCAAGGTGGCCCCATAGGCCAAATCTAAGCACCCTGTGGGACAGATCTTGAGTTTGACCCCTAATCTAGGACAACTGGCCACGACCAATTCGTTGCATTCAACTTACTGCAGGACAATCCAAGACTGTATTAATCATTTCTTTCAGTTACTTTTATTATTTTCGTTTTCATCGAAATTATTGTAACTCTTGTATTTCTGAATTGGCGTTATTTTATTATTATCGGCCACGGTTCTGCCGAAATTCTGCTAAGTTTTGTGTTTTTGTTGAATTGTCCTGTGGCGAGTTGGCTGTAGCGAGTTGATCTACAGCCAGCTGTCCGTGGCCAGTTGTCCCATTCCACCTTCCAAGATCCCACAAAAACCATCTTCAAGAGCAACGTTGGTGGAGATGTCCCGTACAGATGATCCTTAACATACAACCGATTGCTTAACAACCCACTGAAGTTACAGCAGATCTCAAAAATTGTGGCTTTCGACGCAGATCCTAAGTTCCAATAGTCACTCCCCGTGATGGTGAACCTATGCCACGCGTGCCACAGGTGGCACTCTTATCCATAATCAGTGGGCAAGCGAGCTCAGTCCTGTTCTGCCCCAGCTACGGACCCCAAAGAACGCAGCACACACAACCTCTATACAAAGCTTATTTTACTCAAATAACTTAGTCTTTATCATTCAAAGGCTGTTCATGAACTGTCTTAACAGCCCACCAGAATTCTAAGATAAGGTAATCACAGTCTTACTAGAGTTGGCAGAAAGCCCAGAAGCAATTTGCAGAGAATCCAGACGCCAAGGAGAGAGAACTAAAGTTGTTCCCTACAAATTGCTTCAGTCGGTGTTCCTCCTTAAATAGGCTAAGGGAGTGGCCAATTAGCCCCAAGCCTTACTCTCAAGGAGACCTCCTCCTGAGGAGCCACTCCTGCCTTTTGGCAGCTCTGCGCGCCCATGCATTGAGAGGAGGCTCCTCCTCTTCGTCCTCTTCACTTATGGGAGCTTCTGGAGGTTCTGAAGGCCCTGGCTGAATCCCCGCCTCTGGCACCACATCTTCTCCAGCCTCCTCATTGTCCGACTTGAGCGCCAGCTGCACAGGCTGCTGGCGCAGCACCACACCAGCCTCCTCATTGTCGGAATCAGCTACAATCTGCACAGGCCACTGACGGGCCACAACAGCTCCAGCTGAGGGGCCAGAAGTTGTCAAACGGGGTGTTTCTGGCCTCCAGAGGACCTCCGGGGGGGTGGGGGAGGCTGTTTTCGCCCTCTCCAGACTCCTAGAGAGGCCCTGGAGGGTGGGGACAGCAAAAAACAGGGCTTCCGGTCCCACCGGAAGTTGTTAAATGGGTATTTTCGGCCTCCAGAGGGGTGGGGAAGGCCGTTTTTGCCCTCCCCAGACTCCTAGAGAGGCCCTGGAGCCAGGTGAGAAAGAAAAACGAGTTTACCGGGCCATCACGTGCCAGGAGCAGGGGGGGTGTCATGCTTGCATGCACGGGGGCGGGGTGCATAGAATTATGGGTGTGGCACACATACGTGTGACACCCCCCCCCCCCCGCAATCCCCAACAATCCTGACACGCGATGGCAAAAAGGTTAGTCATCACTGGTCACTCCCAACCTGTAGATACATAACCACCCTTCGGGCACCAGTCAACTGTTTGCAGCTTTCCACAGTCACTTGACCTCATTTTACGACCGTTTTGCTGAAAACCGGCACTTACTTCCAGTTTTCGGGGGAACTGTGCCATGGTAAAGCACTAATGACTTAATGCTTTCTGGTTCACTTAATGACTGTGGCCTTCACTGAATGACTGCAGTGATTCGCTTAATGACTACCACAAAAAGGTCATAAAAATCAGGTCAATCACATGACCCTTTACTACCATTCCGACTTATGAGCTCCTTTATCGTTGTAACTTGAAAACTCCCTGTAGAGTCATTGCTCTTAATAGCCTTCAGATTATGAGCAGAGAAGATCAGACACGACCCTCCTAATCTTTTGGGCTCCTGAGCTTGGGAAGACAGGAAAAGTCCACATTTTGGGTTGGTTGTCCATCACTCAAATGAGCAAGGAAGAGATGGACAGTTTGGTTTCTTATTGAACCTCCATCAGTCCAATTTCTGGTTTGGAGTGGAGATTTTTCATGTCCTCCTCCATTTCCATGTCATTGCCTTGACTGTATCTCCTCAATCCAAAATCTAGAAGGTTAATTCTACCACCTTCTCCATCTTTCTTCTTCTCCATGGAGGAAGTGTGTAAAGTCATGGATTCCTTGTAGGAACCTCACTTCTTCATGGGTTTCTTGGTCTTCTCCGAAACCTGGTGGTCTGTTTTAGATGCCATCATGAACTCAGAGCTTCCTAGTTGGCTGGTTCTGCTTAAAATATAAAATCTCCTGCCTTAGACAAGGGATTGGACTAGAACAGAGGTCTTCAACCTTAGCAACTTTAAGACTTGTGGACTTCAACTCCCAGAGTTCCTCAGCCAGCTTTGCTTTGCTGGCTAAAGAATTCTGGGAGTTGAAGTCCACAAGTCTTAAAGTAGCCAAGGTTGGAGACCCCTGGACTAAAAGGCCTCCAAAGTCCTTTCCAACCGTATGATTCTATGTCCAGTTATAAAATCCAGAGTGGGATATTTATGGCTACCATTTAAAGACATCTTCAGATGTTCTCCAGGTAGTTAAGACTTCAGCCCCCACAATTTTGCATGATCACTTCAGAAGGATTACGGGTGTTGAAGTTCTAGTGGTTTGGAGGCCATCAACTTGGAAAAAGGAAGGTCTAGAAAATAGGACAAGAATGGAAATACTTATATCTTCTAAATGTCCAACTTTTCTCCTCTTCCTGGCCAGGCCTTCACGTCTTGCTGCATTGGTTCTGCTGGCCATCGGACCACAACCACGTCCACAATCTACTCGCCCCCGTCTCACTCACCGGATCTGGAATTCCCAACACACCCTTTTCTGAACCGCTCACAGTCCTTCCCAGCATCTCTGGCTTCTCACACCTGGACCCCCATCCCACCCCGGGAAAGCATGGTTTCCACCATGATTGCGGGGACCCAGGACACCGAATGGGGGATGCCCACCTCTTTGGAGGGCCATTTGGGGTCAGTCGCTATCTTCTACGAGGCACTCCAGCCTGCTCAGGTGAAGGCCTTCTTCTTGGCAGGTAGGGCTCTGGAGGAACCGTATGTGTTGTCCATCTCACCCAAGGAGACTTGAAGGATAGGCAGATTGGACTGATGTTTGGGACGGGGATTTTGGTGGCCCAAACAGAGCAGAACAAGAGCGAGGAAGAGAGCAGGAGATAAGGATAGGACATGTCTTGATGGAGGACAATCATCCAGAACTTAAAGCGATGGTCCTTTTGAGGAGGATCTGCTCCTATTGCGCTCTGAATTTGAGGACACCAAGTCTTCCTTCTTTGACTTGACACCAAGTCTTCCTTCTTCTGTTTCTTTCTGCAGGACCAAATATCGCATCACCATTTAAGCCTGAGGGAGATTTTGGGGAACTGAGTAGCAAATTACTTTTGTACTACACACCCCAGGTAAGGTCAAGTCTGAATTTCTGCACAGCTTTGGTCAGATTCCTCTACAAGGAGGACCTAGCCTGATGACAGGACCACGTTTGGTCATCCTCAGAGCTGGTCTTTGCCTTTCTTTCTCCTTCGGTGGTTCTCTAGGCCTGTAAAAGCAACATCTGTCTGGATCTTTCTCCAAACCATAATCTGGACGGGAGGCTGACAGGACATCAAGTGGTGAACTGGGATGTTAAGGTAGGTGGGAATCCATACTCATGTCTTTGAGGAATCATCTTGGCTGTTGGGAGGAAATTGTCCCAGCTTCTCTCTGAGACTGTTAGCTTGTCCGTAGGACCAAGTCAGGTCTCCACGGAAGTTCTTCTACCACCACCGCCCCTTAGAAGACCATTTTGAGGTCTCCTGAGGTCCACAGTGTGATGGTTCTCAATTAATGAAGCTTTGTGTTGGGTTCTGCGTAGGATGTCATCAACTGCGTTGGCGGGATGGGAGCTCTGCTCCCTCTGCTGGATCAAGTAGCATCTCAAAAGGAAGAAAGCAAAGAGATCCAGGAGATCCACGATTTGGTGGGGCCAGAGTTGACGTCTTCACGGAGTGCTCAAGGCTTACACATTCCCCTGGGAAAATCTTCAGGTGATAAAAATCTGCCATTTTGGGTGGGGTGGGGATACAGATAGCACAGCTGGCTAGGGAATTCTGGGAGTTGAAGTCCACCCGCCTTAAAGTCATGGTGCACGAGATTATGAAGGTGATTTCCATTGATGGTTTTTCCAACTTTAGAGGGCAGGCTGGAGAAGAATGGAGTGGCTGCTTTTTTACTACTGGTGAAGAACTTCCTGTGTGGTCACCAAGTCAATCAAGAGAGTTTGGTCCAATGTCACGGTCCCGCCATCATTGGAGCCTTGCTACAGAAGGTGGGCATCCATACACACATCTGTAGAGGGGTAGCCTCATCTAGGTTTCCAACATTTTGATCTGTGTTTCACTTGTTTTATAGCCCAAACATGACCATGTTGCTTCCTGATCGACAGTGTTTCAATGTAATCGTCTTCCCAACCTCTCGTTCTAGCTCTGGATCTCTTAGTGGTCTCCTGTCCCTTGCTAACAATGTTGTGTTCCTTGCTTAGCTTTCCAAACTCAACCAAATCCAGTTAGGAGCTGCCCCTGATGAACTAAATACAGGTAGTCATTGATTTATGGCCATAATTAGGACCTGAAAATCCGTTGTTAGGTGGTACGGTCATTAAGCAAGGCCTCCCATGGCCGTATCCAATTTTACAGCATTTTTCGTTGCTATTAATAAGCAAAACATCGTGTAATTGCAACTTGTGACTTCCTGCTGGCTTCCCCAGTGTCTTGGCTTGTCGGAAGCCAGCTGGGAAGGTTGCAAATGGTGATCCTGTGAACCCATGATGCCGCAACCATCATAAATACCTGCTAGTTGCCAAGCACCCGAATCACGATCAGGTGACCACAGGGACCCTGCAATGGTCATAAGTGCGAGGACCAGTCATAAGTTACTTTTTTCAGAATCATCATAGCGGCTGCTAAAGAAACAGTTGTAAGTCAAGGACTTTGTAGTGATACACCGTTTATTTCTGTTTCCCAAAAACAGAATTGTCCTTTGTCAAAAGTTCAAGATGGTGGCCCCCAACCATTTAATTGAAACTTCCCTTTTTTTAATAAGTGCCACAACCTACGTAGTTTCAGACACAGGATTTTGACCATCATGCTTAATTTTTCTGACCCTGCCTGCCATAGTGAGGTTTCATTTGCATTCCTTCTCCTCATAAAAAGTGAATCCATTTCCATAACATTTTCTTGTGCCATTTTTTAATCTTTCTCCATTATTTGAAACCAGTGGATTCCAATAAATTAACAACCGGTTCTCTGCCCTAATGACTGGCTGGGTGGGCGTGGCCATGGTGGGAGTGGCCATGGGGTGTGACAGGCAGCACTTGGCCGCCTGCACCCCTCTGGGAGCAAAATTGGGCTGTGGGGAGGCCACGCTGCACTCCCTCCCCCACGCCCCGTTTTGGGCCTAGTAGGCCTCCCTGCAGCCTCCTAGGAGCAAAAGCGGGTTGTGGAGGAACCGTTTTCCACATCCCCGGGCTCTGGAGGCTCTCTGGAGGCTGGAATTAGGCCCATTTTCACCCTCCACAGGTCTCTGGGAGGCCCGTTTTCCACCTCCACAGGCTCCACATGCCTCCTGCACTTACCTGAGATCCAAAATGGGACGCGTGGGGACTCCTGGGTGGGGTGGGGCAGGGCTAGCTGGTCGTCGGAACTACCGGTTCACCGAACCGGATGTAAAATTAACATTTGAACCGGCTGAATTCTACCACGAACCGGCTGAATCCCACTTCTGTTTGAAACCCATTGAATGAAATAGGTCTCACATTCTCCTTTTCTGATGCTCAAGATTAAAGACCTACCAACTAAGCCTTTGTGAAGGTTGAAAGGTCTCTTGATCCTTGATCCAACAGGACAACCTGGTCCTGTCCCAGAACGATGTGTGGGGCCCAAATTCCGCTTCAACTTCAGCGGGAATAATGGGTGTTGTAGTCCTGAGCATCAGTTCCTTGGCGTTAAATCCCATGGGATTGGGTCTGGAAGAGCAGAAGGAATTTTGGGGGATGAGGGGAAGAAGCCACAGGAACTCCGCTCTTGGGCAGGGTTCCTGGTCAGATATGGAGGACCCAATCTTCATGTAGATCTTCTTTCCACGTTCTGCAGGTCTCCAGCCAGATGGTGGACATGAATGTCCTCGTGGCCTCCCACATTCTGATGGAGGCGGTGGCCTCAGAAGGACACAACCTCTTGCTTCATCTCCTCTACCAGGCCCTCGTCTTTGACTTCCGCATCTGGACCAACAGTGACTTTGCCGTCCGGCTGGGTAAGGACAAGGTGGTCTAGATCAAGGGTCTCCAACCTTGGCAACTTTGAGATTTCTGGACTTCAACTCCCAGAGTTCAACTGGAGTTGTCCACAAGGCTTAAAGTTGCCAAGGTTGGAGAACCCTAGTCTAGATTGAAAGACCCATCATTGGTCCTTCAAGAGAGTGTGAAGACCCTTTTCTCTACCTGTGAAGCATCACAGAGTTTTTCCATGGGTTGAAATTCTTCTGAAGGGTCAATGATGTCCTTTCTTTGGTCAAGTTGCCCCATTTCCATGATATCTCAAGCGAGATATAGGTGAAACCCCATGAGTATCTAAGGAGGATCCCTGCCTTGAGAATAGGATGGGCAGGTATGATCTATCTTCTTTCTCACTTGGTCTCTCTCTGTTTGATAGAACACATCCAATACCTGTCCAACATAATTAAGGATCACAAACAAAGGATACGGAAGAAATATGGAGTGCAGTACATCCTAGATGCCATCCGGACCTATTACGGGTGAGTGGTCAAGGTGTCCTCTTCTCTAACAGGTCCCTTTGTTCCTTTTCCTACTTTCTCCATCATAACCCTTTTTCTTCAGAACCTACAAGGAGAAGCCCATTGCCACCGATAACCTCCGGACGGTGCAAACATCCCTCTTCAGCCTCATCAAGGACTTCTTCTGCAGGAACATCTCCAGTGATGAAATGCAAAGCACCATGAATTATCTGGCAGCCGTAAATGATGAGAACCAGGTGAGTTCGGGACTGAACCAAGAACTTGCAGAAATGGGCTGGAGAACATAAAGGTGCCTGGAGGGAGGGAGGGAGGGAGGGATGGATAGGTGGAAAGATGAATAGATGGATGGGCAGATAGATGGCAGTCTGGATGGATGGATGGATGGATGGATGGATGGATGGATGGATGGATGGATGAAGGGACAGGGACAGATAGGTTGATGGTGGGTGGATGGATGGATGGATGGATGGATGGATGGATGGATGGATGGATGGATGAAGGGTTAGGATTGACCTAACCCTAACCCTAATGGACAGATTGGTGGACAAGTAAGCCTGCTTATTCAACCTGGCATCTTCCAGATGCGTTGGACCTCATCTCCCAGAATTCCCCTCCTGAAGAGCCAAAGGCTAGGAATGTTGGGAGTTAAGGTCAACCATACCTTAGAAAGTTATCTATGGAAGGGAGATGTTCTGAAGTATGAATTTTTGCATTGGGCTGCTGGTTTTCAGGGTTTACTATAAGGAGAGGTCAAATCCCAGATATCAGATCTACCACAAACCAAGATAAGCTGATAAACTATGGGCAACATCTAGCAAGGTTTAACATGTGCACCCAGAACAAAATTAGACACTGTTGCATTGAGATTCTGAGTTCAGAAGGTTCAGAAGGAAGGTCCACCTCGACTTGATATAACAGGAGTTTGTACCTTCTGGTGGATCTCGCAGGTATGTGGGATACTGGAAGTGATCCAGAGCCTGCAGAAGAGTTCCCCGTGCCAGGACCAGCTCTTCGCTTTCCTGTTTGAGCCAGGCAATGTGGAGGTCTTCTTCTCCCTACTCATTCAACGGAAGTTCTCAGATGAAGTCCGGGAGAGAATCTTCAAGGTAGGAACTCATCTCCGTGAGCTTTGGGTATCTCCCTGGGGTTCTGCTACTAGTGATGGAGACAGGTTGGGTCCAGTTGGATCTTCTCAGTTGAAGGAGACTTGAAGCTGCTCATATACATATAAGGTTGTGCTTGTGTGTGGAGCTCCTGTGTAGGCACAGGGGTGTGAGATAATCATAAAACCAGTCAATTGTGCAGAAGGCTCTGATTTTCTAATCTGAACCAGAATAACACAATAACTTGAGTTATAAGGGGTTTGGAGGTCTTCTAGTCCAACCTCCTGCTCAAGCATATCTCCCTGGAGTTCTTCAACCAGTGATGGAAATGAGGTTAGATCCAGCTGGATCTTCTCAGTTGATGGCCAAGGAGAGTTGAAACCTCTCATACACTTCAAGGTTTTGTTTGTGTGTGGAGCTCCTGTGTAGGCACAGGGGTGTGAGATAATCATAAAACCAGTAAATTGTGCAGAAGGCTCTTCATCCTCAGCTCTGGGCAGGAATATCTCCAAGCTCTACAGAAAGTTACACCTCTCCTGCTAAAAATAGCCTCATTGGGCTTCCTTCTTAATACAGGTAGTCCTTGACTTACAACCATTCACTTAGTGACTGTTTGAAGTTACAACGGCACCGAAAAAAGGAACATATAATCGTTGTTAAGGAATATGCACAGAGTAACCCTTGAGTAGCAAGGTTGCGCACATGAGAAATGGCTGAGGGTGATTGTGAATAAGCACTGTCAATACACAGACACACTGAGTTGTGATATTCTTTTACTTTTAGGAAAAAGCAAAGCAAAGTCCAATAAACAATCCATGTCATACACAGATAAAGATAGTTAAATTGTCAATCCAGGGATATACCAAGAACAAAGTCTTCTTACCAGTTGTTGTAGTCATATGCAATAAAACAGTTCTTTTTGGAATTGCAAACAGGAACAAGAACAGCAGTAAAACAATCAGTAAAACAGTAGAAAACAACAAGTAGCAATGATCAAGCAGTGATCATGCAGAGAGAACAGGCAGAGAGGAGCAGAGGTAGCAATAATAATGTAATAAGAAAAACAAGCCATGATTCAAGCTTCCTCTTAAGTACGTTGGCTACAGAGCTAGCCAATCAGAATACAGTATGATGCAATACAGCATTACAGTCTTAAAGCTATACATTACATTTTGACTGCAAACATGCATTGATGATTTATATATATTGTCAACCCAACCAGTTAGGCAATAGCCATTCCCTAACAATCGTTTTTCACACTTATGACCATTGCAGCCTCCCCTTGGTCACATGATCAAAATTTGGATGCTTGGCAACTGGTTCATACTTATGACAAGGATCCCGTGATCCCCTTTTGCGACCTTCTGATGACCAAAGTCAACGGGGAAGCCAGATTCACTTAACAACCATGTAACTAACTTAACCTGCAGTGATTCACTTAACAACTGTGGCAAGAAACCTCATAAAATGGGGCAAGGCTCCTTTCACAACTGTCTCGCTTAGCAACAGAAATTTGGAGCTCAGTTGTGGTTGTAAGTCGAGGACTAAGTCGAGGGTGTTGTGATTCATCCTCTCAAGAGCATTACAACTGATTATCTCCGGTCCGCCTCCACTCCAAACGGCATTGTTATTTTTGTTTTTTTCCCCACAGATTTTGTACAAGTTGCTGAAGTACGAGAAGATCCACGAACGGTACAAGCATCGCTTGAAGCTGAAGGACGTCGGCTACCATGGCTTCATCTCGTACCTGAACGACATCCCAGTTTCCATACTGTTCTTCCGGTGCCTTCTGGAACAAGTCCTTGGAGCAGGTACCTACCCAGGGCTTCTCCTAGTTTCTCTGCTGGCTTCTGTGTCTGGAAAGTTCAGTAGAACTTCAGGAGAACCATCACGAGAAGGCCCATGTCCATCAAAACACCACTCTTCATTGTAATCCTACCGCTCATCCTGCCCACTTAATTATGAACATCATGGATCATTCCTGGTCCAAATTTTGGAGCTGAATAGCTTTCTCCTAAATTGCTGGTCAGTTTCAGATGAGTTTTGGACCATGGATCTAGAAAGAAAGTGGGCAGGACCTTGACTGAGTTCTAAACCTGCTTTGTAGTAGCTAACTGAAGATAGTTGAAAACTATCTTAACTTAACTTATCTTAACTTGGTTTGAGAGGACTGTGGTTGTTAGAATGTGTGACCCTTTGCTTCTCTGGAGAAGAGTGAGCCAGAAGGAAAAACAGCTGAAGCCCATGGTTCTCAACCAAAATGTTCTCAAATGTGTAGAGACCACCTACAGCAGAAATCTATCAACCCAAGTGTGATAGCTACACACTCAACCAAGTGTGTCTAGGTTCCCACCATATGTTAGACTACACCAAACTTCTTCCTGGTTCAAACATGGGTTGGTAGCCGAGCCAGTGGCTCAGCGTCTTGCAGTGGTTCTCAACTTAGCAACTTGAAGATGGGTTGACTTCAATTCCCAGAATTCCCCAGCCAGCCGTGCGATGTGAGTCTGAAAAAAATTCTAGCTGGGAAGTCAAATCCAAGATAAGGGAGGGCTTCCAAGAGTTTTAACAAGGTTTAGAATGAAGGGAGAAGGTCTTTTACAAAATTTCAACATTTGAGATCTTCTGGACAGTGAGGTTTGACTGCCCTGTGAGTAATGCTTATTTTTAAGAGGGTCTGTAAATTAGTGTTTCTCAACCTTGCTGACTGGGGAATTCTGGGAGTTGAAGTCCACCCATCTTCAAGTGGCCAAGGCTGAAAAAAAACACTGATATATTGTATTCATCAAATACTAAACACAGTGGGTTTGTGTTTGGTTAACTAGAGCTTAGATATTGTATGAACCAGCTGCTTCACATCTGCACCTGTGGATTGATGAATTTGCAAGAAACTACCTGAATATGACTATTATGTGTAGAGTAACATCAACTTGAGAATTTTTGAGTTCACTGTAGTAATTCTAACTGCTCTTTGCATTTATGAAAACCCATCAAACTTTTCGTGCTTTAACTTAGTTTTGACGTAAGTGAGAAGCCATTTTGGTCTTTGTTCTCTTATTCTCAGATTCCCCAAACTACAAGGATTTGATGGCCGTCGTTTACCTCTCCCACCGGGCAGATCTGACGGTCAGACTGGACATCTGCAGGAAGGTATGTAGGACTTGGAGCCCCTTGGTCCAACGAGAGAGAAACGGGAAGTGGTTTTGAGAGGTCCTTGGTGCTCTCTGAGTTTAGTTGTTTCCCTGCAGACGTTTCATGACCCAACTAGGGAACATCATCAGTGCTAGAAGGGAGTAGGGTTGTGAAGAGGGAGACGAGGAGGAGGATTATGGGATCCTTGGTGCTCTCTGAGGTTGGTAGACGTTTCATGACGCAACTAAGGAACATCATCACTGCTCGAAGGGATTGTATATAAACAGAGAGCAAACCCCACACTCCTTCTAGCACTGATGATGTTCCCTAGTTGGGTCATGAAATATCTTCAAGGAAACTACTATCTCTGAGAGCACCAAGGATCCCATAGTCCTCCTCCTCCTCTTCCTCCTCCTCCCCCCTGCAAAGCCTATTCCTTGCATTGATGTCACCTAGTTGGATCATAAAATTAGCAAGATTTATGGATTAGATTAACAGAGTTGGAAGGGACCTTGGAGGTCATCCAGTCCAACCCCCTGCCCAAGCAGGAGACCCTACACCATTTCTGACAAATGGCAGTCCAATCTCTTCTGAAAAAGTTTCCAGTGATGAAACTCCCACAACTTCCGAAGGCAACTTCTGTTCCATGGGTGGATTGTTTTCACTGTCAGAAAATTTCTCCTTGTTTCTAGGTTGAATCTCTCCTTGTTGAGTTTCCATCCATTATTCCTTGTCTGGCCTTTGGGGGCTTTGGAAAACAGCTTGACCCCCTTCCTCCTCTCTGTGGCAGCCCCTCAAATATTGGAAGACTGCCATCATATCACCCTTAAGTCCTTCTCTTCCCTAGACTAGCCAGGCTCAGTTCCTGCAACCGTTCTTCGTATGTTTTAGTCTCCAGTCCCCGAAGCTCAGAGAGCCTCAAGGACTGCACAATTCCCACCCACCCCACTCCTCCTCCTAGTGATGAATTAGCTTAGATTCCCTGCAAAAAACATAAGGTGTAAGTTCCAGCCTCCCCTGAATACCTTTAAGCCTTGTCTGGTTGTTTCCAGGCAAACATTTGGGCAGATTCCTGTACAATAGGCAGAAAACAATAAAGTAGACATCTTGAAATCTAGGCAGGTGGATCTGGTTGTCTGTGCCTGGCATTGCCTCCCTGTTTCTCTCCCTCTAGCTCTTCCACCTAATTTACTCGCAGCACGACATGGTGAAGCACCTGGCCAAGCTGGCAGGCTGGCAGGACACCCTCACTAAGCTCTACGTCAAGGAGTCCTACGAGTCTCGCCAACACAGCCTGTCGAGCTCGGCCAACGGGGTGGACTTCTTGAAGCTCTCGGAGCAGTCCAGCATGGAAAGAGGGAAAGAGCTGGTGGGCTCCACGAGTCCCTTGACCTCTGAACTGCCAGACTTGGATGTGTTCCTCCCCTTGGGCTACGAAGCTTCTGACCACGAGCTGTCAGAAGGTTTCTCGGATCTGTCCATGTCTCCCACCAGCCAGAAGAACAAGATCTTCCAGTCTTACGCCTTCAAATCCTTCGACTCCTTAGAGCTCGCCAGCCATTCTTCATCCTCTAACATCATGGACCTTCCCGGGCAGGGAGAAGTCCACCCAGGAGGCCCAGCTGACCGTGTCTACCACCCGCTCTCACCTTTCTCCAATTCTCCCTTTGACCTCGGATTGGATTTGGGCAGCAGTAGCTCCGCGGCTACCTTGGAAAGTGGCAACCATACCCCACTCAGCCTTCCCGGGACGCCATCTCCTCTGGAGAACTTCAAGCCGTTCCCGGGGTCAAGAGCTCGGAAGAGTTCCAGCTTGTCCAACGTGCTGGACGAGACGAGCTATCAAGAAACTCTGCCAAGCGACAGCATTTCCAACACAAGCAACCCTCAGGTGAGTTTGGAGACCATCTTCCTTGGATGTCTTCCCCCTCAGCGGATGGTCCTGATTTCGATCCAGGATTTTCTGGATTTTCCTTGCCATGGGCTCCTCTTTTGCCAGTGCATGGTCCTCGTTTTCATGAAGGCGGTCCTCGACTTACAACAGTCCACTTAGTGACAATGGCAGTGAAAGAAGCGACTTATGGCCTTTTTTCACACACGGTCTTTGCGGCATTCCCACGGTCAGGTGATCAAAATTCAGACGCTTGGCAACGGACTCATAGTTATGACGGTTGCAATGTCCCGTAGATCACCTTTTCAAACCTTCCGAAGCCGATGGGAAAGCCAGATTCACCGAACGACAGCGTTACTAGCTTAACCTCTGCCGTGATCTGCATAACGGCCCTGGCGAGAAAGGTCATAAAATGGGGGCAAAACTCACTTAACCAACGCCCTCACTTAGCAACAGGCATTTTGGGCACAATTGTACTCACGTGACCATGTTTTCTCCCGCGTGAGTTTTAAGTGTGAAAAATCGGTCCTGTGTCATTTTATTTTCAGTGCCGTTGTAAACTTCGAAAGGTCACTTAAATGAAGTGTTGTAAGTCGAGGACTATCTGTACTCTGTGGGCAGCTAATAAATCAGGTAGGTAGGTAGGTAAGGTAGGTAAGCTAGGTAGGTAGGTAGGTAGATGATTAGATAGATAGATAGATAGATAGATAGATAGATAGATAGATAGATAGATAATAGATAGATAGAGAGAGAGAGAGAGAGGGAGAGAGAGAGAGAGAGAGATAGATGATAGATAGACAGACAGACGGGAGAAAAATGCAGGGAAGTTAGGGTTGTGTTGCAAAGGGGCGCTTTTCTTCTGCATGAGACAGGTAGAGACAGGTGCAACCTTTGTGCCTCCACCTGTCCTGGAGCGGTTTTGGGGAATACAATCCCGCCATCTCATTCCTTCCCGCCCCCTAGCAAACCCCGGAGGAAGAACTGTGCAACCTACTCACCAACATCATCTTCTCAGTCACCTGGCGGGGCGTGGAGGGCTGGGACGACATGGCGTGGAAAGAGCGAGGACAGGTCTTCTCCGTCCTCACCAAGCTGGGCTCGGCCTGTGAGCTGGTCCGCCCACCTGACGAGATCAAGCGCAGGTAAGGGGAGGGGGCCGCGGTGCAGAGTTGCCAGTGGAAGCCATCAGGGGTCATTAGTGGTCGGATGCAATCTGCTCTCTGAGGTTGATGGTTTCCTCGCAGGCGTTTCATGACCCACGTAGGTAACATCTTCAGTGCTAGAAGGGAGTAAGGCTGCAGAGAGGAGAGGAAAAGAGAGGAGAGGAGAGGAAAGGAAAGGAAAGGAAAGGAAAGGAGGAACAAAGGAAGGAAGGAAGGAAAGAAAGGAACAGAAAGGAAAGAGTGGAAAGTGGAAAAGGAGAAAGGAAAGGAAAGGGTGGAAGGAAAGGAAAGGAAGGAAGGAAGGTTGCAAAGAGGAGGAGGGAAGGAAGGACGGAAAGGAGATTGCAGAAAGGAGGAGGAAAGGAAGGAAAGAAGGAAGGAAGGTTGCAGAAAGGAGGAGGAAAGGGTAGAAGGAAGGAAAGGAGGAACAAAGGCAGGCAGGAAGGAAAGAAAGGAAAGAAGGAAGATTGCAGAGGAGGAGGGGAAGAAGGGAAGGAAGGTTGCAGAAAGGAGGATGAAAGGAAGGAAGGAAGGAAAAAAAGGAACAGAGGAAGGATAGGGTGGAAGAAAGGAAAGGAAGGAAGGTTGCAAAGAGGAGGGAAGGAAGGACAGAAAGGAGGTTGCAGAAAGGAGGAGGAAAGGGTAGAAGGAAGGAAAGGAAGAACAAAGGCAGGCAGGAAGGAAAGAAAGGAAAGAAGGAAGGAAGGTTGCAGAGGAGGAGGGAAAGAAGGTGGCAGAAAGGAGGATGAAAGGAAGGAAGGAAGGAAAGTTGCAGAGAGGAGGAGAGAAGGAAGGAAGAAAAGAAGGTTGCAGAAAGGAGGAGGAGGAAACGGAGGGAGGGAGGAAAGAAAGAGAAAGAGTGTGGGAAGGAAGGAAGGAACTTCTCCCACCACCGTGGAGAGCTGCCAATGGAAACCACCAGGTTCTTCTTTAGAGAAACCCTGGATGGATCCACAATCTTTTCGTGTCAGCTGGTGTGATATCTGTGCTGTGGAGAAAACCTTTCCTGAGGATTTCCTACTTGTAGGGTCCTTGATACTCTCTAAGGTTGGTGGTTTTCTTGCAGATATTTTCATTATCGAACTAGGAAAGGTATTGGCTCTAGAAGGGAAGGTGGGGGGGGTTGTGGCGAGGAGGGGGAAGGGAGGAAGAGGAGGGGGAGTGTGGGGGTCCTTGGTGCTGTCTCAGCTTGGTGGTTTCCTTGCAGATGTTTCATTACCAAACTATGTAATATTATCATGGCTAAAACAGAGTAAGGTTTGTGGAGAGGAGGAGGAGGAGGAGGATTATGGGGTGTTTAGTTTTCTTTGAGCTTCGTCGTTTTCTTGCAAACATTTTGTAAGCCGGCTAGACAGCATCATCAGGGCTGGAAGAAATAGTGTACAAACAGAGAGCAAACCCCACTCTCCCTTCTGGCACTGATGATGTTCCCTAGTTGGGTCATGAAATGTCTGCAAGAAAAACCCCCCAGCAGGATACACTTCAGTAGGCCTTATCTACAAGGCAAGGAGGGCTTCAGAAGGTTGGACCTTCTATAGACACTGCAATTGAGAATGTTATATCAAAGAAGAGTAGAGAGCTTGTGGCCCCACAGCTTCCTTCTCGTGCCCCCTTGGCAGACCCCTCCCCCCAGCAGATCCACACATTGGGGTGAAGGACTTACTCTTGAAGGGCCCAAACTCACGACTGTGGGTCCCATTTTGCTCTTTAAGACCCTTCTCTCAGCCTTTCCCACTGAATGCCTTGGCTCCACCCCCTCTGGGTGAGGGGGGGGGCTTTGTTAGCCAATTCATATTTTTAAAAGAAGCTCAGCCCGCCCCCTCCCAAATTATTTGCCCACCCCTCTGCTGAAGAGATGGATTTTGAAGAAGGAGAGGACTTTAGACTAGAGATTAGAGTGAGATTGGAGAGAAAGGGATCAATGATCTTAGAAGACCAAGAGGTTGATAAGAGATGGCCAAGAGCTCATTTCTGGGACGTGTGACTGATCTGTGTTTGATGGCTTCATTTTCACATATGAGTATCTCGCTTGGCTGTATTTTAAGACATAGTCACTAGAACATAAATGGAACGGGAAGTTGCCTTCCGACTGATCTCTGCCCGGCACCCATTTTCAGCCTGTCTCTTCTCTCAATATCAATTAAAGCATCCTGCTCCCCTCTCCCACCTCTCATTTCTGCTGCCTCCCCCTCCCCAGCCTTCTGGAGATGATGATGGAATCGGCCTTGACAGACCTAAAGGAGACCACCCCAGCTCTGCTGCCGAGCCTCACCCAGAATGCCTTGAAACTGCTCCATCTCCTACAGGATTTCTTGTTCTCAGAAGGTCACAACAACCAGGTCCTCTGGAGTGAGAAGGTAGGTGGTTGTGACCCTCGGTGGGAGGGATAGTGCTAAGGCTGAGAAGGAAAACTTTGGAGACCTCTATGCCTGGTGGTTTGCTCGCAGACGTTTCATGGCCCAACTAGATAACGTCATCAGTGCTAGAAGGAAGGGGTTTGTAGAGAGGAAAAGGAAGAAAATAGGAGGAGGAGGAGGCTGATTTACCTTTGGGTAAAGATTGTTTTCTTTACCCAAATAGGTAACATCATCAGTTACCTGTTTTATTATTGTCTCATAGATTTTCTCATAGATTTTGGCAAAACTGAACTGTGTGTAAATCTGGTTTATCACTATTGCTTCCATTAAAAAAAAAAAAGACAACAAAAAAGGCAAAGAAGGGACACTTTAAAAGGACACACCCTCTCTAGATAAGCAGGCATTGGCACCAGACAAATAACCAAGCAGAAATCAATGCCCTGATCAAGGAATTATCGAGGGGAAAACCTCTCTCCACCAATACTGGCAGGACAAGCGACTCATAAATAAGTAGGGAGCAAATTCCACACTACCCTTGAACTACAAATATTCTATTCAATCGGAGAGAAAAGTAATTTTAAACATTGAACGGATGGGGAAGATGGTTACGGGCATAGCAAAATAGCCCATCTTGCAAACATTCCAGGAAAAAAAGATTTAAAAGCTTTAAAGAGATCTTGCTTTAACAAACCCCCTAATTAAAGAGATATGGAGGGTCTCTACCTCCTTCCTCAAAAGTCTGGCTAGGAATTCCTAATTCTTGGCATTCAACTATAGATAGTCCTTGGCTTACAACCATTCATTTAGTGACCATTCAAAGTTACAGTGACGTTGAAAAAAAGTGACTTAGAACCATTTTTCACACTTATCCATCACAGTATCTCTGTGGTCACAGGATCAAAATTTGGCAATTTGCTTGTATTTGTGACAGTTTCAGTATCCTGGGATCATGTGATCCCCTTTTGCGACCTAACAAGCAAACTCGGTGGAAAAGCCAGATCCAATTAATAACCATGTTACTAAATGCAGTTATTGGTTTCACAGCTGTGACAAGAAAGGTTATAAAATGGGGCAAAGCTCATTTAACAACTGTCTCATTTAGCAACAGAAAGGTTGGGTTCCATTATGGTCATAAGTCGAGGACTAGCTGTAATTAAACTGTGTGTGATTCCTGCGTCCAGGATTCTGTGGTGAGGTTTAGAAGTTCGACTTTAGAGTCCCCCTTTAGAGAGAGGGACCCCCCCTCCCAGAAAAAGGAGGGGGGAGAGGGAGAGAAAAAAGGAGAGAGGAAGAAAGAGAGGAAAAGAGAAAAAGAGTGAGGAAAAAAGAGTGAGGGAGAGAGAAACAGAGAGACAGAAAGAGAGAGGAAGAGAGAAAAAGAGAAAGAGAGAGAGTGAGGAAGAGAGAGAAAAAGGGAGAGAGGAACAGAGAAACAGACAGAGAGAAGAAGAGAGAAAAAGAGAGAGAGAGAGTGAGGAAGAGAGAAAAAGGGAGAGAGGAAGAAAGAAAGAAAAACAGACAGAGACAGAAAGAGGAAGAGAAAAAAGTGAGTGAAGAAGAGAGAAAAAGGGAAAGGAAGAGAGAAAGAGAGAGAGTGAGTAGAGAGGAAGGGAGAGAGGAAGAGAAAAAGAGAGGAAGAGAGGAAGAAAGAAAAAGAGAGAGAGTGAGAGTGAGGAAGAGAGAGAAAAAGGGAGAGAGGAACAGAGAAACAGACAGAGAGAAGAAGAGAGAAAGAGAGAGAGTGAGGAAGAGAGAAAAAGGGAGAGAGGAAGAAAGAAAGAAAAATAGACAGAGACAGAAAGAGAGGAAGAGAGAAAAAGAGTGAGTGAAGAAGAGAGAAAAAGGGAAAGGAAGAGAAAGAGAGAGAGTGGGGAGAGAGGAAGAGAAAAAGAGAGAGGAAGAGAGAGGAAGAGAGAAAAAGAGAGAGAGTGAGAGTGAGGAAGAGAGAGAAAAAGGGAGAGGAACAGAGAAACAGAGAGAAGAAGAGAGAAAAAGAGAAAGAGAGAGTGATGAAAAGAGAAAAGAGAGAGAGAGAAGAAAGAAAGAAAGACAGAAAGAGGAAGAGAGAAAAAGAGAGAGCGAGTGAAGAAGAGAGAAAAAGGGAAAGGAAGAGAGAAAGAGAGAGTGAGGAGAGAGAAGGGAGAGAGGAAGAGAGAAAAAGATAGAGAGAGAGTGAGGAAGAGAGAAAAAGAGGGAGAGAGAAAAGAGAGAGACAAAGAAAGGAAGAGAGAGAGTGAAGAAGAGAGAAAGGGGAGAGAGGGAGTGAGGAAGAGAGAGAAAAGGGAAGAGAGAGAGAGACAGAAAGAGAGAGATGGAGGAAGAGAGAGAGAAAAAAGAGAGACAAAGAGAGGAAGATAGAGAGTGAAGAAGAGAGAAGGGAGAGGGAATGAGAAGAGAGAGAAAAAGGAAGAGAGAGAGAGACAGAAAGAGAGAGAGTGAGGAAGAGAGAGGGGGAGAGAGAAAAAGAGAGAGACAAAGAGAGGAAGAGAGAGTGAAGAAGAGAGAAAAGGGGAGAGAGGGAGTGAGGAAGAGAAGAAAAAGGAAGAGAGAGAGAGAGACAGAAAGAGAGAGAGGGCGAAAGAGAGAGACTGAATGCAGAACATAGACTGAAGTCCCTGCCATGGTCTCAATTGATTCTCCTGTGCAAAAGAGAAACGTGGATTGTGCATGGGACGGGAGAGACAGAACAAGGGCTCTTCCTTTGACTCACTGGTCTTCTCATCTTTGAACCCCTAGATTTATGAGGGTGCCAACAGCCTGCTAGACAAGCTGGGGGTCTGGAACCACTTGGGCACTTCGGAGTTGAAGGAGATGGCACAAATTGGCCTGCGGGTGTTGATTGGATACATCATGTTGGAAGACGTGCAGGTGAGTCCCTGAGCTTCTATGTGGTCTATTCCCACATATAGATAATCCCTAGTTTGTCTTTCCACGTTGATTATGCACCGCGAATTTAATGCCAGCAGTTAATGACTGCACAGATACACCTTTTCCAGGATGATCTGATGCCAACCTAGCTCTGTCCAGGGGCACCCATGTCCTCCCTTGAGTCACTGCGGTCCATGGATGCACAGACACATGGGAGGGAACATTTTAGGGTAAGCAGTTCCTCCAGATTACTGGACATCTGCGTGTTTTGGAATCAGCAAATCCAGCAGGGCTGCCAGGCGCTTTGCATAGACTTACATGCATAGAATTCAAACTAGCTACTTTATTGTTTTCAGCCTACAATACAGGAATCTTCCCAGCTGGCAGTTTTTGCCTGGGAACAACGAGGCTTGGTAAGGCTCGCAGGCATTTAGGGCAGGGAACTCCAGACTTCGCAACTTGTGGACTTCAACTCCCAGAATTCCCTAGCTGAGGAATTCTGGGAGTTGAAGTCCACAAGTCTTAAAGTTGCCAAGTTTGGAGACCCTTGATTTAGAGGATTCAACCCTGTCCTGTTTAGTTTAGTTTAGTTTAGTTTAGTTTAGTTTAGTTTAGTTTAGTTTAGTTTAGTTTAGTTTAGTTTAGTTTAAAGTCATTGTACTCGTACAAGGAATTTTTTTTTAATTGAAAAGTTTTACAGAAAAACAAGAATTTTCTTCCCCCCCCCATGTTCCCCCCACCCTTTCCCTCCCCTCATCCCACCCTCCCCCCCAGACTTCCCAGAGCAAAATACAAGGTATTTATTTAACAATCATAAACTAGATTAACCTACTTATCCTCAGACTACTAACTCCCCCCTTGAAACCTTAACTCCACTATAGATAACATAATACTTCTAATACTTAACTTTCATTCATAAGCTATTTGATATTTTCTTGTCTGATACTTATTTTGAATATAATCAATCCATCTTCTCCATTCCGATACGTATCTTTCTTGTGTATAGTCCCTCGTACAAGGAAATTAAATGCCATCTTCCGTGTACATTATAACTATAAAAATAAAACACAAACACACATCCTTCGCATTCTATACAGTTGATTTGAAAACCCCTGATACTGCATTAGTATTGCACTATACAGTAGAATTCAGTATAGTTACTGATATTTATGTAGTGAGTCTAAGCTAATTCCTGCTTGACCCTTCCTCTCGACTGCCAGGTTGCTCAAGAGAAGTGCAGAGTACTTTGCTGACTCCAAAGCATGCCCTGATGCCCAAAATCTGCTAGATTTGGTAGTTCCAAAATGTTTGCAGATCACCAAGCCCAGCTGTGTGTAGGTATAGGTGCAGGTGGCTGGGGAAGTCCTGTTCTGCCTCCTTTCTGGCTTTTATACTTTCCAAAGTGCAGGACAGATTCCACCTTCTGTGCTTTTAGTTAGCAATGAAATCCATATGCAGTGCGCGCCAAATGCACATTGTGTGCACACATGCACTGCGCACCAAACACACATTGCACATGGAAAAGGGAGGCTTAAGAAGGTAAGTAGAACAGGGGGGGGAACAGCTGTGCCGCGCAATTTAGATTTGCTAGAAAGCAGGATTTTACCTCTGAGGTCCCTCCCAGCTCTGTCATTCTATGATTCTGTAAGGTCTGCTCGAGCAGTGGGGTTGGACTAGATGACCCCTGAGGTCCCTTCCAGGTCTTTCATTCTATGATTCTATGATTCCTGTTTTCTAGCGAATATAAATCGCATGACACAGCTGATCATCGGAAATACCCACCGGTTCGAACAAATCAGTACATTTTTTTTACTACCGGTTAGCTTGAACTGGTCTTTTTATTTCTACTACCGTTTGCCTGAACCTGTGCGAACCAGTAGCATTTCACCCCTGCTTTTCGTTCTTTGGTCTAGAGCAGTGATGGGTAACCTTTTTGCCGTCGTGTGCCAAAAGCGGGGTAATGGGGGGGATTGCGCGCGCGCGTGCCCACACCCATAATTCAATGCACTCCGTTCCCCCACACATACGCGTGTGACCCCCCCCCCACTTCCCCCTGCTTTTGGCACGCGATGGCATGGTTTGGCACGCGATGGCATGGTAGGCCCATTTTTTTTGCCCTCCCCAGGCTCCAGAGCCTTTCTAGGAGCCTGGGGAGGGTGAAAACAGCCTTTCCCACTCCCCTGGAGGCCCTCCGGAGGCCCGGAAACAGCCCGTTTCCCGAGTTCCGGTGGACCCGGAAGGCCCGAAAATCAGTTGGCCAGAGCGCACATGCGTGCTGGACTGAGGTAGGGCAACGCTCGTGTGTGCCACCTGTGGCACCTGTGCCATAGGTTCGCCATCACGGGTCTAGAGTCTCCTTCCTCACCTGTTGTCTTCTTCCTTTCTCCTTCCAGCTGCAGTCCTTGGCCTACGTCAAGCTTCACGGTCTCCTCCAGACAGGTTCAGCCCCCCAGGAAGGAACAAGCCTGTTACCTGCTGGGCAAACTGGAGACCCCACTCCGAGCTTCTCTGCACACCAAGTCGGAGACCTTCTCCTGGCTGGTGCCCATCATCCGGACGCTGATGGACCAGTGTTACAATACTTTGCAGCTCCAGCACTTCCTGCCGTCTCTGCCACCCACCAACGGCAGCCCCACCTTTTACGAAGACTTTCAGATCTTCTGCACCCACCCAGAGTGGCTCACACCTTCATCGAGAAGCACGTAAGTCTACTTGTCCGAGATCCTAAAGCAAACGGGAGAAGAATATTCGGGATAATCCTCGCTCTCCCTTTGCTCCGTTCTCTCTCTTTCTTTCTTTTTTTTTTTTACACTTTTCGGAATAACAGAACCGGAAGGGACCTTGGAGGTCTTCTAGTCCAGAGGTCGCCAGTCTCCAAGCTGCAGCCCAACTCTGGGCTTTGAGCTTTTTCGGAAACCGGGCTGCGGAAGTGGCAGGCGAGCGTGTTCGCGTGCAGGCATCCCCACTTACACCAACAGTAGGCAAGCGTGTGCACGCGTGCTCCATTTGTGCAAGCGTCCCGTCACTTGTGCAAATGGAGCTGCAGGTGTATGCACCGCTATCCTGCTGCTCTCCCGGAACTACCTCCTCTCCTCCCTCGCCGGTCCACAAAGCGAAAAAAATTGGGGAAGTCTGTTCTAGTCCAACCCCTTGCTCAAGCATGGAGTCTTTCCCCCACCTCCTCCTCTCTTCAAAACCCCACCCCTCCCTCCTCCCCCCCTCCCTTCTAGCACTGATGACGTTCCCTAGTTCGGTCATGAAACATCTGCAAGAAAATCACCAAAGTCAGGGAGCACCAAGGACCCCACACCCCTCCTCCTCCTCCCTGCAATCCTTCCTAACACTGATGATGTTCCCTAGTTTGGTCATAAAATATCTGCAAGAAAATCACCAAGCTCAGAGAACACAAAGGATCCCACCTCCAGTTCTCCTCCTCCTGCTTTTCTTTCTTTCTTTCTTTTTCTTTCTTTCTTTCTTCCTTCCTTTCTTCCATCTTTCTTTCTTTCTCTTTCTCTTTCCCTTCCTTCCTTCCTTCCATCTTTCTTTCTTTTTTCTTTCTTTCTTTCTTCCTTCCTTTCTTCCATCTTTCTTTCTTTCTCTTTCTCTTTCCTCCTTCCTTCCTTCCTTCCTTTCTTTCTCTTTTCTCTTTCTTTCTTTCTTTTTTTCTTTCTTTCTTTTCCTCTTCCTCCTCCTCTTCCTCCCTTTAAACCCTTCCTCCCTCCCTTCTAGAACTGATAATGTTCCCTAGTTTGGTCATAAAATATCTGCAAGAAAATCACCAAGCTCAGAGAGCACAAAGGATCCCACCTCCAGTTCTCCTCCTACTACCTTTCTTTCTTTCTTTTCTTTCTTTCTTTCTTTCTTTCTTTTTTTCTTTCTTTTCCTTCCTTCCTTCCCTCCTTCTTTCCTTCCTTCCTTCCTTCCTTCCTTCCCTCCTTCTTTCCTTCCTTCCTTTCTTTCTTTCTTTCTATTTCTTTCTTTCTTTTCCTCTTCCTCCTCCTCTTCCTCCCTTTAAACCCTTCCTCCCTCCCTTCTAGCACTGATAATGTTTCCTAGTTTGGTCATAAAATATCTGCAAGAAAATCACCAAGCTCAGAGAGCACAAAGGATCCCACCTCCAGTTCTCCTCCTACTACCTTTCTTTCTTTCTTTTTCTTTCCTTTCTTTCTTTCTTTCTTTCTTTCTTTCTTCTTTTTTCTTTCTTTCTTTCTTTCTTTCTTTTCTTTTCTTTCTTTCTTTCTTTCTTTCTTTTTTTCTTTCTTTCCTTCCTTCCTTCCCTCCTTCTTTCCTTCCTTCCTTCCTTCCTTCCTTCCTTCCTCCTTCTTTCCTTCCTTTCTTTCTTTCTTTCTTTCTTTCTATTTTTCTTTCTTTCTTTCCTCCTTCCTCCTCCTCTTCCTCCCTTTAAACCCTTCCTCCCTCCCTTCTAGCACTGATAATGTTTCCTAGTTTGGTCATAAAATATCTGCAAGAAAATCACCAAGCTCAGAGAACACAAAGGATCCCACCTCCAGTTCTCCTCCTCCTGCTTTTCTTTTCTTTTCTTTTCTTCTTTTTTTTCTTTTCTTTTCTTTTCTTTCTTTCTTTCTTTCTTTCTTTTTTTCTTCCTTCCTTCCTTCCTTCCTTCCTTCCTTTCTTCTCCTTTTCCTCCTCCTCCTCCCTTTAAACCCTCCCTCCCTCCTGATAATGTTCCCTAGTTGGGACATGAAATGTCTACACAAAAACCGCCAAGCTCAGGGAGTGCCACGGACTCCACCGTCCTCCCTCTTCCTCCCCCTCCCCCTCCTCCCCCCCCTCCCTTCTCCCTCCTCTCTATGGGACCAGTGCTTCCAAAATACCTGTAGGACACCTGGTTCTCCCTCCTGTCCTACACTCTAGGACAATCAATACGTGTGCGGACCTGTGTACAGGTATCTCTCAAATGATGATCATTCATTTAGCAACCTTTGGCAGTTCTCCAGAACCTTAAAAGTTTTGCCCGCCCTTCGTGTCCTCTCGCTGTCCTTCTTAGTGACTTTCCCGGCGGGGTCTCCCTGGCAGGTACAACCCACTATGGCCCAGTTTGAAATGGACACGTTTGCCAAGAGCCACGATCACATGTCCAACTTCTGGAACTCCTGCTACGACGCCTTGATGAGCAGCAATCAGAGGAGGGAGAAGGAGAAAGCTGAGAGCCGGAGGAAGTTCCAGGTAAGCGGACAGGCAGGTGGGTGATTAGGCAGACAGGTGTGTAGGAAGGTGGGCGGGTGGATGGTTAGACGGCAGGTTTTTAGGTCAATGGGAGGTGGTGATTAGATGGGTAGGGGTGCAATAGGGAAAGATGGGTTGTGAGGAGGGCAGGTGCAAAGGAAGTGAACAGGTAGGTGGTTGTGGCCAGGTGTGATAGGACAATGGGTGATTAGACTGGCAGGGGTGTAGTAGGAGGCAGGTAGGTTGTTAGGAGGGCTGGTGCATAGGTATGTCGGTAGGGGGATAGTTGGGGCCAGGTGAGTAGGTAGGTGGGCAGGTAGGTGGGTGAGTGTATAGGTAGATGAATAGATGGGTGGTTAAGGAAAAAGGTGTATAAATACATGATCAGGTAAGTGTTAGGTGGTCGCGTATGTTGCAGGTTGTTTCCTGATTGCTTATTTGCTCCCTGTGACTATCATTAAGTGTTGTACCTTATGATTCTTGGTGAACATATCTTGTCTTTTATGTATACTGAGAGCATCTGCACCAAAGACAAATTCCTTGTGTGTCCAATCACACTTGGCCAATAAAAAAATTCTATTCTATTCTATTCTAGTAGGTGGGCAGATGGATAGGCAGGTGGGCAAGTGGATGGCTAGGCAGACAGGTGTGTAAGTAGGTGGGCAGGTGGGTAGTTCAGTGAGCAGTGTGTAGGTACATGGTGAAGCAGATGATTAGATGGGCAGGTGGGTGGGGTTTGTACATAGCAGGTGGGCAGGTAGGTAATTAGGTAGACAGGTGTGCAGGTAGTGGGCAGGTATGTAGGTAGGTGGGCAGGTGGCTGGTTAGATAGGCAGATGTGTAGGTAGGTGAACAGATGGATGGTTAGGCGTGCAGGTATGTAAGTAGGCGGACAGGTAGGCCCAGGTGTTAGATGAATCTGGCTTCCTCCATGGATTCTACTGGTTTGAAGTCAGCTGGGAAGATCCCATACACGCTGGCTACCAAGGGTTGAAATTTTGATCATGTGGTCATGGGAATGCTGTGACGGTCATAAGTGCGAGGACTGATCACACATCACTTTTTTTCAGGGGTGTTGTAACTGTGAACAACCACTAGGGAAAAACCCTCCAGGGAAAGGCTGGTCCCAGACTATAGGCAGTCCTCGACTTATGACTACCGAGCCCCAAATTTCTGTTGCTAAGCGAGACAGTAGTCAAGTAAATTTTGCCCCATTTTACGACCTTTCTTGCTGCCGCTGTTAAGTGAATCACCATCGTGGTTCAGTTAGTCACACGGTCATTAAGTGAATCTTGCTCCCCCGTTGACTTCGCTTGTCCGAAGGTCGCCAAAGGGGAATCATGAGACACTGCAACCGTCATAAATATGATTCAGATGCCGAGTGTCCGAATCTTGATCCCATGACCAGCTGTGGGATGCTGTGACGGTCATCAGAGTGAAAATGGTGATAAGTCACTTTTTTCAGCGTTGTCGATACTTTGGGCGGTCACTAAATGAACCGTCGTAAGTCGAGGACTATCCGTATCTGTATTTCCACCGTCCTGTCTTGCTTTTTCTCAGGAGCTGATCCGGGAGCCTGTAATGAAACGGGCGAAATACGAAAATATCCGGCACACAAATATGCTGAAGCAAATCAACCATCATCACAATACGGTCTTGCAACAGTGGCAGGCGATACAGCGGCTACTGACTTCTCAGCGCTCAGTGTGGGCTGACCAGTAAGTGGTGGTGGTGGGGGTCCCCTTTGCAGCCCCCTAACCCTTAAATCTTGGAGTTATACGGGCCTCGGAAAGGTGGATTCTCCTTTTTTAAAAAAAACTTGGCCTTTTCTTGAATTCATTTTTATTTGCCGGTTAGTCCAATACAACATTTGTAAGGTTGGTTTTTTAAAAAAATTTCTAAAAATTAAATTTTACTTTAATTAAAATTTCATTAAAATTAATGAAAAAATATTTTATGAAAAAATCCTCCTCATGATAAAAATTAATCACGAGGAGGATGATATTTTTTATAAAATATTTTTAATAATTTGATAATTAAAATTAATTTGTTAAATTAACTTTTAAAAAAATTAATTTTTGTGTAAAATTAGTAAAAAAAATGTTTTTATAATTCTATAATTAAAAACTAATCTATCAAATTACTTTTAGGGGAAACTAATGAACTCTATTAATTTTATGAAAAATTAATTTTAAATCTTAAATTATTAATTTAAATTAATCAAAATTCATTAATTAAAATTAATTTAAGATTTAAATTATTTTTTCATAAAACTAATAGAATTAATTAAAAATTAATTTTTAAAAAACTGTTTAATTTTGTAAAAATTTAAATTATTTTTTTAAAAAATAAATTTTTAAAAAATTAATTTTTTTAAAATTTAAATTAATTTTAAAATAAATAAATAAATATTTTTTAATATCTTTTAATCTGAAATTATTCTGATTTTAATGTTAATTGTATTTATATTGTAGATTTATTTAATGTACAGGTAGTCCTTGACATACAATCACAACTGAGCTCAACATTTCCATCGCTAAGCGAGGTGCTTGTTAAGTGAATTGCTGTAGTTCCTGAATTAGTAATGTGGTTGTTAAGTGAATCTCACTTCCTGCTTGTCAGAAAGGGGATCATGGGACCTGGGACACTGCTACCGTCATAAATATGAGCCAGTTGCCAAATGTCTGAATTTTGACCACTTTGATCATGGCGTTGGTGCAACGGGCAAAAGTGTGAACAACTGCATAAGTCACTTTTTTCAGTGCTGTTCTAACTTGGGGCAGTCGCTAAACAAACTCTTGTAAGACGAGGACTACCTGTTCTGGCTAAGGAACTTCCTGCCACAGATTAATGAATTTGCATTCACACGTCTGGCTTTCCATGCCAAAATTGCAGGTTAGGAATGGAACAATTCTTTGGAATGCAAAGTTACCAGCGCCTGGGGGCTGAGAGAATGTTAGTTAGCTGGAGAGATGTTACTTAGATGGATAAAAAGGTATTTTCGCCAGCTTAAAATGTTGTAAGGCTTCTATGATGGGACTCTTTCTTCATGCTTTCTTCAACACGTTTTCTGCCCGAAAAAACCCATCCGTTCGCTTTGTCTCCATCCAGGAATCCACCTGAGATCTACTGGAAGCTATCCAACGTGGAGACCTACTCCCGAATGAGACTGAAGTTGGTTCACAATCACCATTACGACCGCCACGCAGAAGCTAGTGCCTTGCGGGACAACCTTGGTGAGGAAGGGGTTGTGAGAATGCAAACTTGTAGGTCAAAAGCATTGAGGAAGCAGGGACCTTAATCCCTTCTAGGATGGACATGGTAGGTCCTCGCTAGTCGGGATCAAAAACCTCAGAAGAGATCCCCAAGTTGTTAAGTTGTCCGGTCCTGAAGTTCTCGACGTGAAATTGGCTCTCCGTGTCAAAGGATGATTAAGGTGATATTTCTCCATCTCGACCGCTTGAAGTTGTGTGGACTCAGCTGGCTGGGGAATTCTGGGAGTTAAAAGTCCACACAACTTCAAACGGTCAAGATTAGTAATATCAAGTTAGATTTTGTAGCATTGGGAAGGAACAATTTTTGACCAATCACCAGAAGCTTCGATAGAAATTGGTGAGGTTCAATGAAGAAAGTGGCCATCTTCCCAACCCAGATGTCCACCGGTATTTTGGAAGCACAGCTCCCACCATCCCCATCAGATTCGTTGCCTTCATTGGATCCAGAAGAACTGGCTACCGTTGAGAACATCCTTCCCAACTAAGGAAGGTCCACCAGCTGTCGATGGCCAATTCCTTGCTTAAATATGGAGAATGGGCAGAAGAAGAAAGTAGACCATTTAACCATTCCATCCCATGTCCTTCCAGGTGCCGATGGCTTACACAACCCAGCGGAATCCCTACCTTTAGCGTGGCCAAAGAAGCCAAAGTCAGTGAGATGCAGGACGATCAACTAGCAGAAGAAGAAGTCTCGTTCTTGGACAATCAGTGAGTTTTGTCATGCCCATCCCTCTCCCAGGAAGGGGTAGTCTCAAGGATCCTACAGTCCTCCTCTTCTTTCTCCTCCTCCTCCACTCTGCACACCCTAATCCTACCACTGATGATGTTCCCTAGTTGGGTCGTGAAATGTCTGCAGGAAAGTCACAAAGCTCAGAGAGAACCAAGGACTACACAATCCTTTTCTTCTTCTTCTTCTTCTTCTTCTTCTTCTTCTTCTTCTTCTTCTTCTTCTTCTTCTTCTTCTTCTTCTTCTTCTTCTTCTTCTTCTTCTTCTTCTTCTCCTTCTCCTTCTCCTTCTCCTTCTCCTCCTCCTCCTCCTCCTCCTCCTCCTCCTCCTCCCAACAAGCCCCACTATTTTCTAGCACAGATGATGTTCCCTAGTAGGGTCATGAAATGTCTGCAGGAAAGTCATAAAGGTCAGAGAGAATCAAGGACCACACAATCCTCCTCCTGTTCTTCTTCTCCTCCTCCTCCTCCTCCTCTTCCCTCTTCTCCTCTCCCCCTCCTCCTCTCCTCCTCCTCCTCCTCCTTCTTCTCCTCCTCCTCCTCCTCCTCCTCCTTCTTCTCCTCCTCTTCTCCTTCTCCTCTTCTTCTCCTCTCCTCCTCCACCTCCTCCTCCTCCTCTCCTCCTCCTCCTCCTTCTTCTCTTCTCTTCTCCTCCTCTCCTCCTCCTCCTCCTCTTCCTCCTCTTCTCCTCTCCCCCTCCTCTTCTTCTCCTCCTCCTCCTCCTTCTCCTCCTCCTCCTTCTCCTCCTCCTCCTTCTCCTCCTTCTTCTCCTCCTCCTCCTCCTTCTCCTTTTCCTCTTCTTCTCTCCACCTCCTCCTCCTCCTCCTCCTCTCCTCCTCCTCCTTCTTCTTCTCTTCTCTTCTCCTCCTCTCCTCCTCCTCCCATTCCTCCTCCTCCTCTTCTCCTCCTCCTCCTTCTTCTCCTCCTCCTCCTCCTCCTTCTCCTTCTCTTCTTCTTCTCCTCCTCCTCCACCTCCTCCTCCTCCTCCTCCTCCTTCTTCTCTTCTCTTCTCCTCCTCTCCTCCTCCTCCTCTTCCTCCTCTTCTCCTCCTCCTCCTCCTTCTCCTTCTCCTCTTCTTCTCCTCTCCTCCTCCACCTCCTCCTCCTCCTCTCTTCCTCCTTCTTCTTCTCTTCTCTTCTCCTTCTCCTCCTCCTCCTCCCCTTCCTCCTCCTCCTCCTCCTCTTCTTCTTCTCCTCCTCCTTCTCCTCCTCCTCCTTCTTCTCCTCCTCCTTCTCCTCTTCTTCTCCTCTCCTCCTCCACCTCCTTCTCCTCCCACTTCCTCCCAAAACTGATAACGTTCCCTAGTTGGGTCACGTGAGGTCTGCAAGGAAACCACCAAGCTCAGAGAGCACCAGACTCTGCACTCTCCATAGATCTTCGGCGAAGTCCTCTCCTGGGTTCCTTTCCACCTAGCAATAGGGGGATCCTTCATTTTTTAACCCTTCCCAGCCCACATTGGGATTTCACCATTCCCCGACCTTTCCTGGGCCTGCTGATGGTTCCCGATGAAGCTCGGCGGGAATCCTGAGGCCGCAGAAGTCACCAGACGGGTTCTCACGGTCCGTCTCTTTCAGCCTAGAACGCAAAGAGCAAAGCCAGCGAGAGAAACTGCTGATCTCGGAGGATTGCGAACTCATCACCATTGTTGCTGTGATCCCGGGACGCCTGGAGGTCACCACTCAACAGATCTATTTTTACGACAGCAACAGCGAGAAAGAGGAGACTGAGGATGGTGAGTGAGTGCAGTGGGATGCGAGAACGGCCTTGGGGGAGAGAGAAGGAAGAGGACTAATAGTCCTTGACTTATGAACACCGTTGGGCCCAGTGTCGTAAGGGTGAAACCCAATTGTAAGCCCCACTTTTCAGTGCTGTCGTAACTTCAAGCGGTCGCTAAGTGAATAATTGCATGTCAAGAACTACCTGTATTGATGCAAACAATGACTTGAAAATGAACACAGGTGTCAAGGAAGGGAGTTTCTTCCCTCCGGCATGCAGTGTAGAGGCCATTCATTTAATGACCAATCAAATTTACAACGCCATGACCGTTTTTCACACTTACGACCATTGTATCCTATTCCATGATCACCAATTGAGACACTTGACAACTGGCTCATACTTGTGACGGTTGCAGCGTCCCGGAAGTCATGCGATTTCCCCCTTTGACGACTTTCTGCCGAGCAGAGTCCATGAGGGAAGCCGGATTCACTTAACAACCGTGTGACTAACTTATGAACTGCAACGGTTCGCTCGTAGCAAGAAAAGTCATTAAATGGGGCGAAACAATTGTCTTGCTTAGCAGCTAAAACTTGGGGTTCAATTGCGGTCATAAGTCAAGGGCTACCTGTATATGGGATGGTAGCAGCAACTTCCCCATTGTCCCTGGGTGCAGAGTGTTAAGGAATTCGCAGAGTAACCCTTGAGTAGCAAGGGTGTGCACATGAAAGCAATTGAGAGTAGTTACGAATAAACACAGCCAACACAGAGATACACTGAGTTGTGTTTACTTTCAGGAAATAGTAAGGCACAGTCCAGGTCATACACATATAAAGCAGGAGATAGCAAAACGACAGTCCAGAGATAATCCAATAACAAAGTCTTCTTACCAGTCGTTGTAGTCATTCACAATAAACAGTTCTTCTGGATTTGCAAACAGTAGCATACGGAGATATCATAGAGCAAGAACACCAAAGAGAACAAACCATGTTTTTAGCTCCCTCTTAAGGACATTGGCTACAGAGCTAACCAATCAGGACACAGTATGATGCAATACAGCAGTTTTAAAGCTATATTGAGGGTTTATATATTGCCAATCCAACAAGTTAAGTAATAATCATTTCCTAACACAGAGTCCCTTCCATCCCTACTCCTAGGTATCGGACACGACTTCAAGCGTCCACTCGGTCAGCTCCGGGAGCTGCACCTGCGACGTTACAACCTGCGACGTTCGGCTCTGGAGTTCTTCTTCATCGACCAGGCGAATTATTTCCTCAACTTCAAGAAAATGGTAACGGAAAGTTCTTTCCCTCATGAAAAGTGCACAGGAGAAGGGACAACTTGGGGCAGGTGCCATCTTGGAAACAGAGAAAGGCCCTTTGGTCTAGTGATTAAGGCACCGGGGTAGAAAACAAGAGGCAGTGAGTTCTAGTCCTCCCTTAGGCATGAAAGCCAGCTGGGCAACTTTGGGCCAATTACCAGGAGACAGGGAATTCTAGTCTCCCCTTAGACATGAAAGCCAACTGGGTGACTTTGGGCCAATCACCAGCCGAGTGTGAGTTCTAGTCCCTCCTTAAGCATGAAAGCCAGCTGGATGACTTTGGGCCAATCACCAGGCGACGGTGAGTTCTAGTCCTGCCTTAGGCATGAAAGCCAGCTGGGTGACCTTGGACCGATCACCAGGAGATGGAGAATTCTAGTCCCCTCTTTGGCATGAAAGCCAGCTGGGTGACTTTGAGCCAATCACCAGGCGACAGTGAGTTCTAGTCCCTCCTTAAGCATGAAAGCCAGCTGGATGGCTTTGGGCCAATCACCAGACGACAGTGAGGTCTAGTCCTGCCTTAGGCATGAAAACCAGCTGGGTGACTTTGGACCGATCACCAGGAGATGGAGAATTCTAGTCCCCCCTTTGGCATGAAAGCCAGCTGGGTGACTTTGAGACAATCACCAGGCGACGGCGAGTTCTAGTCCCTCCTTAGGCACGAAAGCCGGCTGGGTGATTCCCTCCTCCTTCTCAGCACTTGCCATCTGTTGCAGGTTGTTTTCGTGGGGGAAATAGGAGGATACGTTCATCGCCTTGAGTTATTTAGAAAAATAAGGCAGGCAGGATAGAAACAAGCCACAAAGAAATAATGAAATTAAAATGGTAAAATAAAAATTATTAAAGTGAAGTAAAAATTAAATTAAATTAAATTACTAAATAATAATTAAATTAAATAATTTTAAATCTTCCTGGACGCTGCCTAATCCCCCACTGACTTCCTTCTGCTCCCACAGGTGAGGAACAAGGTCTATTCCACCATCCTCAGCTTGCAGCTTCCTAACCAGATTTATCAAGGCAGCCGCTCCCCGCAAGACTTGCTCAAGGCCTCCGGACTGACTCAGGTACCCTTCCGTTCCGTGGACAAAGAAACCCCACTTTTCTAGAACATTCCTTTTGAGTGCATGTCAACCCCTGTTCTGGGAGAGCAGGAGATCCCTGGCCTGATCCAGGAACCGTTGCATTGCCACACGAATCCGTTTCATCCCCTCTACACAGGGAGTCCTCGACTTTGGACCATTCGTTCAGCGACCGAAGTTACGACGGCACTGGAAAAAAAGTCACTTAAGACCAGTCCTCGCACTTGCGACCATCGCTGCATCCCACGGTCAAGCGGTCAAAATTTAGGCCTTTGACCAAATTCAGGCGTGTCATTTTCTAACAATTGCAATGTCCTCGGGATCACACGATCCGTCGGTCTCCGTTGGTGATTTTTCCGACCAGTTAAATCAGTGGGAAGCCAGATTTGCTGAACGACTGCAAAGCTCACTCAACAACTGCAGGGATTCACTTAGCAAACTTAACCAAAAAGGGGCGTAAAAGTAGGCGTGACTCGTATAACAGCCGCTTTGCTTCGCAGTGGAAATTCTGTTCTCAGTTGTGGTCGTATGTCGAGGACTGTGTTAAAAGTCGCCGATATCATGGGACCTTGTCCACCGATGTACTTGGCCTGCAGTCCTCTCCCTTTCCCCAACGTACAGATAGTCCTCAACGTATGACCACAGGAAATTAATTTTCCTAAACAAGACATTTGTAAAGTGAGCTTTGCCCCAATTTGGGACTTTTCCTGCCACAGTTGTTAAGCGCATCACTGCAGTTGTTACAATTAGTAACATGGTTGTTAAGCAAATCCAGCTTCCCCATTGACTTTGCTTGTCAGAAGATCACAGAAGGGACCCCGGGACACTGCAACTGTCATAAGTCCATGCCAGTTTCCAAGCATCCTAATTTTGATCACGTGATTGTCTTAAAGGTGAAAACAGTCATAACTCCCTTTTTTCAGTGTCGTTGTAACTTTGAACGACCACCATCGTTGAGGTGGTATGTTGAGGATTATCTGTAAAACTCTGGAGAACAGTCTCTGGGCCTAGCTACCGCCTTCAGCTTCAATAATGGGACAAAGTGTTTCTATTCTCTTGCTTTCCTGTTGGATAATAATAATAATAACAACAACAACAACAACAACAACAACAACAACAACAACAACAACTATTATTACAACTATATACAACTATTGTTATGTCAGGTGTGTTGTGACAGGCACTTGGTCCACAACACACCTGACATAACAATAGTTGAAAAGAAAAAAGTATGGTTCATTGACATTGCAATACCTGGTGATGCACGGATTGAAGATAAGCAGCAAGAAAAAATCACAAAGTACCGGGATTTGCAAATTGAAGTTGAGCGACTGTGGAAAAAGAAATCGTGTGTTGTCCCGATTGTAATTGGAGCCCTCGGAGCAATACCCAAAGGGCTACCCTGCTATTTAGAAATTCTAAATTTGCCGGACTTGAACATTTTGACTCTACAAAAAACCACCTTACTCGGAACAGCTTACATCCTCCGACGATACCTTAACAGTTCCTAGGTCCTTGATTAGGACTCGAGCTGCTGAGGTATTAACCTGCTTCAAAGGCTGTGAATCTCACTAAAGATTAACTACTACTACTAATAATAATAATAATAATAGTAATAGTAATAATAATAATAATAATAATAACAACTACTACTCTATTGTCATTGTACGTGTATACATAGTATACCCATACAACAAAATTCACTTAACATCCAAAGACCAGGTCCAACACATATAACAATCCCCAAACACACTCCCACCCACCACAAATTCCCCACCTCTAAACCACCCAAACATCCACACAACAGACCAAGTAATGCTGCCCAACAGCTCACTGATGGTGGCCCTTTAGCTCATTGTTGAGTGCAATTATAGCTCTGGGATAAAAACTATTCAGAAGATGTGCAGTCCAGGTTTTAATTGTTCTGTCTCTTCTGCCAGAAGGCAACAGTCCAAAAAGATTGTAAGCAGGATGGGAAGAGTCTCTGAGAATGTTACACAACTTCCTCAAACAGCGAGATTCGAAGATGTCGTCCAGGGCTGGTAGCTGGAGCCCGATAATATTCTGGGCAGTTTTAATGATTCTCTGTAGAGCTTTTTTGTCCACTGCAGAGCTGCTCCCGTACCATGCAAGAATGCCGTATGTCAGGACACTCTCAAAGGTGCTGCAATAGTAGGACAGAAGTAGATGCTGAGATAGATTTATCATCTTTAGAACCTTCGCTTTCTTTTTCTCTTGCATGCAGCAGGACAGATAATTCCAAGATTGAAAAATCTAGAGGGTCTATCTGCCCCCTCCTCATCTTTTCCCTGTTCCTGTGTCCACCCACGGTGCAGTATATCTCAGTGGATCCCTTTTTTTCCTTCCTCCAGAAATGGGTCTATAGGGAGATCTCCAACTTTGAATACCTCATGCAGCTGAACACAATTGCAGGACGCACCTACAATGATCTTTCTCAATATCCCGTGGTAAGACCCCGGAATAAACGGGGGTTGGGGTGTAGATAAGGGAAAGGGTCTTCTGGAGCCCCCCCCACCCACCCATTTGGATCCCATGGATCAGGGGTCTCCAACCTTGGCAACTATGTGACTTGTGGACTTCAACTCCCAGAATTCCTCAGCCAGCAAAGTTGCCAAGGTTGGAGACCCCTGCCATAGATGACCTCTCTACAGTGCCAAGATGGAGTTCAAGCATCTTTTTCTTTCTCCCTCTCGTTCAGTTCCCCTGGATCCTGCAAGATTACGTCTCAGAGACCCTGGATCTCAACAACCCGGCTGTTTTCCGGGATCTGTCCAAGCCCATCGGCGTGGCCAATGAGAAACACGCCAAGGATGTCAAAGAGAAGTGAGTTGCGAGGTCTCGTTTGTGAGCATTTCCTGCACAAAGTAAGGTGGGAGGAGCTTCAGGTAGACCTTGACTTATGACCATTCATTTAGAGATCGTTTGAAGTTATAGCGGCACTGAAAAAAAGTGATGTGATTTTGGAACAAGTTGTGTCTCCTGGGTGGTTCTTTGAGTCTTCATTCCATCTCATAAGACAGGGATCCACAAATAGATTTGCGGAGCAGATCCTCAGATCCGATCGAGAGATCCTGCTCACTTCATCCTTCGCGTCAGCTTCTCCTAACCTGGTTGTGTCCTCACTCTTATCACTTCAGGTACGAGAGCTTCGAGGACCCCACGGGGATGATTGACAAATTCCACTACGGCACCCACTACTCCAACGCAGCCGGTGTCATGCACTACCTGATCCGTACGGAGCCTTTCACCACGCTGCATATCCAGCTGCAGAGCGGGAGGTGAGCTGGAACGCGATCCTGGACCACCATTGATCCTGGCTGTGATAGCGTCCTCGTTTCACTCCAAACCCCGATAATATCCAGATTTCCCCAGTCTAGCAAAAGTTTGGTTTGGCAATGGCGTGAAGGTCCCACGATAAATTTGGTTGGGTTTTGCTGTCGAACCGACGTCATGAGATCAGCCTAACATCGCATTTGCACGCCCAGTCCTTGGCGGGAATGCTTATTATTCCATCTTCTGTTCCTCCTGTCACAGATTTGATTGTTCTGATCGCCAGTTCCACTCGGTTCCTGCCGCTTGGCAGGCTCGTTTGGAGAATCCGGTGGATGTGAAGGAATTGATCCCGGAATTCTTCTACTTTGCCGATTTTCTGGACAACCAGAATGGTAAGGAGCGTCCCCAGCCAGTGGGCCGTTCGCGTTTCCAACAGTGTCAATGAGAAATTGGAAGGGAGATATCAAAATTTGCAGTCTAAAGCATTATAAGTAGTCTTCCACTTACAACAGTTTGTTTAGTGACTGTTCAAAGTTATAACAGCACTGAGAAAAGCTGCCCTGAGTCTTCGGAGAGGGACGGCATACAAAATGAATGAATGAATGAATGAATGAATGAATGAATGAATGAATGAATGAATGAATAAATAAATAAATGTAATTTATGACCACTTAACAACCATTGCAACATTCCCTGGGGTCTTGTGATCAAAATTCAGACGCTTGGCAACTGGCTCATATTTATGACGGTTGCAGTGTCATGTGATCAACTTTTGTGGCCTTCTGACAAACTCAATGAGGGAAGCCAGATTCACTTAACAACCGTGTGACTAACTTAATGGCTGCAGTAACTCCCTTAACAACTGTGGCAAAAAAGGTCGTAAAATGGGGCAGAATTCACTCAACAACTATCTCACTTAGCAACCTAAATTTTGGGCTCAGTTGTGGCAGGTCAAGGACTGCCGACATGTGTTTACAATACATATCTTTATATTACACGATAATATGTTACTCGATTATTTATATATCTTATCTTATCTATATTTGGAGTTTATCCTCTTTCAATTTCAGCCAGAAAGCTCTGTGTCCTGTCTTGAAAACATTGCAACCTTCCTCTTTCTTCTCTTTGGCAGGTTTCGATCTCGGCTCTCTTCAGATATCGAATGAGAAAGTGGGGGACGTGGTCCTTCCCAAATGGGCCAAATCCCCAGAAGATTTTATCCACAAACACCGGCAAGCACTAGTATGTGAAATGAAGTTAACAATGGGGTTGCTAGAAAGGTCGTCCCATCTAAAGCTTTGCAAAACACCTCTAAAAAATCCGGGCAGTTGTAGAATTGTGGGTGCTCTCTGACTTGGGTGATTTTCTTGCAATTGTTTCATGACCCAAGTAGGTAACATCATCAGTGCTACAAGGGAGGGTGGAGAGGAGGAGGAAGAGGAGAAGGAGGAGAACTGTGGGATCCTTGGAACTCTCTGAACATTGTTTTCTTGTAGACATTTTATAACTCAAATATGGAACATCACCAAGTGCATCTCAGCTATAAAAATTCTCTTCTACCTATATACTATTAAAACTCTGGTGTCTGTTGGTAACCTTCAGTTGGGCAAAACGGGGCGTCATAGCGCAATAATTTTTGAATCGGTGTATCTCAAATAGGTTAACTTACAGAATGCATCTAAAGTCCAGGATTCTTGAGTCCCATAGGATGGAAATTTGGCAAAGTTATGACTGCCATGTTGCTACACTGTTGTGCTGCCATGGTCACACAATTGCCATTTCCAACATCCAACATCCAACATTCCAACATCCCGGCCAACCTCCTACAACGAAAGTTAATGGGGAAGCCTGCAGGAAGTCAAAAGCCATTTTTCCTTATGTTTTTTCTTTGGATAGCAAAGTATCTCTGAAATGATGACCTAACAGGATATGAGTTGTCTAGTTATTTCTACATTTCAGGGTTTTAAATACACCTGTGGAAGTCCTCATTTGGGAACGGTTTTCATACCCCCACGGTGAATTGAATTGGGTTCTTTTCCTGTGGAAAGAACACCCTGTTTGACTTCCCATCTCTGTGTTGCATCCTCCACAGGAATCCGAGTATGTCTCAGCCCATCTGCATGAATGGATCGACTTGATCTTTGGCTATAAGCAGAGGGGGCCAGCAGCTGTGGAAGCTCTGAATGTATTCTACTATTGCACTTATGAAGGTAGGAGGACAAAACTGGGATTTTAAGTCAGGGATGCTCCCTTCCCAGCTACCGTGCAAGCATTCGATATGAATTAGGAACCCTCTCAACTTCTTTGCAAAAAAAACACAGCGACAATTGGGTGAGGAGCTACCAGAACCCAGAATGGGACAACTCGCCCCAGCTGACTTGCCCTGGCCAATTCACAGAACCGACTCACCGCAGGACCATTCAACTGTTCCATTATCCGCTATTATTTCTCCGACATTAATTTTTGTCATTCACAAAAATGACAAAATGTGGACCATGTTGACAAAAATTAAAATGATGTCGAAGAAACAGTGGCAGGTAACAGTACAGTTATCCCGTGTTGAATTTTTTCTGCGGCAAATTTTCCCACGGCACATTAGCCGCGGTTGAGTTGTGCTTCAGTGAGTCAGCTGGGGAAAGTCAGCCAGAGTGAATCGGTCGTAGCGAGTCAGCCGCGGTGAGTCAGCAGGGATGAGTTGTCCTAGAACAGTGATGGCTAACCTTTCCCAGACTGAGTGTCCAAAGCGCGCACGAACCCCCAAAATGTAATGCACGCAACCCCTACACATGCGTCCATCCACTGTGCAAGCGTGTGCGGGCCCCCACATTCTTGTGAGGGGCCTCTGCATGCACCCTGTTCCCATGAATGCACCTGTGGGCCCTCCGCATGCGCGGCAGAGACCGAAAGACCAGCTGGCTAGCGGGAGGCATACACGGTGAAGCTAAGCTGGGCGATGGCTTGCGTGCCCACAGAGAGGACTCTGCGTGCCACAAGTTCGCCACCACAGTCCTAGAACCACCAGGAGAAGCGGGTCGGGGTAGATACTACAATCCTTTGATTATTGTTCAGTTCTGCATCCAAAGAGATGTCAAAACAACTTGTTTCAACTCTCTACTGCAGTACTGTACTGTGCTGTAAGCGGTACAGTCCGCCGTTTCGGTGTTACACCTGCCGTTTTCACTTAGGGGCAGTCGATTTGGACGCGATCGCAGACGAAACGCAACGCAAGGCTTTGGAAGGCATCATCAGTAACTTTGGGCAGACACCCTGCCAGCTGTTGAAGGTACAGGGGTTAATAATTGCAGTGGTTGTGTTTCCGTAGTGGATAGAGAGGCGATTTCCTTCTAGGGTTCAGGACCTAGCCAGAAGGAGCAGTAAAGAAATACAGGCCGTCCTTGACTTAAAACCGTTCATTTAGTGGCCATTCGAAGTCACAATGGCACTGAAAGCAGTGAGTTTTGACTGGTTTTAACACTTACAACCCAGTAGTGGGATTCAAATACTGGGGCTACCGGTTTGCTATCGGTAGTGCACAGCGCTTCTGCGCATACACAGAGCGTTTTTGATGGGTGGACGGAGCCTCCCACCGCCACCACTACCGATTTGCCCGAACTGGGAGCAACCCACCACTGTTACGACCATCACTGGATCAATTATGGTCATAAGTCAAGGACTACCAGTAGTGAGCTACCAAATCTTGAAGACGGACGAGGATTAGACAAGGCCTATAAATGGTTGAGGAATAAGACCTTCCTTAAATATTGAGTAATGGTCATTTTAAACATTTAAGCTTTTGTTTTACAGGTAGTTCTCAACTTACAACCGCCACTGTTAGGAAATGGCTATTGTCTAACTAGTTGGTCAGGCAATATATAAACTATCAATACATGTTTGTCAAAAGGTATTATATTGCTTTAAGACTGTATTGCACCATCCTGCATCCTGATTGGCTAAGCTCTGTAGCCAATGTACTTAAAGGGAAGCCTAAATCATGGCTTGTAGAACACTACACCATTTTATCTGCTTATTTGCTGTTACTCTCTACCTGTTCTCTCTGCATGATCACTGTTTGATCATTGCTACTTGTTGCTTTCTACTATTTATTGAATGTTTTAATACTGAATTTGTTCCTGTTTGAAACTCAAGAAGAACTGTTTTATTGTGTAATGACAACAACTGGTAAGAAGACTTTGTACTTGGAATATCCCTGAATTGATATTTTAACTATCGCCTTATCTGTGTATGACTTGGATTGTTATTGGACTTTGCTTTACTTTTTTCTAAAAAGTAAAAGACTACCACAACTCAGTGTGTCAATATATTAACTGTGGTTATTCACTTTCAGCCGCTTTCATGTGCATACTCAAGGGGTACTCTGCTCAATAACCCATAACATCGGTTATGAGCCAAGAATATCCTTAAGAGCCACAGAAGCCAAAATGTCCATTGCTAAGCGAGATAGTTGCTCGGTGACCATTCAAATTTACTACGGCACTGAAAATAGTGAGTTATATGATGACTTTTCACGCTTACAACCATTGGGGCACGTGATCAACATTTGGATGCTTGGCAGCTGGCTCCTATTTACGAGCATTGCAGCATCCCCGGGATCATGTGATCCCTTCTTGCGACCGTTCGACCAGCAAAGTCGGTAGCCAGATTCACTTCACCACGTTCCTTAACAACTGCCGTGATTCACTTAACAACTGTGGCAGGAAAGGTCGGGAAATGGGCCCAAACTCACTTAACAACGGTCTCGCTTAGCAACAGACATCGTGGTCGTAAGTCGAGGACTACCTATATCTTCAGGGAAATGGAAAAACGAAAAGTTCTTGTAAAATTGAGAGTGTTTTTCTTCTCCACAGGAACCACATCCGGCCCGTTTCTCGGCTGAAAATGCAGCTAAGAGACTTTCTCGCCTGGATACATATTCTCCCAACATTTTTGAAAACCTGGATCAACTCAAATCGTTCTTCGTTGAAGTAAGTCTTTTCCCATATTGAGACAAAAGAGTTCATTTTGATTGCTTCTCATCTTGCCACCGATACAGGTAGTCCTCAACTTAGGACCATTCGTCTAGTGACAACGGGGCTGAGAAAAAGTGGTCCTCGCACTTGTGACCGTCTCAGTATTCCCCACGGTCACATGATCAGAATTCAGGTTCTTGGCAACCAGCACGTAGAGATAGTCCCCCACTTACAAAAGCTCACTTAGTGACCATTCGGAGTTATAGCAACACTAAAGAAAGTGACCTTTTTTCACACTTACGACCGCTGCATGGTCACGTGATCAAAATTCAGATGCTTGGGAGCTGACTCACATTTACGACCGTTGAAGTGTCCTGGAGGGTGACGTCATCCTTCCTTTGGCTACCTTCCGACAAGCAGAATCAATGGGAAAGCCCAATTCGCTGAACAACGGTTTTTCCCATTTCAGCAACGGCAGTGATTCATTCAACCACTGTGGCAAGAAAGGTCGTAAAATGAGACAAAGTTCACTCAACAAATCTCTCACTTAGCAACAGAAACTTTGGGCACCCAATTGTGGTCGTAAGTCGAGGATTACCTGTACAGTTGCAGCATCCTGGGATCACGTGATCCGCCGTTTGTGACCTTTCCCCCCCCCGGCAGTCAATGGGGAGGGGAGCTGGATTCACTTAACAACCACATACAGGTGCTGTAGAAGGAAACGAAGAAGCGAGATGCAAAACTTTTTCAAGGAAAATAAAAGCCAAGAAATTTGAGTTACCTTTTTGGAAAATCACCTTTAGGACCAACTTACAAAGATACACCAGATCATTAAAAACACAACGCTTTGTCTTCTCTTCTTCTTTATTTAGGGCATCAGCGACCGGATCCCACTCGTCCAGGTGATCGTGCCCAAGAGTCAGTCTCATTCTTTCATGACTCAGGGATCTCCGGACATGATGGTAAGAGTGGGGGAGGGGGAGAGAATCCTTGACCTCTTCCAGAAATTTTTTAGAAAGTTGACATGGTGGACAATTGATGTAGGAGAACTAGAAAACCCAAAATAAATCATTCTCAGAGTCTGCCTTTACCCCTTTGGTTGATTGGGACAAGATCTAGAACAGATCCTCCACACCTAGCACAGAGTTCACCTGTGGAACTCATTGCCACAAGAGGGGATTATTATTATTATTATTATTATTTATTGAATTTATATTGCCGCCTTTTCACACACGGCAACTCAGAATAGAAAACTCATTTAAAACAATAAAACTAATTTTAAAAAATCAAATAAATTAATATAATATAATAAAATCACTGGGAATGATAAGCATGGGCAGGAGCATCAAGAGGCTCCAGAAGAGGATACACAAATTGGTGGGAGAGAAGTTTGCTGAGGATTGTGAGTCTTGAAGACACCATGTTACCTCCAAATTAGGAGCCACCTGCCTCTCAATCTGAGTTGCAGAAGAAAAAGAAAAGAATGTGTCCATCTCCTAGAAGCTCAAGTTGGCCACCACAAGGAGCAGAATGCAGGACTAAGAGGTCCTTGGCATGGTCCATCATGTTTTTCTAGGAAGGAGATGTAGAACAATCCAAAAGAAGTAGTTGTTCATGCAGAGCTAATGAACTTCTGGAATTCATTGTCATGGACATGGTGGTTACCACTAACTTGGCTGGCCGTCAGAAGGGGTTGGATAAATTCCTGGAGGTCTGTTGGGGTCTGCGCATCTTGAAGACCCCATGTTACCTCTGTGTTGAAGATCAGTTATGGAGAAACAACCATAGAAGATGATAGTTCTCCATCCTGCTCAGACCCATCTAGATGGCCACCAAGAGAAACAAAATGTTGGACCTTGGCTGGACCAACACAGCCCTTCTAATATCCTCCCACCCCACCCCATTGCTTCTTCTCCTTCATTCTTAGTTGATGTTCCTTACCCTCTGTCCAGGTCACAGTCAGTGCCAACGGGCTGCTAGGAACTCACAGCTGGTTGCCGTACGATAAAAACATCTCCAATTACTTCAGCTTCACCAAAGACTCCACCGTCTCCAACCCAAAGTGAGTCCCAGCTTCTTCTCGGGCCACAAGGACATTCTGAGAAGTTCCTTCATCTTCCTCCACGTCTTCCAACCTTATTCTTGCTTTCTCCTGCCAGGACGCAGCGCTACCTGTACGGACCCTTTGCTCCGGGGGCAGAGTTGTCCTCCAAAACATTGGTGGTCTCTCATGACGGCAAGCTCCTCTTCAGTGGAGGTCACTGGGACAACAGCTTGCGGGTCACCTCGTTGAGTAAAGGAAAGGTGGTGGGACACATCAATCGTCACATAGGTAGGAATCCGAGTTTCTGCCAACTTTTTCCTGGAAAATCTAGTCGGTGGAACTTGGGTGTGGATGAACAAATGAGGACTGTTAGTAGGTCCAGCTTAAATGAGTTTCATTATCCTGAGCTATTGAGGTACGACTGTAATGGAGTGTGCCCATTATAGTCGCAAGTTAGGGCAGTTCTTAAACCTGGCGACCACATGAGCACCTCGCTTAGCAGTCTCAATCCCTTCACCAATGCGGTCGTTAGGCAGAGCACGGGACACCATAGTGGTGGGAGATGCCCTGGGACGCTTAGGACAGACTGACCAGCTGGCCAAGATCTCAAGGTCTTCTCCGTCCTGATGCACCCCATGCTTTGTTTCCCATCCTTTGGGGACCCCAAAAATCTGGGCATTTTTTTCTGCCCCCCCTCTGGGTGGCAGACACTCCTGGGATCATGCCATGTGCCATGCTCAGGAATGAAGGGGCATGCCTGATAGGTAACAAGGGGTGAGGAGGAAGGTGTGGAGGGTGGGGTGGGGTGGAAGCAGGCTGAAATCTTGCAGGAACCTGATGGGGTAGGTGGGGTAGGTGGGGGGGAGATATGCGGGGGGAGGCTGCAGTATCCTTGTGGTCAGTCATATGAGTAAACGGCTCGTGGGATATTGCAGTGACCATAATGTTGGAACTAGGACTTAAGTAGCTTTTGGGAGGTGCCATGTACCTTTGACCGTCTCCTGGCAATTTGCCCTAAAGTCCCCCAACTGGCTTTCATATCTAAGGCGGGACTAGAATTCACCGTCTCCTGGTGACTGACCTAAAGTCACCCAGCCAGTTTTGTGCCTAAGATAAAACTAGAGCTCACCATCTCCTGGTGATTGACCCAAATTCACTCAGATGGTTTTTGTGCGTAAGGCAGGATTAGAACTCACTGTCTCCTGGTGATTGGCCCAAAGCCACCCAGTCAGCTTTCATGCCCAAGACGGGACTAGAACTCAACATCTCCTGGTGATTGGCCCAAACTCACCCAGTCAGCTTTCGTGCTTAAGCTGGGACTAGAACTCACCGTCTCCTGGTGATTGGCCCAAAGCCACCCAACCAGCTTTCATGCCCAAAATGGGACTAGAACTCACTGTCTCCTGGTGATTGGCCCAAAGTCACCTAGCTGCCCTTTCACACATAAGGTGTGACTAGAACTCGACCTTGCATTTCTGTTTGGCTTTGTATGAAATCTTCTTTGTCTTCGCAACAGATGTCGTCACCTGCCTGGCCTTAGATCTGTGCGGAATCTACCTCATTTCTGGATCGCGAGACACCACCTGTCTGGTGTGGCAAGTCCTTCAGCAGGTAAGAGATTCCCCTCTTCGATTCCCTTCCGTCACGGCTGAGATGATCCCAGGGTTTTGGTGTTCTCCTTCTCCACTTTCCACTCCCAGGATCCCCTTTGGTGTGTCCAGGAAGAGTGAGACCCTTTCTCAGGGTACAATTCTGGCCCAGACTCATATTTCTCTTATCTGCGTTCCTCAAGGTCATTCCTTCTTCCCATTATATCTATCAGAGATGGTGCAGCGAACCCTGCAGCACGCACAGGGTTAGACTAGATGACCTCTTAAGCCCCTTGCGACTCTATGGTTCTATCTTCTTCCCTTATCCACCAGGGTGGACTGTCTTATGGCTTGGCTTCCAAGCCAGTCCAGGTCCTCTACGGACACGAAGATGAAGTCACGTGTGTTGGCATCAGCACAGAGCTGGACATGGCGGTTTCAGGGTCGAAGGTAAAGAGTTCGCATCCTTCACTTCACCTGGTTTGGGAGCCCTGATCGAAGTATTGCTTGGCAGGTGACCCCAGGAAGTCAAAAATCCCTGTTTCAGGTGTTTGGCATAAGTTTCAAGGGAAAGCGATTCCTTTTTGTGGCATGATTTTTGCAGTTCTCTTTAAGGAGTTTTATTGGGACGGAAGTTTTCTTTAACGAGATTTGTTGAGACGAAAGTTTTCTTTCTGTTCTTTCAAGCATCTTATACCGAAGATCGTATTTTCATTAATTTTGGAGAAAGGTAACAAAACTATTTACACAACAGTCTTCTGCCTCTTTTGCAGGTAGTCCTTGATTTATGACTGGTCACTTAGCAACTGCTCAGAGTTATGACAGGCCTGCTTAAAAGCTACTTATAACCTGGAAAACAACCCAGTTTTCAGTAAAACCACACCCATAGCGAGCAATGAATTCGCACTTATTCCTGCCACGTTCATTTAAAGACCAGGCATTTGCACTCACCACCACGGTGATTCGCTTAACGACAGCTGCAAACAATGTTGTAAAATCAGGATGGACATGTCATTGTTTCGTTTTATGACTGTTATCTAGAAATCTAGACCAATATCTAGAATATTTTTTTATTTATTTATTCTTGCCGCACTCTTTTCCCTGATCATCCCGTGGGCGTCCTCGCTGGGCAAAACCTTAATTAAAAACATGTTTTCTTCCTTCCCGCCCTCTGTCAGGATGGCACCATCCTCGTTCACACCATCCGCAGAGGGCAGTTCATGAAGTCGCTGAAGCCCCCATGGGAGAGTTCCCTGCCGGTCACCATCTCCAACCTGGTTGTAGGTCACGAGGGGCAGATCGTGGTCCAGACGATCTTGGGGGGAAGAGCCTCTCCCAAGGTACAATCTGGGAGGGAGGGAGGGAGGGAGGGAAGGAGGCAGGAATCAATGGGGGATTAAACTCAGGGTTGAACAATGAGTTTGGTGTGGTTTTCATGCAGATGTTTTATTAGCAAACTAGGTAACTTCATCAGTGCCAAGGGGTTTGTGGAGAAGAGGAGGAGGGAGAGAAGGAAGAGGAAGGAAGGACTGTAGGGTACTGGGGTCTCTCTGAGCTGGGTGGTTTCCTTGAAGACATTTCATGACCCAACTAGGGAACACCAGCAGTGCTGGAAGGAAGGAAGGAAGGAAAGAAGGAAAGGAGAAGGAAAGAAGGAAGAAGGAGGGAAGGAGGGAAGGAAGGAAGGAAGGAAGGAAAGAAGAAAGAAGGAGAGAAGTAAGAAGGGAAAAAGAAGGAAAGGAGGGAGGGAAGCAAGGAAGAAAAAAGGAAAGAAGGAAAAAAGGAAAGGAGGGAGGGAAGGAAGGAAGAAAAAAGGAAAGAAGAAAGAAGGAAAGAAGGAGGGAGGGAAGGAAGAAAGGACTGTGGGGTACTGGGGTCTCTCTGAGGCTGGGTGGTTTCCTTGAAGACGTTTCATGACCCAACTAGGGAACATCAGCAGTGCTGGAAGGAAGGAAGGAAAGAAGGAAAAGGAAAGAAGGAAAGGAGAAGGAAAGAAGAAAGAAGGAGGGAAGGAAAGAAGGAAGGAAAGAAGAAGAAGGAGGGAAGGAAAGAAGGAAGGAAAGAAGAAAGAGAAGGAAGGAAAGAAGAAAGAAGGAGGGAAGGAAGGAAGGAAAGAAGAAAGAAGTAGAGAAGAAAGAAGGAAAAAAAGAAGGAAAGAAGGAGGGAGGGAAGGAAGGAAGAAAAAAGGAAAGAAGAAGGAAAGAAGAAAGAAGGAAAGAAGGAGGGAGGGAAGGAAGGAAGAAAAAAGGAAAGAAGAAGGAAAGAAGAAAGAAGGAAAGGAGAAGGAAAGAAGAAAGAAGGAGGGAGGGAAGGAAGAAAAAGAAGGAGAGGAGAAAGAAGGAAAAAAGGAAAGAAGGAGGGAGGGAAGGAAGGAAGAAAAAAGGAAAGAAGAAGGAAAGAAGAAAGAAGGAAAGAAGGAAAGGAGAAAGAAAGAAGAAAGAAGGAAAGAAGGAGGGAGGGAACGAAGGAAGGACTGTGGGGTACTGGGGGCTCTCTGAGCTGGGTGGTTTCCTTGAAGACATTTCATGACCCAACTAGGGAACACCAGCAGTGCTGGAAGGAAGGAAAGAAAGAGAAGGAAAGATGGAAAGGAGAAGGAAAGAAGAAAGAAGGAGGGAAGAAAGGAAAGAAAGAAAGGAGTGAAAAAAGAAGGAAAAAATGAGGGAAGGAAGGAAGAAGGAAGGGGAAAAAAAGAAAGAAGAAAGAAGGAAAAAAGGAGGAAAGGAGGAGGGAGGGAAGGAAGGAAGAAAAGGAAAGAAGGAAGAAGGAAGGAAGGGGAAAAAAGGAAAGAAGAAAGAAGGAAAGGAGGAGGGAGGGAAGGAAGGAAGAAAGGACTGTGGGGTCTTTGGTGCTCTCAGACCTTGGTGGTTTCCTTGAAGACATTTCATTACCAAGCTAAGTAACACCATCAGTGCTAGGAAGGAGTGGAGTTTGCAAGGAGGAGGAGGAGGGTGGGATCCTTGTGCTCTCTGCGTTGGTTCCCTTGTAAACATTTCATGACCCAACTAGGTAACATCATCAGTGCTGGAAGGGAGTGGGGATTGTGGGGATGAGGAAGAGGAAGAGGAAGTGTGGGGAAGAGGAGGACGGTGGGGTCCTTGGTGCTCTCTGAGTTTCGTGGAGTGGAGTTTGCAGAAAGGGGGGAGAAGGGGGAAGGGGAGGAAAAACCAGTCATAAATCACTTTTTTCAGTGCCACCATAACTTAGAACGGTCACTAAATGAATGATTAGAAGTCGAGGACTCTCTCTACTTCGTACAGGCCTGCTCAGCTTCTCCTTCTTCTTCTTCTTCTCCTTCTTCACTAAAGGACAAGTTCGCCCTCCACCTTTACTCCGTCAACGGCAAGCACCTGTCTTATGTCCCTCTGGATGAGCAGGTTACCTCGATGTGCGTCACGGAGGACTTCGTCGTGTTGGGCACTCTTCAGTGTTCGTTGCAGATCAGGGACCTTCAGAGGTAACCTTCTTCTCCTTCCTCAGTTTCTCTTTTTTGACATATGGCTACCCTATTCTCTCGGTGGGACTTACGGTATCGATGCTTAGATATTGCCAGGCGCGAACAAACAGATCCGCACGGGTAGAGTTCAAACTTGCTACTTTATTGTCGAATGCCTATTTACAGGAATCTTTCCAGACTGGCAGATTCACCTGGGAAAGACCAGATAAGACTCAAAGACATTCAAGGAAGAATCAGATTTTAGCAGTATTGGTGGAAGTGTAGGGTTTTTTTCCCCCTTTCGTAGTTCCTGAATTTAAAAGTATTGCTTTTTGCTTGATTGTTTGTCTGGCGTTAATCCACGCTTATCTGGGTTTCTCTTTCTGTGGGCTCCTTGGTGCTCCCTGAGCTTGCTAGTTTCCTTGCAGCCATTTCAGTTTGATCATCAAACATCTGCAAGTAAACAACCAAGCTCAGCGAGCACCAAGGAGCCCACAATCCACTCAAGGTCCAGTTCTTTGTTTGCTCACAGTCAACAGACAGAATCTTGCCAGACTAAACTTTTGCTACTCTCACCCTAACGGATGTATCCTGGGAGATTCTAGGGCAGTGATGACTAACCTTTTTGCCGTCACGTGCCAAAAGTGGGGAGAGCACAGGGGGGTCTCGCGCATGCGTGCCCACACCCATAATGCAATATCCCCCGCACATCCTGCCCCCACGCATGCACGCACGACCCCCCTATGCTCCCCCACGCGAGCCACCCCCATGCTCCCCCACCCCCCGTACATATGTGTGCAACCTCCCCGTGCTCCCCGCACATACATGTACAACACTCGGCACTCACCCCACCCCACACATATGCACGACCCCCCTCCTGCCCCATGCATGTACATAAGACTCCCATGTATGTGCGCACATCTCCCACATGTGCACTTCCCCCACACCAGAGACCCAAAAATCAGCTGGCCGGCGGGAGGCATGCACACATGCGTGGTGAAGCTGAGCTGGGCAATGGCTCGCATGCCCGCGGAGAGGGCCACAGGTTCGCCATCACAGTTCTAGGGAGTGGCTATCCTAATTCTTTTTTTACCTCTCACGATCCAATTCTGAGCTGTGCTGCCTCTTGCCACACGCCGCCCCTCCTGGGGCTCGCTCAGATCTGTGAAACTGACTCTTCATTGTAGTCCATCACACCACTTCCCCTGCCGTGGGAACAGCTTATCACAAAAACTCGCTTCCCACCGTCTTATCCAAAGCCATTCTTCTCTTCAGAGACCTTATTCCTGATTTGATCTGACCAAGGTATCAGCAACACAAGTAGTCCTTGACTTACAACCGTTCATTTAGTGACCGAAGTTACAACGGCACTGGAAAAAAATCTTATGACCGTTTTTCACACTTATGATAGATACCCTGTTTTCCCCAAAATAAGACATTCCTCTGATAATAAATAGATAAATATATGGATGGATAAATAGATTGAGAGATAAATAGATAGAAGAGAAAGAGATATGATAAGATAGATAGATAGATGATAGATAGATGGATGGTTAAATAGATTGATAAATAGATAGATGAGAGATGGATAGATACCCTGTTTCCCCCAAAATAAAACACCCCCTGATAATAAGCCCAATTGGGCTTTTGAGCACATGGAAATAAGGCCAAGCCCTTATTTCAGGTTTCAGAAAAATATAAGACAGGGTCTTATTTTTGGGGAAACACGGTAGATAGATAGATAGATAGATAGATAGATAGATAGATAGATAGATAGATAGATGATAGAAATGACAAGCAAAGTCAATGGGGGAAGACAGATTCACTTAACAACCGGGTCACTAACTTAACAGCTGCAGGAATTCGCTTAACAACTGCAGCAAGAAAGGTCGTAAAATGGGGCACAGCTCACTTAACTGTCTCACTTAGCAACAGGGCTCCATTGTGGTCGTAAGTCGAGGAGTACTGTCCCTTTCCATCAGGAAGAGTTCAGAGAGGATGGGCAGGATAAGAAGCGTAGTTTCCATGATCTGAAAGGCAGCAGGCTGGGAAATTTCTGCTCTCGGGGGCCTCGATTATTCCACTCCATTTTCCCTCCTTCCAGGCTGCAGCCGGCAATTCCCTCTTTGATCATGAAGGTCCCCATCCACAGCGTCTCCATGACGAAAGAGAAAAGCCACATCTTGGTGGGTCTGGAAGACGGCAAGTTGATCGTGGTCGGCGCAGGGCAGCCTTCGGAGGTGAGTGTCAGCCCCTCTTCCTCCTTATTTATTTTATTTATTTATTTGTTTCAATTTATATACCGCCCTTCTCCAACAGGACTCAGGGCGGTGAACAGCCGAAATAAAAACAGAACATACAAAATTTAAAAACAGTTTAAAATGATTAAATATCTTTGGCCGCGATTTAAAACAAACCCAATTTAAAATCAATTAAAATTTAACCCAAAACTGTGGGATCAAGCCAGCCCGGCTAGTTGAAATAAATAAGTTTTCAGGGCCCGATGAAAAATCCGGAGGTCTGATATTGTACGTATCTCTGGGGGAAGGTTGTTCCAGAGGGTGGGCGCCGCCACGGAGAAGGCTCTCCCCCTGGGGGTCGCCAGCCGACACTGTCTGGCGGACGGCACCCTGAGGAGGCCCACTCTGTGTGAGCGTACTGGCCGGTGGGAGGCTATTGGTGGCAGAAGGCGGTCTCGTAAATACCCCGGCCCTAAGCCATGGAGCGCTTTAAAGGTGGTCACCAACACCTTCAGCTTAATTTCTCTAAAGGACAGGAATTGGGGCGCGTAAGTGCACATTACCAGCTCCCCGTGAGTCGTCCCATCTCGTTATCAGTGTGGGTACTCCATTTCCCCGAAAATAAGACCGGGTCTTATCTTCTTTTAGGCCCCAAAATAAGCACTAGGGCTTATTTTCAGGAGGAGTCTTTTGTTTTTTTTTAACCGTATGTGGGAGACCCAGTTCTTCTACTTGCTCATAGCGGGGCAGGAGGCTGCACGGTGCACCGGTGCTGCAGCCACAAGGCGAGGTGGTGGAGCTACTCCAGGTGCCCCACACCGCCTTACCTCAGGGCCTCCACAGCTAGGCCATCCCGACACATGCCTCAATTTATGGCCGCAGCACCAACACACCACTCGGCCCCTACTCTGTTGCAGCCACGACCAGAAGTCAGCTGGTGGCCATGTAGGCTCCTGCTGTACATGGCTGCTGGTACTGCCACCACAAGGCAGCCGTCAGGGCGTGGATGATGTGGCTGCAGGGACCCTGAAGTAAGCCGGTGCAGGGCATGTGGACAGCTCCACCGCCATCCTGTCTCACCTCATTGCCATGACAACCAGATGGAATGGGTGGACTGCTGGCTGCACAGGCTCTTAAGTAGGGCTTATTTGGGGGGTAGGGCTTATTTTAGGTGCATGTGTAAAAACATGCTAGGTCTTATTTTCTGGAAAACAGGTATACAGTCTCCTGTTTGAGCAGGGGGTTGGACTAGAAAACTCCCAAGGTACGCTTCCAACCCTATTATTCAACCACAGTCTTCAATCCTAACTCCTCCTCCTCCTAAATCGGCCTCCTAGTTGAGGAACCGCCTTAACGGCTGGACATGAAGGGTACTGTCAGCACTTCAACCTGCATTTACTCCAGTGCTGACATAAGAAGGAGAAGAGGGGGCAGCTGGCAAGAGGACGCTTGACTTCTCACCTACTTATTTTCCCTGGAGATAATGTTTCCGAGGAGATGAGATGGGAGGGGGGACATTCCTGGGAGCTGAAGTGAGAGATATGGGGAGAGTGATTTGGGAAGAGGGCTAATGACGCAGAGAATTGGGGAACGGAAAGGGAAGGTTTTGGGGTCAGGAAGTCAGTGTTGGCTATCTGTCAGGTTTCAATTAAAATAAATTGCATTTCCAAACAAATAGTCTTTGAAGAAATCTTTCATTTTATTAAGCACGACAACCTGTCCCAGATCGTGGCGTAGCCAACACTGACTTCCTGACCCCAAAACCTTCCCTTTCCGTTCCCCAATTCTCTGTGTCTCATTAGCCCTCTTCCCAAATCACTCTCCCCATATCTCTCACTTCAGCTCCCAGGAATGTCCCCCCTCCCATCTCATCTCCTCGGAAACATTATCTCCAGGGAAAATAAGTAGGTGAGAAGTCAAGCGTCCTCTTGCCAGCTGCTCCCTTTTCTCCTTCTTATGTCAGCACTAGAGTAAATGCAGGTTGAAGTGCTGACAGGTACTGCTGTCCACACAAGCTTAGAAGTCCATATGATGGTCAAACTTCTACTGGTTTGCTATGACCTTGTCTTGGCCGAGCAGACCCCGAGAAGCTCTGAGGTTCTCCTCAGGGTCCTTCTGCATCCTCCTTTGCCACCTCTCTTCTCCTTCTCCAGGTGCGGACGGGCCAGTTCCATCGGCGGCTGTGGCGTTCGACGCGGCGTATCTCCCAAGTGTCTTCGGGCGAGACAGAATATCATCCGACGGAATCCAAATAGAGGCCTCATTTTTAACTTTCCTGTTGCCTTGTAGTTACCTCTCTGCCACAGTGGTCCCCAGGTTCTCCTAAGAGAAGGCCCACCACTGCTGCTGTCTGATTCTCTCGTTGCGCGGCCGACGGATCTTTGCGGCTGCAGGGATAACCTGCGGCAATTCCCCAGAAGCGAGAACCTGCACACATCTGGAGCAGGCTCCTGAATGCAGTTTGTGCAGCAGAACAATCTGGGGGGTTTTGTGTGTGTGTGCCTGTGTGTGTGTGTGTGCGTGTGTGGTTTCCCTGAGTCCATTCAGCTGTTCCCCACCGATCAATGCTATACTACTGTTGATTCCTGCAGAGCTTGAAACGGCAAATGTTTGTATTCGTTGTCTTATACTGGAGAGCGTGAGCGAGAGAGGACGGGGTAAGGCTGCTGGAGTTTTCTTCTCCCCCTCCCACCATGTGCCAGAGTCTGGGGGTCACGAGTGAAGCAATAGACACCCCAACCTCAAGACTGCGGGTGATCTCTTGGTGGTGGCCTTAAGGAGACATTAGTTGCACTACGTGGAATACTGTGCCCGAAGTGGACACCCGTTGCACTCCGTGTCCTGAGAAGGGTGAGAAGTTCACTTAAACTCCGAAGAAAGCTTTAAAGGGAAGTCAGGAAGGTCAGGAGCTCTTGATCCTCAAGTTGGAAACCAAGAAAGTTGGACAGGGCGGGGAAACCCATAAGCGTTATGCCAGAGATGGGGCAGGAGGCGAATCCTCAAATCTCCTACGGTATGAAAAAAGTGAGCTTTTCCCACAGTTCTGGTGCCGTCTGGTGGCTTGGTCCTGAAAAACGTCCAGGGGACAGTTGATTGTTAGGGATGTGGGAGACCCAGACATTCATTCATTGGGGGCCAACTGTTTGCAACACCATGTCCTGCGTACCTTCACGAGCAATAAAAGACAATCTTGGTGCCCACGGGTTATACCCAACCCTGCCTCAAGGCCTTATGTTTCTCTGTGTCCCAAGACGAGGAGAACACGAGTGGACAATGGTACCCTCAGCCAGTTGTCCACTTCGTTCCTCACTTTCAAAAAAATCCATTCAATAGACACTCCCTGAGACGTCTTATCCAAGGACCTCCTGGTGGAAACAATGGACTCCCTGCTCCATCCTTTACATGTTTTATGGAATGGACATCATCTTCCTCTTAAGCCCCTGCTGATATCCACACTTCTGGCTTTCTTCACGGAGAAGATGGAGGATGTGCTGAGAAATCACACGCATGTTTCATCACGAAGACAAATCAGAGCAGATTCTACACTGGATGTGAGCTTTGTCCTACCTTCTTGTTCCTTGCTGCAGTTGTCTGAAGTTCTCTCCAAACTAAGACGAAGTCCTCAACTTACTCCACAGTTGTCCAACTACCAGCCTTCTTGGAGAGGTCATTCCATCTCTTCGCCCACATGGTTGAAGAAAACTGCGCTCCTGAAGGAAAGCACCTCTCGCTTCGCACCTAAAATCTGTTCACTTAAAATAAGGTGATCCTTCATCTACTCGTGTCTGAGTTACCTCTTTGTGTCCTGCTTCTGTGGCTGTACAAGCACGTTGATGGTTGAATGTCCTAGAGAAGAACAGGTACCTGTCTCCATCCCCACATGGCTTCCTTCCTGAATTACATTGTCTATTGTTGCTGTCTTCTTCCTAAGGGAGAACATACTTCATCCTCCAGGAGCACTTCTGAAGATCTTCTGTCTTCAGTTACCCCTAGAAAGCAACTCCATTGTTTCAGATTTCAGCTTCTGTGATTTTTATCCTACTCTTTAATTATTCTACTGTTCGTTGGTTGGTTCATCTTCCTGTTAGGAACATGGAGAAGAGGGAAGCTGTTCTTCTGCTTATTTGCAGATGAGAAATTTGCAAATTTCCAGAAGCTGGCTCAGATACTTTATGGGATGTTACTGCACTCCAAATGTGATGCGTTAGAACAATGTTTCTCAACCTTCGCAACTTGAAGATGTGTGAACTTCAACTCCCAGAATTCTTAAAGCATGCTGGCTGGAGGATTCTAGGAGTTCGGCCACCCCTTTTAAAGCATACTAGTTAGGAATTCTGGGAGTTGAAGTCCACCCATCTTAAAGCATAATTGATGGGGGATTCTGGGAGTTGAAGGCCACCCCTCTTTAAGTTCCCAAGATTGAGAAACAGTTCAATAGAAGTTTAAGATGGTGGTGTGTTTTTTTTTTGCCTTTTCTGGCCCACTAACACATCTGCTCTTACTTACGTAGAGGCAAACTGAGTCCAGACTACGAATGTTTTATCATATTCCTTCCACCTCTCTTGTTTTGCCTTTTTCTTCCCCAGGTAAGCATTCTCTAGGAGACTACAAACCCAATCATCCCTGTGTCTCCCCAAACCCAGAAACAAGATCCTCAATTGCTCCACAATTGTCTACAAGGTTGAAACCGTTCTTAAATCTTTTTCTTCTAATCTCTTATCCATTCCAGGTCTTTTCTCTGAAAGAACATAATAATAATAATTCTGGAACAGAGACCAGTTTCCACCAAGTGCAATATCAGTGTTCCAAAACTTTTGTACCCCCCCTTTTTTTATTATTTGTCTAAAGGGGGTAAAGATGTTAATTTTCAGAGTTTTCCGAAAGAAAACTACCGATGGATAACTGTCCTTTGACCAGCATGAAATTTAACACTGACTATTCATCCACGGTGGCTGTTGGTTGAGGCTTACATTGACTGCAGTTCTGAAGTTCCTAAGATTGTTGGCCTGGTTTGTTTGAGAGAATCTGAGTCAGTTGGATTGATTCGGGGCAGGTTTAGGCTGCAGACACCAGGCTGAATGTTTGGGGGGGATTTGCAAAGAAAAAAAAGGGGGGGCTCGTGTCTGTTGGTACGGGGTGATGTACCACGGTGTGCTTTTTCCACGTGCATATTTTGTACAGTCTGTATTGTGGTGGTACGCCATCATTTTTGACCCATGGGAAGTGAAGAAAGAGAAAAGAAAGAGGCTTTAATGATTCTTTGCAGCCTCCTAATGTTGCAAAGACTTTAAAAAAAAAAAAGTGAATGTTTTTAAGATTAAGGAGATAGAAGCACGCTCTGGAATTCAACATTATTTTGGATTTGTAAACGAACAAAACTGGATTGCGAAAAATGCTTTTAAGGCAATGTTTCTCACTGACTGCTTGAAGAAGGTTGGATTTCAACTCCCAGAATTCCCCAGCCAGCAGGCTGGCTGGGGAATTCTGGGAATTGAAGTCCACCCGTCTTCAAGAGTCCAAGGTTGAGAAACATTGCTTTAAGGATCGATATAGGGACAGGGGTGCCTTATTTGTCCCCCAACACCCCTAAAACTTCCATTTTGTCCCGATCCAGAACCGAGACTCCCAAAGAGGAAAAAGATCCATCCTCCACTTCGATCTGAGCCATTGTACCAGCCCAGCCTTCTCGATTTTAAGTAGGGCCATTGGTTGCCCAAGGGGAACTCTATGTATTTTGCAATAAATAGATTTTAAAGGAGGCACAGATCCTCAGCAACCACGGGGCATTTAAAAGCTCCCCTTGCAAATCGAGGTACCCATAAGGGATTGCAAATTTTTTGGACCTTGCCGGCGTTCTCTGTGATGTGGAAAAACAGTGTCTGGTTTTAAAAGGCCTCTGGGACAGAACAAATCCACTTAGACTGCACTACCTTGCGTCTTCTTTTCCTTCCAGAAAATTTAAAAGCACAATCTGAATTTTTAAATTTAGAAAAGTAAAAAATATGCCTTAAACTTGAATGGGACTGCTTGCCTTGAATTTTACTGGTTTTTGCCTCGCCGAAGGAGGATATTCTTGTTCCCCCGAGTTTAAATAAACAGATAAAAAAAGCAACGTTGTGTGGTTTGTTTTGCTGTTGTGTGTGTGAGACACTTTGGTTGTAGTTCCAGCTAGGAGTATAAACACAAGAGCAAGGAAATTACGAAATCAGGGCATGCCACCCAACGTTGAGTTAGGTAAGTCGTTTTAATGTTAATTTTTTAAATATTATGTTGTGCCTCTCTCTGAGGGAAATGATGATTAAGAAGTACAAAATATAAATAAATAATAAATAACTCAAGCATATAACATTATCTATACAGGTAGTCCTCAATTTACAAGAGTTTATTTAATGACTAAAGTTACAATGGCACTGAAAAAATGGGATTTATTATTATTTTACAAACATTGCACCATCCCTGTGGTGACAGGATCAAAATTCAGATGCTTGGCAACTGACTCATATTTATGACGGTTGCAACGTTCTGGGGTCACGTGATCCACATTTGCGACCTTCTGATGAGCAAGATTCACTTAATAATTGTGTACTAACTTAACTTTGGTGGCTCACTTAACAACTGTGGCAAGAAAGCTCGTAAAATGGGGGGAAACTCACTTAACAGATGTCTCATTTAGCAACAGAAATTTTGGGCTCAACTGTGTAAGTCAAGTTGTTAGTCCTCAATGTAATTAAAACCCGAACTTTTGTAACTAAACGAGGAGGTTGCTAAGTGAGTTGGGCCTGATTTTACAACTTTTGTTGTGATGGTTAAGCAAATCCCGATGGTTATTAAGTGAATCACCTGGTCACTAAGCAAGCTTAGGTCACAGTCGGCAATTACATGAACACAGGACGCTGTAATGATCATAAATACACGCTGGATGAAAGTTCAGTGAATTTTGATCATTGGACTGGGGACACTGCAATGGCTTTAAGGTGAGGTCTGGTCATAAATGCGAGGATCAGACTTTTTTGAGTATCGTCGTAACCAATTTATTACAAATTGCCTTAAGTCAAGGACTACCTGTAAAACAGAACTGGAAGGAATATAGATGTCAACTTGCAAAGTTTTCAAGTTGCCATGAGCAGGAGGGAGGGAGATTATGAGGGCTCATGAATTAATTAGGGCATCTTTTGGAAACTTCACAATGGACAAAACTGAGTTGGAAAGCAGTACTTGTTATACATGGAATGCATGTGTTCACACTCACACACAAAATCACCACAAACCAAAAATTTCTCAGTTAATAGCAAATAGTTCTTACGTGGAATCATAACTGAAAAAATCATGCTAAAGATTTAGTCTCTCGAGCTAAATGATTACCGAGAACAGGTTTTCCTTAACATTCCTGTAATGACTGCAAAAAACAGAAGTCAAAAGAATCAACTGGACTTCCCCACACAGAGAGAAATATGCTTATTATGGGATGCTCTTGAACTCACCATTCAGTTTCCTCAAGCTAATCAATTTTAAGATGAGTGGATTTCAACTCCCAGAATTCTCCAGGCAGCACTGGGAATCCCATAATAAGCAAGCATTTTCTTTCTTTCGTTTTCTTCCTTCCTTTCTTTTTCTTTCTTTCCTTTCTCTTCCTTTCCTATCTTCTTTCTTTTTTCTTTCTTTTCTCTTCCTTTCCTATCTTCTTTCTTTTTTTCTTTCCTTTCTCCTTCCTTCTTTCCTGCCTTGTCCGTCTTCTCCCTCCCTTTCTTGCTTCCTTCTCTGCAATGGAATCCTGCATCCAGTTTTGGTCACTGCAATATAAAAAAAGATGCTGAGACTCTAGAAAGAGTGCAGAGAAGAGCAACCATGATGATTAGGGGACTGGAGGCTAAAACATACGAAGAAGGGTTGCAGGAATTTTGGTATGTCTCGTTTGATGTAAAGAAGGACTAGGGGAGACATGATAGCAGTCTTCCAGTATTTGAGGGGCTGCCACAAAGAACAGGGGTTCAGCCCATTTTTCAAAGGAAGAAGAAGAAGCAATGGATGGCAACTCATCAAGGAGAGAAGCAACCTGGAATTAAGGAGATACTTCCTAACAGTGAGAACAATTAACCGGTGGAACAGCTTGAGACCAGAAGTTGTGGTGCTCCAACACTGCAGGTCTTCAAGAAGAGGCTGGGAAACCATTTATCTGAAATGGTATATAAAGTCTCCTTTCTGAGCAAGGGGTTGGACTAGAAGACCTCCAGGGTCCCTTCCCGCTCTGTGATTCTGTTATTCTCTGCCCCACCTCTCTCATGCCTTCCTAGCAGGGCTGTTTAGGGGTGTGGGGAAATCAGAGGAAGGGGTTAGGCACACCGTTTTGAGCTCTTTCGAGAAAGCTGGGGCTAATCAATAGGCTTGCCAGCTTTTTAAGCCTTTGCAAATGTACTTTTGCAATTCCAAACTAGCTGCAGTTTGGGCTCCCTGCCTTGCTCCCTGCCCCTCATCCTACGGGGCTTGCGGGCTCCCCGCCTGCCCTCCACCGGAGGCCGACGCAAAAGCAGCTCGATTGCACCAAACCCGCAAGAAAGCAGGTCAAAACCGCCCCTTCCCACGCAATTCATCCCTCGCATCGCCCGCTAAAAGCTTTGCTCATCGGCAGGTGGCGCTGTTGGCAAACATTAACACACCACGGGTAGAATCGGAGCGTGTGTCAGAGCCAACGCGGCATCTATTAGCAACGCGCAGGCGCACTTTCCCCCTCCCTGCCCTTCAGAGTAGCTTTGTGGTTCTTCAGTCCCGGTGAGACGAGAAAATAGAGCGAGCGGGCAAAAAAAAAACTCAGCAACCTTGAAATGTTTCTCCTCCGCCTTCCCGGCCCGCAAATTCGCTTTGTTAACTCTTTCGTGTCCGAGGGCGTTTTAATTCGCTTTTCTTCTACAATATTTTTACACGTTTACATTTACAACCTTTGCAAATAAGTCTGCGTGTGTGCATACACATATTACATATATTTTTATTACAATTATTATAATGCATGCATACATATATATATACTTGCCCATCTCTATATATACAGTATATAGTATATATAATTTCTACTATAATATTTGTGCCTACATTAACATGTCTATGCTTACGTCTCCTTCCCTGTCTCTCATGGTATACAATATAGGTAACATCATTTTTATTATAATTGTGCATTCAGTATACGTAATTGCACCTCTATTTCTTTATAACTTTACTATAATTATATTTGTGCACACATTAATATATACGCGTATCACTTCTCCATATGATACATAATATATATAACATTATTTTTATTATTACATTTATGCATACATTGATAATTTTTTTTTAAATTTGATTTATATGCCGCCCTTCTCCGGAGACTCAGGGCGGCTTACAATGCGTTAAGCAATAGCCTTCATCCTTTTTGTATATTTTATACAAAGTCAGCTTATTGCCCCCACAAACTGGGTCCTCATTTCACCTACCTTAGAAAGGATGGAAGGCTGAGTCGACCTTGAGCCTTGGAGAGATTCGCACTTGCAGTAATTGCAGGCAGCTGATGTTAATAACAGTGCTTTAGTCAACTGTACTAAAGGCTCTGTATAATATAGTTTTATGCTCTTTCTCTCATTATACAGTATATATCTAACCTTTGATTTTTATGACAATCATATATTTTTACACATTATATATACATCTGCATGTTCTATAATATAATTTTATTATTATAATAATACATACATTCATATCTATACTTGCGTCCATTTTTCCTTATTTATCATTTTATTATATTTGTGCATGCATTCACATCTACAATCGCAACTCTCTCTTTTTCCTTATTTATAACTTTGTTACAATTATAGTTGCGCAGATATTTATATATATGTATGTATGTATATATATTTGGCATCTTTTATTCTATCTTGCAAAAAACGTGATCCCGACAGAGCCGCTTCGAGCGGCTCTCTCCAGCCTACAACTTTCTCATGCAATAAACTACAAGAACCAGAAGGCCTCGCGCTTGCTTGGCTGAGCACTCTGGAACTTGTAGTCCATGAGCCTTGCAAAAGGGGTGAACCGGCCCACTTACTCACGTGACGCTCCTCCCAGCTGGACTTTGCCCAGGTCCGAAGGGCCGGTACGGAGGGATTCTCGGTGCACCCCGTTTTTCCAAGCGGCCCCAGAGGTATGGAGGGTGCAAACTTGCGCGTTTCCCTGGGACGCCTCCAAACGTTGCTTTGACTCTGCGATTGCGAGTTTGCAAAGTTTGCAAGAAGTTTGCTGAATGCAGGTTCTGCAACAGACCGCCCCCAAGCTGGCAAATCAGAAATCAGCTTTGGAAATATAATAATGATGCATTCATTCATATATATGTATATATATATATATATGCATCTCTATTTCCTTATTTATAATTTTATTATATAACATAATACGTAATATATATTGTATATAATATATATATATATATGTATGTATGTATGTATGTATGTTATATATATATATATATATATATATATATATTATATATATATATATATATATATATATATTTGTCTTCTTAAGTTTTCGCGGGTGTGTATATGCAAAAAATTAAAATCTCGGGTGTTTTCCCGCGTCATGTTAAATAAGTTAGTTAAAATGTTTAAAATTCTTATTAAAATCCAGAATTTTAAACATTTTAACTAACTTATTTAACATGATGCGGGAAAACACCCGAGATTTTAATTTTTTGCATATATATATAATATAATACAACAGAAACAGTGGGAGGGTGGCAAAGTCTTTGGGAAAACAGTCATTTTTTTCCAATCTCGGCTTCCTTGCAGAGGAATTCTGGGACATGTTAATTCACACATGCTGGCTGGGGAATTCTGGGATTTGAAGTCCACATTTACTGGCTGGGGAATTCTGGGTGGGGAAAATCCACTTGTTTTTGTTGGGGAATTGTGGGGGCTGAAGTTTGTAGTTTTAATAAAGAGGAATTCTGGGAGTTGAAATTCACACGGCTCCTTGGGGAATTCTGGGAGTTGAAGTCTACAGGACTTTGGATCCCTCTCAACCTGGTCAACACCGCAAGGTTGTTATGAGGAAAGGAAAAAAAAGAACCACTGTGGGATAAATCGGCCAAATTTATTTAATTATTTTAATTTTTAATCATTGTTGTGTCCTGTGTTTTTAAATTGGCTGTACACTGCCCTGAGTCCTTTGGGAGAAGGGCGGTATAGAAATAAAATTATTATTATTATTATTATTATTATTATTATTATTATTATTATTATTATTATTATTTAAATCTAACACCAACGTTTTGCTCCGCAGATATTGAGCTGGTGATATCTTCCATTCAGAAATCTGATCACCTGTGGCTGTAGGTAACTCAGCTGGGATTCTGACATTTGGCCCTCCCTCGCAGGGAGGTTGTGAAACGTTATGGAAATAACGCAGTATTAATAACATGTTAAAATAGTGCGGATGAATAAATAAGAATCGTTAAACTGTGATAAAAAAACCTGTTGGTTTTGCATTTTCGTTGCCTCGTTTAAAATACAAGTATTGTCCTCGTCTTACAACAGTTTGCTTAGTGACCGTTCAAAGTTACGACGACAGCGCAGCAGAAAGGAATTGCGACTGGGTTTTTTTCACAGTTACGACCATTGCAGCCTCCGCGTGGACACGCGATCAACATTCACACGGTTGCCAACTGACTCACATTTATGACGGTTGCTTTGTCCTGCGATCGTATTATGTGACCTTCTGGCAAGCAAAGTCAATGGGGAAGCCAGATTCGCTTAACAACCATGTGACTCACTTAACAAGTGCAGTGATTCACTTAACAATGGGGCAAGAAAGGTTGTAAAATGGGGCAAAACTCACTTAACAACTATCTCAGCAGTGGAAATTTTGAGCTCAATTGCAGTCATAAGTCGAGGACTATTTGAAATTTAAATTAAAACAGAGAGTCCTTTGTTAGAGAGGCTCTACTGAAGGAAATTCAATGTTTTTTTGGCCGGGGTCCCCGTCTGACCTCATTTTTCTCCTCTGATCCTCATCTCCCCACCAGGGTTCGATTACCGAACATGGGCATTGGACGGTATCTGGTGCTTTTTCTGCCAACCGCAATGGCATTTGCAGTATACACGTAGACCTCGACTTACGACTTGCAAAACAAGGAAGTTGTTAAGTGCATCACGCTCGATTTCACGATCATTGCCATCATTCAGTGAATCGGTCGTTAAGTGAATCCGGCTTCCCCATTGACTTTGCATGTCGAAAGCCGGCAGGTAGGGTCACAAGTGGTGATCCGGGGATGCGACAACCGTTGTAAAAACGTGCCTTTTCCAAGTGTACAAATTTTGATCGTGTGACTGCGGGAACGGCTCAACGGTCATAAGTGCGAGAACTGGCCATAGGGCCCTTTTAACTGGAAAACGACGGAAGTAACTCTTTTTCAGTGCCACTCTGAGTTGAAACGGTCACTGAATGAGTGGCTGTAAGTCGAGGATTACCCAAAATGCACTTTGCTTGTTTGGGGACATGTCACCACATGCCACAACCCCCACTTTTTTTACTTGGACCCCTTAGAAATTTCCCAAGGTCTCCAAAAGGCCATGTGGGGTTGAAAAGGGGGTTGGACTAGATCAGGGGTCCCCAATCCTGGCCTGTGGCTCATGCAAACCCAGACGGGCCACACGAGCCCCCCCACCCACCCATCCGCCAAACCAGAAAGTTTGGGGGACCGCTGGACTAGATGACCTCTAGGGTCACCTCCCATCTCTGGGTTGTTGGGATTCGCTCCTCGGTCCCTTTCAGCAGCTCCTCGAACCCGGCGCGTCCTGCTTCCGTGATTCCCGACTTCCATCTTCGTTTCTTTGCAGAGCATGTGGGAAGGACGCCGCGTGGAGGAACTGCCCACTCCGGCCTTCACGGTGGATCTCGACGTAGCCACGAGGAATGCGCAGCACATGCGGGAGCGTTGCGAAGCTCTGGGGGTGGCCCTGAGGCCCCACATGAAGACCCACAAGACGCTGTGAGTGGGAGGCGGGGGTGGCATTCACTTACCTTCGCTACCTGTTCACAGAGCATCAAAAACGGGACGTGATGACATCCGAGCAGGTGGGCGGAGCCTCCCTCAGCCGCCGCTACGGATTCGCCTGAACCGGATAGAACTAGCTCAATAGTACCACTGGTAGGAGGTCTCTCATCAGCGATGCGCAGCTTGGCTCGCTTGCAGGGGGATCTTCCCTGGGCGATATTCAGACGCATGAACAGCCTCTCTGCAAACATCCCTCCCTTCTAGCACTGATGATGTTCCCTAGTTCGGTCGTGAGACGTCTGCAAGAAAACCCCCCAGCTCAGAAGGCACCAGGGCCCCCCACACTCATCCTCCTTTCTTTGCATCCCTTGCAGGGAAGGTGGGCGCCTCATGACGGGGGGCTCCCTGAGGGGAATCGTGGTCTCCACGCTGGCCGAGGCCCGCCACTTTGCCGACGGCGGCTTCGATGACATCCTCTATGCCTACCCGCTACCCTTCGACAAGGTGGGAGATTGTGCGTCCTTGGCCGAGAAACTGGACGCCTTCCAGGTGATGGTGGACAGTCCAGAGGCCTTGGACCGGCTGAAAGGGAGGCCTCTGAGAACTGGACAGCCCTGGAAAGTCTGGCTGAAGATTGATTGCGACAACGGACGAGGTACGTGCTCTCCCGTGGGCCGTACAGGTAGTCCTTGACTTACGACCGCAATAGGGGCCGGGACTTTTGTCGCTAAGAGAGACAGTTGCTAATTGAGCTGTGCCCAATTTTAGAAACTATGGCCGTTAAGTGAATCACATGGTTGTTAAGCGAATGCGGCTCCTCCCATTGACTTTGCTGGTCAGAAGCCAGCCGAGAAGGTCGCAAATAGCGATCATGTGATCCCATCACGGATGCTACAACCGACATAAGTTCATGCCAGTTGCCAATGTTGATCAGATGACCATAGAGAGACTGCAAAGGTCATAAGACTCATCATAAGTCACTTTTTTCAGTTAGGTCATAAGTTGAAATGGTCATTAAGCGAATGATTGTAAATCGAGGACTATCTGTGTCCCCTCAGCCTCCTCTTCTTCCTTTCTGCTAGACGCAACCCCCAAATCTTCCAGCGGGGTCTAGAAAACAAACCAGGGGAAAATAAAAGACATAGAACGGGTAAAAACCCAGAAATTTAGGCAATTCAGTCAGTCCTCAACTTACAACTGCAATTGAGTCCAAAATTTTCCATTGCTGCGCAGGACCATTGTTAAGTGAATTTTACCCCCTTTTATCATCTTTTGGGTTACAATGTTAAGTAAACCACTGCGGTTGTTAAATGGATCATGCGGTCGTTAAGTAAATCTGACTTCCCCCTCAACTTCCCTTGTCGCAAAGGGTAATCACATGATTCCCGGGGAACTGCGACCGTCATAAGTACGAGTCAGTTGCCTGTATCGGTCGTAAGTGTGAAAAAACAGTCACAAGTCAGTTTTCTCAGTGCCGTTGCAACTTCGAACAGTCACTAAAAAAGTCTTAAGACCGACTTTGAAAAGGATTCTGGGAATTGAAGTCCACCCATTTTTAAACCTGGGAAACTCTGAATCAGCACATAAGTGTAGAAATCTGATAAACAAACAAACAAACACATAAATAAGGAGCAAGTCCATATTGAGGAAGCTTATGCTTTCTCCCTCTTCCTTCTCAAGCTGAGCCCCTCCGTCTCCCCAAGTCTCCCCTTATAATCAACAGAGTAACGAGTTCGAATCTACCGGATTCCTTGCAGGACAGAGTGCTAGTTATACACCAGACTTGTTTTAAGGCCCTGATTGCAGTCGCCTGCTTGCAATCTCTCTTGCTTTCCCATCTTAAGAAATTCTAAGATAGACTGCTCCCTAGACTGGAGGTTTTGTTTGCCCAAACCCAAGTTTTTAGGTTTCTCAAAGAGCTCAGGCACTTGAAGTTGACCCTTTAATTCCCTCCAGTCAGATGGGAACCCGTGAAGGTGTGTTTTTCCTGAGGGCGCCAGGTTGCGAAAGAGAATGGGCATCGCTAACATTACAGGGGGAACCTCGACTTATAACAACAGTTCATTTAAGGACTGAAGTTAACAACAGGGTGGGAAAAAGGGGGCTTATGACCGTTTCTCACACTTACGACCATTGCAGCATCCCCGTGGTCGCGTGACCAAAATTCGGACGCTTGGCAACGGACTCATACTTACGACGGTGATCCGCTTTTATGACCTTCCGGCATGCAAAGTCATTGAGGAAGCCAAGATTCGTGTTAACAACTGTGTGACTAACTTTACAGCGGCAGGGATTCGCTTAACAACCGTGGCCAGAAAGATCGTAAAATGGGGCAAAACTCACTTGAGAAATGTCTCGCTTTTGCAACGGAAATTTTGGGCTCCATGGTGGTCGTAAGGCGAGGACTATTGGGAATTTGACCCCTTATTCTGCTTCCTTGCAGCTGGGGTGAAACCCTCGGAGCCCGCCGCCTTGCAGCTGGCCAAGGCCATCTCCGAAGGCGCGACGGAGCTGGCGGGCATCTACGCCCATTGCGGCAACTCGTACGGGTGCCACGGCCTGTCGGAGATCCAGTCAGTTGCCCAAAAAACCACGGAGTTTACTCTGAAGTTTATGGAGCAGTAAGTCTTTATTCCCTTATTTGTTTCTTTATATCCCTGGTTTATTATTTTATAAATAACTCAAGATGACAAACACACTTTCCTCTTCCTGTTTTCCTCATAACAACCCTGTGAGGTGGACTGGGCAGAAGGAAAAGGGTCTGTCCAAAGGGACTAGAACTCACCGTCTCCCGGGGATTGGCCCAAAATCCCCCAGCCGGATTTCCTGTTTAAGACAAGACTAGAACTCACTGCAGGATTATAACTCATGCCCAGTTTTCATCTCCTCCCCGTTGTGTGTCTTTGGGCTGCAACATTTTTGTCCCTTTTTTTTTTTTTTTGTTCCTGCATTACAGCTAGTCCTCAACTTATGACCTCAACGGAGCCCAAAATTTCCGTGGCTAAGCGAGACATTTGCGAAGTGGCCCCATTGAATGATCTTTCTTGCCACTGTTGTTGAGCTAAGTCGCTAAGTGAAACTGGCTTTCCCTTTGACTTTGCTCGTTGCAAAAGGGGACCTCGGGACACTGCGATCGTCATAGATATGAGTCATGCCTCTGAACTTTCATCACGTGACCATGCACGATGCTGCAACGGTCATTAAGTGTGAAAAATGGTCAAAAGTCACTTTTTCAGTGCCGTTGCCAACTTTGAACGGTCACTAAATGAACTTTTGTAAGTCAAGGACTACCTGTATCTATTGTTTTGGGAAAAATGCATGTCTCTTGACCGCCCTTCCCCCACTCCAAACCTCCCCCCCCCCAAATTTGCCTTAGCCAGCTAAACATCCTTTGCGAAGGTCTGGTCAGGATGCCCAATTCCGGTTAAAAGGTTGTAAAAGCTAATCTTTGTTTATTACCCAGTATAAATGTTTGAACTGAATTGGGGAAGGGGGGAGAGGGAAGATGTTTATTTGCAGGATTTTTCCATATACTCCCCCTTTTTGCCCCCAGCCCACCCCCCACCCCCAAGTCCTTCCCAGGAATTCAGGTGAACTGAAGCCCCTTTGAAGTTGCCTCTTCAAAGGTCCAGCTATGTCCAGGTGGCCTTTAGTGGCATTTCTCCTCCCCTCCCCCGCCTTTCCAGGGTCCCCCTCCTCCTCCCAGTGGGCTCAGACAAAACTAGGGGGCATTTGAACCCTATAGAGAAAAAAAAAGGGGGGGGGGGAAGAGGCTTTAAAGCCAGACTGTAAAGGGAAATGGGAAGGAAAGTTTTGCAGATCCTGGCAATGAATCCAAAAGCGAAGCCCCTTCAAAAAATAGGTGAGGAGGGGGCTTTCTCAGCTTTTTTCCCCCTTCAAAACAAGGAGAGAATAAGGTGGCCTGTTTGGATGCCTTGAGATCCTCCAGCCCAGCCCTGTGAACTGGGAGGGAGGGAGGAAGGAAGGGAGGAAACGGAAAGAAGGAGAGAAAGACAGAAGGAGGAGGAGAGAAGGAGGAATGGCAGAAGGAAAGAGAGAGGAGGAGGGGAAGAAAGAAAGGGGGAGAGAAGGGAGGGAAGAAATGAATGAACGAAGGAAGGAAGGAAGGAAGGAAAGGAAGGAAGGAAGGAAAGGAAAGGAAGGAAGGAAGGGAAGGGAGGAAGGAAGGAAGGAAGGAAAGGAAGGAAGGGAGGAAGGAAGGGAAAGGAAAGGAAGGAAGGGAAGGGAGGAAGGAAGGAAGGAAGGAAAGGAAGGAAGGAAGGGAAGGGAGGAAGGAAGGAAGGAAGGGAAAGGAAGGAAGAAAGGAAGGGAAGGGAGGAAGGAAGGAAGGAAGGGGAAGGAAGGGAAGGGAGGAAGGAAGGAAGGGAAGGAAGGGAAAGGAAAGGAAGGAAGGGAAGGGAGGAAGGAAGGAAGGAAGGAAAGGAAGGAAGGAAGGGAAGGGAGGAAGGAAGGGAAAGGAAAGGAAGGAAGGGAAGGGAGGAAGGAAGGAAGGAAAGGAAGGAAGAAGGAAGAGGAAGGAAGGAAGGAAGAAGAAGAAGAAAGAAAGAAAAGAAAGAAAGAAAAGAAAGAAAGAAAGAAAGAAAAGAAAGAAAGAAAGAAAAGAAAGAAAGAAAGAAAGAAAGAAGAAAGAAAGGAAGGAAGGAAGGAAGGAAGGAAGGGAAGGGTCTCTCTCTACGGCTGTGATGCAGTGGGCCATTCCTCACATCACTTCTCTCCCACGATCCACATTCTCAAGGTTGAAACCGAAGCAGGTTTTCTGCAACTGGGAATCTGTGTCCGATGTTTCCGGGGCAGACGCTTCCCTCCGGGGCGAATCTACAGCTTGGGACATAAGCTAAATGAACAGTCGTAAGTCGAGGACTGGTTATAGAAACTGATAAAGTCAGTGTAGCTTTGAACGGCCGTTAAATGAGCGGTCGTAAATCAGGAAGCACCATCTTGATTCCCTCTCGCAGGCTCCGGGAAGCCGGGGTGCCCTGTCCGAAATCCAGCATCGGCTCCACGCCCTCCTGCAGCCACCCGGTGCCCGCCATGGGCAAGCTCAGCGAAGTTCACCCAGGAAATTATATTTTTTACGGTAAGTGGAAGGAAAGCAACCGAGGTTAGCCCTTCTTGGCTCCTCCACCCCCCCCAACCCCCCACCCCATTGTACCAGCTTCTTCCTGAAACGAGCCGGGCCGTCTTGGGGACCTCAAGGGGTCCCACAATGCCCAGTGATGCCCCTCAAGGTGACAGATCTTCCCCTCTAGATGCCCTCTCTTACCCTCTTGTGTGAACTGGCCATTATTTTATAATTTTATTTTATTTTATATTTTTTGTGTCGTGTTTTTTATTTTTTATTTTGTTATTTTGTTTTATATTACTTTATATTTTATGTCATTTGTTTATATTTTATTTATTTATTTATTTATTTTCATTTTTAATTTTTTTATTGTTTTATTTTTTTTTATTTTTTTTAATACAATTTTTATTGATTTTTTTTACACAAATAAAAATATAATAACGATTCTGTTTAACATCGGATTCGCAGTGTTTGTACATATATACATGAATAAGTGTCTGGTGTCATTTGTACTATACATTTCTAATTGATTTCTGCACCTTTTATTTATTCCTTAATTCTATCATCTATCCATTTGTACCATCTTCCCCACACAGTATCATAGTCAGAATTTTCATCATCATTTATCTCGTGAGTTAATTTACTTATCTCTGCACACTCTAATATTTTGTTAATTATAAGGTCATCTGGTGGTAGGTCTTTCTTTTTCCAGTATTGAGCGTATGCTAGTCTGGCAGCTGTAGTTATATGTATTAGGAGGTGGACCTTTTCCTTTCCGTACCCTTTCTTTACCATTCCCAGGAGAAATATTTCTGGATTCAGATCAATGTCTTCTTTAAGTATGTCTTTCAACCATCTCCAAATTTTACTCCAGTACTTTTTTGCTTCGGGGCATGTCCACCATGTATGAAAGAAGGTGCCATGACCATGGCCACATTTCCAACAATTTGGCTGCGCATTGGGGAACATCTTTGCTAGTCTTGCAGGTGCCAAATGCCACCTATGAAGCATTTTGTAGTGATTTTCCTTATATGTGGCTGCTCTAGTTAATTTATAATTTTTATTCCAGGCTTCTTCCCATTCATTAAAGTTCAAACTGTGTCCAATATTTTTCTCCCATGCTCTCAATTGGTTTCTAATTATATCCTCGTCTCTGTCTTCCTCTAATAAATAGTTATACAGCTTGGCCAACGCTTTTTTCCCTGGTCCCATCAAAATTTTGTCTAATCCCTTATATCCTAATTCTAGGCCATACTCTTCTTTATCTTTCTGGTATCTTGATTTTATTTGCAGATAAGTCCACCAATCTAAGATTATACCTTGATCTCTCAGGGCTTCATTTGATTTAATATTTCCCCCTCCATCGACAATATCTTTGTATCTGCACAATTTCTCCATTCCCCACCTGTTGGGGTAAATCATTGCCTCTGCCGTGGAAAGCCAGTTTGGGACTTTTGAATAGTATCTCTGCCTAATTCCCACCCACGTTTGTATTAGGGAGTCTCTAATTTTATGCCTGTGGAAGTAGGTTTTCTTTTTATTGTCTTTTTATTTTTATTCCATTTTTATATTGTTTTTTATTTTTTATTTTTTTATTTTTTTTTATTATTTTATTTTTATTTATTTTATATTTTTTATATTTTTATTCATTTTTTATTTTTTTTTCTTTTATTTTTATTTTTATTATTATTCTTTTTATCCCTTTTATTTTTAAAAATCAAGGTGGCAAATATCTCCAACACTCCTTCCTCCTCCTCCTTGTTTTCCCACAACGATCCTGCGAGGTGGGCTGAGCTGAAAGGGAGAGAAAGGGACTGAGGGCTTTCATGCCCTAAAATGGGACTAGAACTCCCCGTCTCCCACTTTCTAGCCTGGTGCCTTAACCGCCAGTCCAAACCGGCTCCCTCGGCCGACTCGGCAGGCATTTCCAGGCTAAGCAGATGCAGGTGTTCAGCCTAACGCCTTCCATGTGTCGGCTCCCCTGCCTCGGGCCTTCTCCCACAGAGGGACCAGGGGAGGAGAGAGGCAGCGCCAGAAGAACGAGGGCGGAGGGGGGGGAATGACAGTGAAGAGCCTGCTGGGGTATTTTTTAAAGCCAAAATGGCCGTTTGGGGGCTTCCCAGCTCATCTCTACTGAATCTCTTTCCTACAATATAAAATATGAAATATATCAAATTATATATGTATTTACTGTAGATAATGCATGGAGAAATGGAGATGGAGTGAGAGAGAGGGAGAGAAGGATTGGATGGATGGATGGATGGATGGATGGATGGATAGATAGATATGGAGAGAGAGAGAGAGAGAGAGAACGGTAGATGGAGGGACGGAGGGAGAGAGAGATAACAATGGAGGGATGGAGGGACGGATGGAGGGATGGATATGGAGAGAGAGTGGGGGAGAGAGAAGTATTGGATGGGTGGATGGATGGATAGAGAGAGAGAGAGAGAGAGATGATAGATAGATATGGAAGGAGTGAGGGAGAAAGAGATAACAGTAGATAGATGGGTGGATGGAGAGGGAGAGAGAGAAAAAAACGATGGAGGGAGGGAGGGACGGATTAAGGGATGGGTATATAGAGAGAGGGAGAGAGATTATTTATTTAATTATTTAATTATTTAATTAATCCTTTTAAACTCTTTTAAATTTTATATGTGTTCCTTTTTTATTTTTGGCTATGCACCGCCCTGAGTCCTTTGGGAGAAGGGCGGTATAAAAATAATAAATAAATAAATAAATAAATAAATAAATAAATAAATAAATAAATAAATAAATAAATAAATAAATAAATAAATAAATAAATGTAGATGGATGGATGGATATGGAGAGAGAGAAGGATTGGATAGATAGATAGGGAGGAAGGGAGGGAGAGATAACTGGATGGATGGAGAGAATGGATGGATATGGAGAGAGAAAGAATGATGGAGGGATGGACAGATGGATGGACAGATGGAGGGATGGATATGGAGAGAAAGGGGAGAACAGACATGGAGGGAGGGAGGGATATAGAGATAGATAGATAGATAGATAGATGGTATACAGAGAGAGACATCAAAAATTATATAAAATTATATAGATTCATAGATAGGCAAAGATGAATAGATAATAGAATATAACTACATAAAATAATATACAAACGTAAAATATCCTATGCAAATTACATTCCCACTTAAAATATATTTAAATGCATTTACTTTCAAAATACATTCACATGCACATAAAATACATTTATGCGTAAACTATGGAGACGTAAAATAATAAATTTCTTCTATCCCCTTGAGAACAAGAAACGATGTAAATTTATTTCCCAAACAACCTTCTTGCCAGGTAGCCTCATATAAGCGAGAAGGAGGACCTGCTCCAAATTCATCCCTTGAGCTCTGCGTTCAAGGGGGAGGGGGATGATTTGAACCCAGGTCCTCCTGCTTCTCACCCCCTTTCCCCTCCTTTTATGAGTGAGAGTCATGTTTCGCAGCTTAGCAACTTGTAGATGGGTGGACTTCAACTCCCAGAATTCCCCAGCCAGTTTAGCTGGCTGGGGAATTCTGGGAGCTGAAGTCCAACCATTAGGCTAGGGAATTCTGGGAATTGAAGTTCACAAAAATGTTGAGAATCACTTGGGCTTCCATTGCTGTTCTTTGCTACCTGTTTTGCTATCTTCCTGCCCCTCCGCAACAACCACCCTGCGAAGTAGGCCGGTTGAAAGACCACGAGTATCCCAACGGATTTCCTTCCCTTCTAGATCTTCAGCAGATGATGATTGGCTCCTGCCAGCTTGAGGACGTGGCCGTGCGAGTTTGGACGCGAGTGATCGGTCACTACCCACACCGCAACCAGTTATTGGTGGACTGCGGATGGACCGGACTGAGCCTTCACAGCCTGGGTCAGCTGCCGACCGGCTTCGCCCTGGTGGACGGTCACCCAGACCTCAAGTAACAGAGCTATAATTCCCAGGCACCTTGTTCTTCCTTCCCAGCCCTCCCTGCTTCGCACCCGAGTCGGTCCTCTTATCAAGATATCTGTCCATCGGTCTCTTTATCCATCCCTCTCCCAGATCTCTCTCTCTCTGTCTGTCTATCTATCCACAGGTAGTCCTCGACCTTATGACCACAGTTGAGCTCAAAATTTATGTCGCTAAGCGAGACAGTTGTTCAGTGAGTTTAGTTCCGTTTCAATGATCTTTCTTGCCACGGTTGTTAAGTGAATCTGGCTTCCCCATTGATTTTGGTCGTCAGACGGTCGCAAAAGGGGATCACGGGACCCCCGGGGCACTACGACCGTCGTAAATATGAACCAGTTGCCAAGCGTCTGAATTTTGATCACGTGATCACAGGGAAATGCTGCAACGGTCGTAAATGTGTTAAAATGGTCAAAAGTCACTTTTTCAGTGCCGTTGTAACTTTGAACGGTCACTAAGTGAATGGTTGTAAGTCGAGGATTACCTTATTCAGTTATCTGCTTCAATATTTATTTGTTTGTCATTTGTATTCATTTATCTATTACCTATCATATTTTCTATCATTTCTATCTTTTATTATCATTTGTCTATTAACTATCTATCATCCATCCATATATCCATTTATACCCTCTTTCCCCTAAAATAAAACACCCCCTGATAATAAGCCCAATCAGGCTTTTGAGCGCATGCCCTAAAATAACCTCCACCCTGAAAATAAGCCCTCCCCGAAAATATTTCAGTATGTGCAGCCAGTCCCCGCCATTTCCTCTGGTTTCCTCCAAGCGCCCCAAAATAATAAGACCTCTCTAAAATAAGGCCAAGCGCTTATTTTGGAGTTCAAAAAAATAGAAGACAGGGTCTTATTTTGGGGAAACATGGTATCTATCCATCCATCCATCCATCCATCCATCCATCCATCATTATATCTATCTATCTGTCATCTCTCCATCCATCTATCATTTACTGTATATCTATCCATCCATCCATATCTATCTATCTATCTTATCTATCACTTACCATCTATCCATCGATCCATCTATATCTATCCATCCATCTATTATCTATATCTATCTATCCATCCATCCATCCATCCATCATCTATATCTATCTATCATCTATCCATCCATCTATCATCTACTGTATATCCATCCATCCATCCATATCTATCTATCTCTTATCATCTATTCATCTATCCATCATCTATATCTATCTATCCATCCATCCATCCATCCATCATCTATATCTATCCATCCATCCATCCATCCATCCATCCATCTCTATCTATCTATCTATCTATCTATCTATCTATCTATCTATCTCTTATCATCTATTCATCTATCCATCATCTATATCTATTTATCCATCCATCCATCCATCCATCATCTATATCCATCCATCCATCCATATCTATCTATCTATCTATCTATCTATCTATCTATCTATCTATCTATCATGGGGGTCGGGCTAGATGACCTCTAAGATCCCTTCCAACCCTAGGACTCTACCAAAGGGCAAGTCTTCAGAAAAAGACATTTGGCTTCTGATCTTCCTTTGCAGATTGCTGGCGATGACCCAGGAGCACGGAAAAATCGAACCCATGACCGGGAAACTGGATTTTGCCAAGTTCCCTTTGGGCAGCCTCTGGCTCTGATTCCTTATCACGTAAGTCTGGCTTGGACCTAGAAACGGACTGCCCCACCCTTGCTGGTTTGCTGCTGGTCTAACCGCTCCCGAGATTGCATTCACACAATCCACTTAACCTGGATTCTGAATCATCCGTTTTTTCCCGCTTTGAAGAAACCCTAAATTAACCAACCTGGCAGCGTTCCCATGACATTCGGCCACAAAACAACCTAATCCAGGTTAACCCCAAGCAGGGTTTTCTTTTTTTTCCAGGTTGTGTGAATGCATCTGCTGGGCAGATTATTATTATTATTTTTTGACCCTGGGAAGTGTGTTTGCAGCTAGCCATGTTTCTGATTGTCTCGTTTCTCTCTCTCTTTCTTTGCACCTTGGGGGCACCCCAAACAAACGGCAGGCATGTGCCACAGCCGCGATGCACCCCGTCTTCTTCGTCCATAGCGGGGGCCGTATCGTGGAGACGTGGAAGCCAGTGCGAGGCTGGTAAAAAGACAAGACGAAGAAGATCCGTAGATCTTGGCCTGTGTTATCATTTGAGGGTCCTTTGATGATTGGTTCCCACAATCGTTTGAACTTTCTGGTGGCGTGGGAATCTCCGGTTTCAACTTCACAAGATCTGAATTGCCGATGTAGCTGTAGGTAAACTCCATTCCAAGTCAAGCCAGGAGTCCATTGGTTGCTGAACCGTCCAATTCCTATCAAGCCACGAATGGTGGTTTATAAAGGCATGACCAACTTAAGTCGGTGAAACAATTCTGTTTATGAAAAGAGAGATCCCCCCCCCAGAAATACAGATTGTCCTCAACATACGACTATTGTTTAACCATTGTTAAGTCAGTTTTGCTCCATTTTACAACATTTTTTGCCACCACTGTTGTTAAGCGAATCCCTACGGTTGTTAAGTGAGTCACACGGTCATAAAGTGAATCTGGCTTCTCCGTTGACTTTGCTTGTCAGAAGGTCGCAAAAGGTGATCTCGTGACCTCCCCCCCCTTTCAGGACACTGAGACCGTCATAAATATGAAGCAGTTGGCAATGGTCTGCGACTGTCATTAAGTGTGAAAAATGGTCAAAAGTCACCGTTTTCAGTGGCGTTGTGACTTCGAACAGTCACCAAATGAATGATTGTAAGTGGATGTATCAATGGCATTTTTGTTCTTTTTTTAAATGTGTGCAAAGCCCTTGAGGAAGGAGGAAGGAGCTCTTTTCACACCAGGCAGGGGATTAGGGGTAGGGTAGTCCCCCCTTGAGATGTAGACTAGGTAGATGGACCCAGGCCTGATCCCACAGTGTCTAAACCTAGTTTAAATCTTTGCAGTTTTCAGAACCATCTAACTGGCATTCATGTTCCCGGGTGTCACATGGGAAGACCCTGCAAATTGGAAATTAAGGCAGTCTGCCCTAGTGGGAAGGTGAAAAGCTGCAAAGAGGTGTCCCAAAAAGGGGTGGAGTTTCAGCCATGAGGCCACACCCACCTTCTTGCAGATTTGATACCCCTCCAAGGATCCCTTCTCTTTTGTTGTTGCTGCTGTGACCCCAATATTCAGATTCTGCCCCCAAAGCTGAAGACAATCTCTAAGGACAATTCCCAGCCTCCAAATAGTTTCAATTCCCAGACATCCATTCTGACTGGGGGATTCTGGGAGTTGGAGTCCTCCCCTCTTAAAGCATCCTGGCTGGGGGATTCTGGGAGTTGGAGTCCTCCCCTCTTAAAGCATCCTGGCTGGGGGATTCTGGAGTTGAAGTCTTTCCCTCTTAAAGCATCCTGGCTGGGGGATTCTGGGAGTGGAAGTCTTTCCCTCTTAAAGCATCCTGGCTGGGGGATTCTGGGAGTTGAAGTCTTTCCCTCTTAAAGCATCCTGGCTGGGGGATTCTGGGAGTTGAAGTCCTCCCCTCTTAAAGCATCCTGGCTGGAGGATTCTGGGAGTGGAAGTCTTTCCCTCTTAAAGCATCCTGGCTGGGGGATTCTGGGAGTTGAAGTCTTTCCCTCTTAAAGCATCCTGGCTGGGGGATTCTGGGAGTTGAAGTCTTTCCCTCTTAAAGCATCCTGGCTGGGGGATTCTGGGAGTTGAAGTCTTTCCCTCTTAAAGCATCCTGGCTGGGGGATTCTGGGAGTTGAAGTCCTCCCTCTTAAAGCATCCTGGCTGGAGGATTCTGGGAGTGGAAGTCTTTCCCTCTTAAAGCATCCTGGCTGGGGGATTCTGGGAGTTGAAGTCTTTTCCTCTTAAAACATCCTGGCTGGGGGATTCTGGGAGTTGAAGGAAGTCCTCCCCTCTTAAAACATGCTGGCTGGGGGATTCTGGGAGTGGAAGTCTTTCCCTCTTAAAGCATGCCGGCTGGGGGATTCTGGAATTCAAAGTCCACTCACCTTAACATTTATGATGTTGACAAACGCTCCGCCTTGTCCTTCACCACAAATTTATATTTTTTGATGCACAGAATCAAATTCAATCTTGCAGCTTTTTACATGCCATTCCCAATAGCTCTAGGCCATTGGTCTTTCCGTGTTAAACCAGGTTCCAGCCAGGGAAGAATCAGGAGAAAAGAAACCAAGAACTAAGGAGAAATTTCCTAATAGCGAGAACAATTAATCAGTGGAACAACTTGTCTCCAGAAGGGCTGTGAATGCTCCCTCATTGCAGGTTTTCAAGAAGAGATTGGACAGCCATTTGTCACGGATAGAATAAGGATTCTTGCTTGAGGAGTGGGTTGGACTGGATGACCTCCAGGGTCCCTTTCCAACTCTGTTATTCTGTTATAAGCAGAATCAATTGCATTCTCTCTCCCATGCACCTTCCCAGTCTGTTAGTCCACATTAAGGAGAAAGGAAGCCCGGATGGGTGGATCAATTCTTGGTGCCTGGAGCCATCTGAGGACTTCAAAAGAGGACCTCATAAAATTCAATGGCCTTTTCTCGGTGGGGGGAACCGATGGCACCTTCCTCCCACCTCTCTGATCTTCCCCAACGACCCCTTTGAAGTGGCCCTTTGTGCTCCTCCTTTGCATCCTGCAGAGAAAAAGCACACAACCCTGCGAATTGTCAAATTGGGCAGGTACAAACCGCCAGATGAGAGAGGCTAGCTGTAAAAAGCCTTGTAAATCGTCGACAATAAATTGCAAATTCCTGTTTTTTAATCTCCCGAGACTTTCTTGTTTGGAATCAATTCTTTTAATTTCAGGATTCAATATTCTTTTATTCAATGTTTCTGCAACCCCTCTAAGACGACACTGGGCGTCTTACAGGTGATAAAAAGGCGAATCATTAAAGTTATTAAAATTACGCAGATTACAATTTGAAGACTGTGCTTCCTTAAAAACGATGCTGCTCTTTTGCAATTTGACCAGTAGCCCTTCTGCCTCTTCGTTTCCTTTCTTGCAAAGTTGCAAGTTCAAGCATGCATGTTTCTGTTTCTTCCTCCTTTGCAGTGTTTTTATTTGACACGACTTTTATTTTGTGGCATTTTATGATATATATATCATAAAATAATATATATATATATATATATATTTATACAGAATCTGTTCGGGCGCTTTCCAGCGGGCAAGAGAATGAGGATAAAAAGAATAATAAAATAAGGCAGTCGGATAACAGGACGCAAGGATTGGGGACAGGTTCTGAGCCAGAGCTGATTTGGAAGCTGGAAACGCCAATCAGAAGCTGACCTGTTTTGTGGTGGGAAGAGAGACCACCAGGAGATCTGAGTGTGGGATAACCGATTTCAAAACAGAAAAAACCCACCCCCCCCAAAAGGGGATGATAAACCATTTAAGTGTTCCTAAATTTCCCAAGGGTGACAAAATACTAGTAGAAAACTGGAGATCCATTGAATTGGGATATAAGACTACCTCTGGGGGGAGGGGAGCAGTTGGGACCAGTAATTATGACCATTTTTCACACTTATGACCATCATAGCATCCCCAAGGTCATGTGATCAAAATTCAGGTGCTTGGCAACTGACTCATACTTATGACGGTTGCTATGGTCCGCTTTTGCAATCTTTTAGCAAGCAAAATCAACGAGGAAGCCAGATTCCACTTAATGACCGTGTTACTCACTCAACAACTGCAGGTATTCACTTAACAGCTGTGGCAGGACAGTTTGTAAATTGGAGCAAAACTCACTTAACAGCTGTCTCGTTTAGCAACAGAAGTTTTGGGCGTCCTTTCTTCCTGTTTTATTCCACTACACAAATGTGATAGTAATATTTAGAAAAATGTGGATAGTAATATTTAGAAAAACGTGACTTACGACCAGTCCTGGCTCCATTGTGGTTGTAAGTCGAGGACTGGTGAAAGGTCTTTAGCGCAGGTGGGAAATGTAAAATTTGTTACTACTGGTTATGTGGGCGTGGCCTGGTAGTGGGGGGTAATGTGACTGGGTGGGCATGACCAACTTTTTTTTTTTTTTAACTTTTCAAAGCATTTTTTCTAATGCTTTTAAAAGCCTCTGACGATTCCAGCTGAGCCGCGCGATCATCAGAGGCTTTTTTTTTTTTTTTACTTTAAAAGCCATTTTTTCGTATAAGAGGTTGTAGAAAAAAATGCTTTTAAAAGTAGAAAAAAAAGCCTCTGATGATTGCGCAGCTCAGCTGGGCATGGGGGGGGTGCAGGGATTTTTGCTACTGATTCTCTGAACCACCCGCTGCCATCGCTACCGGATCGGGCGATCCGGTCCGAACCGGAAGCATCTCACCCCTGCTTTAGCGACACCATCTCAGATCAAAACCTCAGCAAGCAAGTGTTAAAAAAAATAAAACAGCTTTTCAACAAAGTGTGTCCAATTTTTATTTTTTCTTAACAATGACTTCTTTCTGTATAATTATTCCACTACAGGAACTGGGAGAGGTTAGAATAATTTACTATCTGAATTGATTTAAACCTGTGTTGCAGTCTTCCTGTGGTGATCTGATTGCAATCAGATTAGCATTTATTTAATATATTGGGGATCTCATGATTTCATATATTTTATGCATTCAAACGGAATGTGATAGCCCTTTCTCCGGCTTACAATTTTTATAAAAAGGCATCAAAGTTCGTAAAGTCATAATTGATGCTTTCAGAAAAAAATAATCCGGCAGCCCTTTTTCCAGCGAACAATTTTTATAAAAAGGCATCAGAATTTGTAAAATCATAATTGATGCATTCGAAAGGAATGTGGTAGCTCTTTCTTTATAAAAATTTTATATAAAGGCGTATGATTTTCTGAGCTACCGCTTGCTAGCCAAAAAAAAATATATATCAAGAATTTGATAACAATTTTTCAATTTTTTATTTTTAAAGCAAGAGCTTTTGTGAGCTCTGGAATAACATTTGCTCTTCCTCCGTCTCTAAGGAAGATTTCTCTGGTCGGCCCCCTCCCACACACTCCTGCCCGCTTTGTCTCCTGCAAGAGACCGGAAATACATCTCCTGGAATTTGGGGAGGGGGCAGGAGGGTCCGAAGATTGCAGAGATCAAAGGAGGGAAAAGAAAGGCCTGTGGGTCAATTCTCAAAGCCCCCCTGCTTGGAGAGACCGGACAAGTTTATGTCCTGCACTTCAGGGTCTCAGCCATAACCCAAATAGCTGAAGGGGGGGGGGAAAGACCCCTCCTCTCTGGTTTTAATTGCGGAGGCTGGACTGCCCCTGCCTTGGACTCCGAAATCAGGAGCAACTTTGAATTCAGGGATTCTGTTTACAGCTAGTCCTCGAATTAATGGCTGCAATTGAGAGCAGAATTCAGAATTTTGTTAAGTGCCCTAGAATCACTAATATTTATTTATTTATTTATTTATTTATTTATTTATTTATTTATTATATTTCTATACCGCCTTTCTCCCGTAGGACTCAAGGCGGTGTACAGTCAAGAAAAATATAGACACACAAACATCATAAAATTGCAAATTAAAATTATTACTTAGTTTGGTCAATTAAATAAAACCCAGAATTAGATAACGTTTAAAAATATATATATATATAAGTGGGTGTCCCTATAAATTCTCTAAATAAATGGGCTGATTAATATTCTGTAAATAATAATACTTTTATAGAATTTATATTCTATAATATAATTATATTATAGAATTTATATCATTTATATAGAATTATATATGTTTATATATATTATATAGAAAGTAATATAAATAAACTGAGTGAATGAAGTGAATAAAATGAAATTAAATACAGGTAGTCCTCAACTTACAACCGTTCGTTTAGTGACTGTACGAAGTTAAAACGGCACCAGTAGTCAATTTCAAATCCCGGTGCTACCAGTTCGGGTGTGCCTGCTTGCTTTGTGAGCGCGCAGTGCTTCTGTGCATGTGCAGAGGGTTTTAGATGATGAGTGGGCGGAGCCTCTCGCTGCTGCCGCTACAGGTTTGCCCAAACTGGGGTGAACTGAGATCAACCCACCACTGAACAGCACTGAAAAGGTGACCTATGTATGGCTGCTTTTCACACTTAACGACCGTTGCAGCATCCCCATGGTGACGTAATCCAAATTTGGAGCCTTGGCAACTGACTCATATTTATGACAGTCGTGGTGTCCCAGGGTCATGTGATATCCTTTTGTGACCTTCTGGCAGGCAAAGTTAAAGGGGAAGCCAAATTCACTTAACAACCACGTGACTTAACTGAACAACTGCAGCAATTCACTTAACAACCGTGGCAAGAAAGGACGTAAAATGAAGCAAAACTTGCTTAACAAATGCCTTGGGCTCAATTGGGGTTGTAAGTCGAGGACTACCAGCAATAAAATAAAAAAATAGAAAATAAATAATAAAATAAATAATAAATAAAATGATAACGAAATAAAAATAATAATAAAATAAAGTAAAATAAAATAAATAATAAAAAATCTCCATTGGTAAGCAAGTTGATTATTAAGTGGCTTACGCCTGATTTTATGAGCTTTTTTTTTTTTTTGGCCCTGCTGTTAACTGAATCACTCTCGTTGTTAAGTGAATCCGGCGGTTGTTAAGCAAATCTGGCTTCACCCATTGACTTTGCTTGTGGGAAAGTCGCAAATGGCCATCCTGTGACCGCGGGAAAGCTGCAAATGGTGTGACAGTTGTGTTACTCACTGAGCAACCACAGTGATTCGCTTAACAACGGTGGCAAGAGAGGTCGTAAAATGGGGCAAAACCCAGGTGACAACTGTCTCTCTGGGCAACAGAAGTTTCGGGCTTCGTCATAAGTTGAGGACTACCTGTAGAGCAACCTGGTTTGCCAGAGCTCTCTTTCGCCTCTGCCCCCTCTTTGTCTCTCCTTCCTCCCCCCACACCCCAGTGGGGCGGGGGGGGCTGAAAGGGGCGGGCGGGGGGCGAGGTCAAGGCGCAGGGAGGGGGCGAGGAGAGCGTGTGAACGGGGCCAGCCTGCAGTCCCGGCAAAGGCAGACCCGGAGCAGAAGAGCCCCCCGACCCAACCCAACCCAACCCGGAGGGAAGTCGCGACCCCTGACCAAGCCGCGCAGAAAACTCCGGCAACTTCAAAGGCGCCGCTTCCCTCGGCTGCCAAATTGGGGAAGGGTCGCTTTCCTTTTTTTTTTCTCTCTTGCTAACCGGGCGGGAGTAAGGGGACGCATCTGCGGGGCTGCTGCTGCTGCTGCGACCCCCGGCCCGGAGTCTGCCTGCTTCTCTTTCTCTCACCCACCGACCCACCCACTCGCGATCTTCCGAGGAGTGGGCAGGAAAGAGGGTCTGCGGCGCCCCCCGCCAGGCTGATCGTCCCGACAAGATGAAACTGATCCGGCGCTTCGTCCTGGCGCTGCAGCTGCTGGCCGCCAAGGTGGGTCGCCCCCGGGGGTCGCTTGCGGGGAACGGGGGTCTCGGGAGGGGGAAAAGACCTCCTATTCCAAGCACGGGGTGGCCCCTCATTAAGGGGGTGCAAGCAAAAAGGAGGTCCAGAAATTGGAGAAGGGCAGCTAAGGGTTTCCTTGGGACCCTTCAGACCTCCCCCTCCCCAAGAGAAAAGCCCCCGCCGTGGGATCGGGGGGGGGGGCGTCTGGCTGTTGGAAGGAAGATGGGAGTTTTTGGTCCTTTCGCAAACTGGCAAAAAAAGCCCTGTCCTAAGTGCGCCCCCTTTTCTGGGCTACGGAGGGTTAGGGTCTCTCCACACTCGCCCGACAGAACTGGGCAAAAGTCTACCTGGGGGAGGGGGCCATTGCCTCTGCAAAGCAGGAGTAAGAGGGTCGTGAGAACACTGCCCACCCACCCCCCAAAAAAAGAGTGGGGGCTCCCCATGCAATGAAGCTGGCAGAGGTGTGTGTGAAGGGCATTTCAATCCCAATCTGCTTTAATCTTGCTTTCAGTCTATCTGGGGGTCATAGGGACGGAGGGAGGGAGGAATAGGAGGAGAAGGGGAAAAAAAGAAGGAGGGAGAAAGGAAAAAAGGAAAAGGAAAGGAGGAAGGAAGAAGAGAGAAAAAGGAATAGGTCAAGAAAGAAAAGAAGGAGGGAGGGAGGGAAAAGAGAAAGAAAAGGAAGGGGGAGCAAGAAAGGAAGGAGAGGAAGGAGAAGGAGAAGAAAGAAAGGGGAGGAAGAGGAAGGAAGGACGGAAGGAAGGAAAAAGAGGAAGAAGGAAGAGAGGAAAGAGGAGGAGGAATACGAGGAGAAGAAAAATGAAAGATAGGAAAAAGGAAGGAGAGGAGGATAGAACCCTTAGAAGGGGAATAATTTAAAAAGGGGGGGGGAGATACATTCCTGAGTCTCCTTTGGGTGTCTCCTCCAATCCTTTCCTCATTTCCATTTGGACTCAGTTTCCCAGTCTATGAAATGGGAAGAGCTTTTCTTCCCCAGGGACTCTTGCTGAATTTGCACCAGGGATTTCCCCAAACTGAGTCAACGGTTGCAATGACCCTCGAAACTTGTCCCTTCTCTGTTTTGGGGGCAAGGCTGCCTCTTTGGTGAGTTGGGTTCCCTTTAAATTTAAATTTAATTTGCTTTGGCTTATTCAGGACTCCCTGGCCAAAGTTTGGCCCAACTTCGAAGTCAATACACAGCAGGTCTCCGGAGTTCACAAAACTACCATTTTAGAGGTTTAATTCAAGCTTATTTTAAAGTTGAGCTCTGCTATTGCAAAAAGGAAAAAAAAAAATACAGCAAAATAGAGATTCCACGAAGAAAGGTGCAAATGAGACAGCAGGAGCTTGGTTTTGCATTCCCACAACATCCTTAACCCGATGAATGGATTAAAATGCTTGTTTGATTCACACAGAACCTTGTTTGGGGGTTGGGTGGGGTGGACTCCCCCCAACAAAGTCAACTACTCTCCCCTAAAACCCTCTGCACCCTAAATTCTGTTAACCTGGACCCAGCTTTGACGTAATGTGTGAATGCTTTGATTTTTATCTTCCTGTGGTTTTGGATGTCATGTGATGTGCAACAAGCAGGTTTGTTTTCCCTCAACAAATTAAATGGATCACAAGGAAGGTGGGCATTTGAGAAGCCATTTCTGGCTTGTTCTTTCTGTGTGCATAAATATTTAAATGGCATTATAAATGCATCTTTTATTATTTATTTATGAAGACAATGTATATGGCTGCCCAACTCACTCACAGTGACTGTGGGCTGCGTACAAAAATGTAACCCCAATGCAGAACTAAAACTCAGGAAAAATAAAACTCTAATACAAAAATAAAACCCCATTCCAAAAATAAAATCCAAATAGGAAAATAAAACCCCGATGCAAAAATAAATTTCCAATGCAAAAGTTAATTGTGGTGATTAGCAATAACACTACAATATCTGTAACACTACAATACCAATGGTGCTTTGTAGAACATCCCCACATCAAGTTTGGGTCCTTAAGGACTTTTTCTCTTAAACAAAGAGGCTGAAAAGAGAAAAGGGAGGCACAATAAACTTAATTTATTTAAATTTTAAAAACTGGGAAGCATCAGTTTGCACGCACAGTTAAACAAAATTATTTTGAGACAAAGGGAATGTGTCATTTTGACAAAGCTGAGCTGCTAACGGTTTGCAATTTAAATATCATGTGTAAATAGATACAGAGACCAGTTAAAAGGACAGGAATTGCAAAGAATTTTTAAAAAGTGACTTGCAAGGATTTTGGCCTAATGCAAAACATATTGTTAAGCAGCTCAAAATATCTATTGTTCTCATCCCATTAATTCCCACCCAGCTTTCCTTTCTAGCCCAGCCAATGAAAAATAATGGAAAAAAAAGAAGATTAAAGTTCCCACTGAAGCTGGAAATGAAGATTGTAATATTTTATCTAAGAGCCATTTTCCTAATCTCGAGACAACACACAGCTTAAAAGTGTTTGGTTGACGTAAAACTACAGTCATTAAAATACTTTTGGAAAGTTTCCATGTACAGGCTTATGACCATATGGAGCCCAAAATTTCTGTTGCTAAGCGAAACATTTGCTAAATGACTTTTGACTCATTTTACAACTTTTCTTGCCACTGTTGTTAAGTGAATCACTGCAGTTGTTAAGCTAGTCACACAGTCATTAAGTGAATCTGGCTCCCCCATGGACTTGGCTTGTCAGAAGGTCGCAAAAGGGGATCATGTGACCCTGGGACACTGTGACCGTCATAACTATGAGTCAGTTGCCAAGCATCTGAATTTTGATTATGCGACCATGGGGATGTTGCAATGGTCATAAGTGTGAAAAATGATCACAAGTCACTATTTTCACTGCCGTTGTAACTTCAAACGGTCACTAAATGAACTCTTGTAAGTCAAGGACTGTCTGCACTGTTGTAATAATTGTGGAATATTAATGTTAATAGCACAGATTTTGTTTTTGTTGCATGTATGAATTATTTGTCCTAAATTTTGCACTTCTTATAAATCTGGTGATTATAAATTCTTTGGATTTCTATCTTCCTAAATAGCATTTTTTCCCTAAAGGAGTATTTGAAAAAAATACCTTTTGGAAATGTCTAAACCAGTCAGTCTGTTTGCAACTTAAGGTGGACTTCAACTCCCAGAATTCCCCAGCCAGCATGCTGTTTGGGGAATTCTGGGAGTTGAAGTCCATCCTCTTGAAATATGCTGGCTGGGGAATTCTGGGAGTTGAAGTCCATCTGTTTTAGAGTTAGGGAAACATCCATTTAAATGACTTGAATTTTAACAAAAACAAGAAAAAACTGCCCCCTTTTAAGAAAACGCAATGTGGTCTCCTTTCCTCTACAACCCACCTGTGATTCAGCAACAGGATGTCAACATTTCCTCCAGTTGGGCTAAACCCCCATTCCCCCCACCCCCCACAATCTGCCAGCAAACCTCTCATTTCAAGGCCACTCAGGACCTGGTGAAGGGCAGATCCTTCCCAACATGCTTGTCAATAGGCCCATTTTACAGAGGAAAAACTGAGGCATGGAACTCCAAAGACAGTTGGAAAGGAAAACCGTCCATTTGGGTTCCTTTTTCTGCATCCTGGCTGGATTTGCTCAAGGGTGTTGGGGTTCAGAGGACTTCCCTCGCTAGGATCAGGGGAGGGGGGCTCATTCAGATTAAGCCCCCCTCCCCAAGAAAGAAGGGGGTATGCTGAACCTCTTCCCCACCCCTTTTCTTTTTTTCAAGAAAAGATTTGACAACCATTTGTCTGGAATAAAGATATAAAGATATAAAGGTATCTGTTTTGGGCAGGGGGTTGGTCTAAATGACCTCCAGGGTTCCTTCCAGCGTTAGGATTTTATGCTTCCTTCCCTCTAGCAGATTTTACATTGGGATTAATGGAGAGTGCATTTTTCCAGCGTCACTCTTCACATTTTTGCCTGCCTCATCACTGTCACAAAGACGGGGCCTGGCTATCAAAAACTCGCTTTATATAGGTAGTCCTCGACTTACGACCACAACTGAGCCAAAAATTTATGCTGCTAAGCAAGACGGTTAAGCGACTTTTGCCCATTTTGCAACCTTCCTTACCATCATTAAGGGAATCACTGCAGTTGTTAAGCGAGTCACTTGGTCATTAAGTGAATCTGGCTTCCTCATTGACTTTGCTTGTCAGGAGGTCGCTAAAGTGACCCCGGGCCACTGCGACCGACATAAATACGAGTCAGTTGCTGAATCGTTTGAATTTTGATCACGTGACCATGAAGACGCAATGGTCGCAAGTGTGAAAAATGGTCATAAGTTACTTTTTTCAGTGCTGTTGTAAGTTTGATCGGTCACTAAATGAACCGTTGTAAGATGAGGACTACCTGTATTTTCAATTTTTTACACGCTGCTGTGTTGCATGCAGGGATTTCTGGCTTGGAGGAAACGGCAGGGGAATTTGGGCTGCGTATGTGGGTCTTGTGTGCACATATTTGTGCGTTCAGAATTGGAAGGAATCCAGAAGACACGAGTTTCAGCTTCTCCTGCCAAAATGCCGCAGGGCAAAACATTCTCGGTTGGTGAAAAGAGAGATCTTTCCTTGTCCCTTTCAATAAATGAAGATACTAGAGGTGTTTTCACGGAAAGGCTGACTCGTCAGGTGTCTGGCTCTTGCTGACCTTGTCCTTATGAGAGAATTGGCTGGCTTGTGGACGGGGCACCACCAGGAAATCTCAAGACAGCGAGCGATATAGCAAAACATTTGCTGTTTGGATTATTGCCTAGGACAGCGATGGCTAACCTTTTTGTCATCATGTGCCAAAAGTGGGAAGAGCATGTGGGGGTCACGCACGCAAGTGCCCACACCCATAATTCAATGCCCCCCACCCCTCACGCATGTGCGCACGACACCCCCACACATCGGTGCTCCTCCGCTTTTTTCACATGATAGCAAAAAGGTTACTGGTGGGCCTGGAAGGCCCGTTTTTCGCCCTCCCCAGGCTCCAGAGGTGTTTTTGGAGCCTGGGGAGGGCTAAAACAGCCTTCCCCACTCCTCCAGACGCCCTCTGGAGGCCGGAAATAGCCCATTTGCCAACTTCCGGTGGGCCCAGAAGGGCCAAAAATCAGCTGGCCGGTACACGCATGTGCACTGGAGCTGAACTCGGACAGCACTTGCGTGCCCACAGATATGGCTCCATGTGCCACTTGTGGCACGCGTGCCATAGGTTCACCAACGCGGCCTTAGGAAACCTTAACTTAGAATAACAGAGTTGGGACCTTGGAGGTCTTGTAGTCCAACCCCCTGCCATTTCTGACAAGTGACTTAGTCTCTTGTTAAAAACCTCCAGTGATGGAGCACCCAAAACCTCTGGAGAGAAGCTGTTCCACTGGTTAATTGTTCTCGCTGTCAAAAAATTTCTAGGTTAAATCTCTCCCCTGATCAGTTTCCATCTGTTGCTTCTTGTCCTGCCTTCTAAGTGCTTTGGAAAATAACTTGTACCCCTCTTCTCTGTGACAGCAACGATGGAAGATGGCATTTTTAATTTTCAAGATTTCAAGCATTTTCCAACCTTAGCAACTTGAAGAGGTATGGACTCCAATTCCCAGAATCCCCCAACCAGGATGCTTTAGAGGGATGGACTCCAATTCCCAGAATCCCCCAGCCAGCATGCTTTAAGAGGGGTGGACAGCTGGGGAATTCTGGGAGTTGGTCTCACCCATCTTAACATTACCAAGTTTGAACAGCAGTATTCTAAAAGGAGGCCATAATTTGATCCTCCATATTCAGGAGCAGTTTATCTCCAACCAGCTGCGGAAAGGCAATACCAGAGATAGTAATTCCGCTGAGAGAAACAGTTTACAAGTAGTCCTTGACTTATGAGCACAACTGAGCCCAAAAATCTTGTTGCTGAGTGAAACTGCGAGTTTCGCTCCATTTTACAACCATTCTTGCCAGCGTTGTTAAGCGAATCACTGCAATTCTGTTAGTCACACAGTTGAGCAAATCGGGCTTTCCCCGTTGGACTTTGCTTGGCAGGAGGTCGCAAAAGGCGATCACGTCACCCCGACCGTCGTAAATGTGAATCGGTTTTGTTCACATGACCAATGAGGATGGTCGTAAGTGTGAAAAACGGTCCCTAGTCACTTTTTCCATTGCGGTTGTAACTTTTTTTTTTAATTAAAAAGTTTTTAAAAATTTTACAAAATTTTCCCAGAGCAAAATACAGGGTATAGCATTTAACAATCATATACTAACATATGCTAACCATCTATAGACTCCTATCTCCCTCTTGTACTTTTAACTCCCCTTTTACATGACTAAATTTAAATACTTTCTAAAGACTCTTTATTCATTCATAAAATATTTGAAACTTTTTAATCCCCATATTCGTTTTGAATATAGTCCATCCATCCTTCTCCATTCCAAAATATATCTTTCATTTGAAGGGTCCTTCAAATAACGCCGAAATTTTGGCCATCTCTGCTCAGTTCATTGCGGTTGTAACTTTGAACGGTCACTAAACGAATCGTCGTAAGTCGAGGACTTTATTTCAAAGGCCAGGCCTTTCCAAAAGGGGAGATGAAAGTCTCCAGAGGAGACCCCAACCCCCCCTTTTTCTCTCTCTCTATATTTGGAAGAAGGATGGGTTATATCCTTTTGGGGAGGGGGGGTGTAATAAGATCTGCTTTCCTCCTGGAGTGACAGGGCAGGTTTCGGCTTAATTAGAAGAAGGGCCTGGATCTGGAGAGGGGGTGGGGGGCAGGGGGAGCAGCCGGGTGGGTTTCGGGAACGGGGGTTACGGGACCCTGGAAGGAACAGAAGGCGTTTTTGTTCCTTCGGCCCAGGGTGTGGGGTGCAAAGACATTCCTGAATGCCAGCTGCCTCCGCCCCAGGCAGATTCCTCCTCGCTGGACCGACGGTCGTGTTTTTCGGCAGGCGGGGAGGGGGGGGATCCTGGTGCATTCCGAAGGTTATTAAGAGAGACCCCCGCAGGGCGGTGTCTGGGGAAGTAAAAGCCCCTCGCAACTGTGAACTACCCAAAAAAAATGCAGAAAATTAGTGCTGGAATTCAAAGTCTTGGGGGACCCCCCCACACACACGTCACCCCTGCTCGGTTTTTCAGAGAAGAGGGTGGGGGGTGTATCCTGCTAAAATGCTTCCTGGTTCAGGAGGATTCAAAACACTTTTTTTTTCCCTCCTGACTTTGCGATGCCAGAAATTCACTGGTCCCATGTGGGGGACAATCTGGAAGGAAGAACTACAAAGCCCATCGTTCCCAATGCGGCTGGGTAATGGTGTTGGGAGGGTTGAAAGAGGAACAGGGTTTTTTTTTAGGAGGGGATGTCTAGCAAAAGATGTGGCAAGAGAGCGTCGATTAGGTGTAGGGATGAAGGTGCTGAGCCGATTACCAGGTGACTGTGAGTTCTAGTCCCGCTGTAGATATGAAAGTTCGCTGGGTGACTTTGGGCCAATCATCATGAGACTGGGAGTTCTAGTTCCCCCTTAGGCACAAAAGCCAGCTGGCGACCTTGGGCAGTCTCTCTCTCAGCCCAACCCACCTCACAGGGTAGTTGTGTAGAACAGGAGGTGGTGAGTTCTAGTCTTGCATTAGGCACCCAGTCTATTCTTCTTCTTTTCCTTCTTCAGTTCCTTTTGTGCAGCAGGATTTCTGGGTTTTCCCATCATGGCTGCTTTAAGACTCGTAGACTTCAACTCCCAGGATTCCCCAGCCAGCTATGAATTCTGGGAGTTGAAGTCCATGCCTCTTAAAGTCACCCTGTTCAATTTTCTCACCGTCTGCGGTTTTAAGGGTTGGGAAGGAGAGAAAAGGATCTCAAGAGATTGCAAATCTAACGAGTTTGCAAACCCTGATTTTTAGCTCCTGGTTTGATTCTCCGATCTGACTCTGATTTCAGCTTCTGGCACATCAAGGCTGCGAAAACGGGGAGGTGGCTTCATCGGGAGAGTGCTGCACCCTGTGTCCCCCAGGCTTCGGGGCACGGGTGCCCTGTGGGAGCACCAACACTGTTTGTGAGCCCTGCCAAGAAAGTGAGTATCCAGTTCCTTGTGGGGGGTGATCCCCAGTTTGAACCTACAGATGTAGAAGAAAATCAGTCCCATATTCTAAAGATGGATAATAATAGAGTAGTAGAGACTGGGAGGCTGGGAGTTCTAGTGCTTCCTTATGAATGAAAGCCGGCTCAGTGACTTTGGGCCAATCATCAGAAGATGGTGAGTTCTAGTCCTGCCTTAGGTGTGAAAGTGAGCTGGGTGACTTTGGGCCAATCACCAGGAGACTGGGAGTTCTAGTCCTGTCTTAGGTACGAACATTGACTGGGTGATTTGGGGCCAATCATCATTAGATTTTGGGCCAATCACCATTAGTTCTAATCCCGCCTTATGAATGAAAGCCAGCTGGTTCAATTTGGACCAATCACCAGGATGCGGGGAATTCTAGTCCCACCTTAGGCACGAAAGCTAGCTGGATGACTTTGGATCAGTGATTCTGTCTCATCCCAACCAGGGGTGAAATCCGACCGGTTCAGACCGGTTCGGGCGAACCGCTAGGGATTATTGGCATCACTTCGCCGAACCGGTAGTAATCACCTCTCGTTGGCCCCACCCACGCCCGGTCGCCTCTCACCTCTTCCAGCTGCTCGATATTCCCACAGAATTCAACGTTAAATGCAGCAGAGAGAATGCTAACTTTTCTCCCTCCATTCAGAGCGGAGCCTGTCCCTTTAAGGTAGTCCCCAGGAGGGAGGGGGCCAGGGGGGAGCAGCTGGAATGGAGCTCTTTTCCTAAAGGGAGGAAAATGGGGAAGGGGATTTTCCTGCCTGTCATCCATTCCTCAATCTCAGCACAGACTGAGAGAAGGAAGGTAGGCAGGAATATCCCCCTCCCCATTTTCCTGCCATTCGCAACAAGGAGTGGCTGGGAGGGGAGGGGCTGGTGAGGAGCCCCGCGATGTGAGTGATGTCGAGTTGGCCACGCCCACCCAGTCACATGACTTCACCCTCCCAACAAGCCACACCCACAGAAATTTTTTAATTTCACCCCTGATCCCAACCCACCTGACAAGGTAGTTTTAGGTGGAAGGTAGAAGGGTAGAATTAGGTGTGTTCACCATCTTTGGTTATTTAGAAAGATAATAAAAGTGAGATAAATATAAAATAAATTGCAAATGGGTCTAGGACAGTGATGGCTAATCTTTTTGCCATCGTCTGCCAAAAGTGGGAGGAGCATGTGGGGGTCATGCACGCATGCCCCCCGCCCCCCACGCATGTGCGCACGACACCCCACCACACCGGTGCTCCTCCGCTTTTTGCACGTGATAGCAAAAAGGTTACTGGTGGGCCTGGAAGGCCCGTTTTTCGCCCTTCCCAGGCTCCAGAGGTGTTTTTGGAGCCTGGGGAGGGCTAAAACAGCCTTCCCCACTCCTCCAGACACCCTCTGGAGGCCGGAAATAGCCCATTTCCCAACTTCCGGTGGGCCCAGAAGGCCCGAAAATCAGCTGGCCGGTACGCGCATGTGCACTGGAGCTGAACTCGGACAGCACTTGCGTGCCCACAGATATGGCTCCATGTGCCACTTGTGGCACGCGTGACATAGGTTCGCCAACACGGGTCTAGGATATGCCCAAATTACTCCCCCAGTGGGGGAGGGGGAATCCCCTTACTAGAAAGACCATGGGTACTCCTCCCTTCAATATGCCTGGGGTTTTGGTGCTAATCCTTGACATAACAACCACAACTGGGAGAATTTCCATTCTCTAATCAAGACAGTTCTGAGTGAGTTTTTGCCCCTTTCGAAGGCCTTTGCCGGGGTTGTTATGTGAATCACATGGTCGTTAAAAGAATCTGGTTTACCCCATTGTTTATGGGGAATTGTTTAGCCAGCTAGAATAGCTGCAAACGATGACCACATGAGTCCAGGACACTGCAGCCTTCATAATTACATGCCAGTTGCCAAGTGCCTGAATTTTGATCATCTGACCATGAGTCGTAAGTATGAGGACTGTCACAATTCACCACTGTCACTGGATGGCTCCATTATGGTCATAAGTCGGGGACTACCTGTAGAATTCATTTGTCTTTGTACCTCTTACTCTGCTCGTTTACTCTAATTGTGCAATTTCAAAAGTTCTGGGAACCGATTTGAGTCTCCATCCCAAATTTGGAAGGGGACATCATTCACACGGATTGTGGTTTCCTCTTATTGTAGGTGTGACGTTCTCCTCCACCGCGAGTGCCACGGACCCATGCCAGCCATGTTCCATATGCCCGAGACAGCTTCCCATCCGTGATTCCTGCACCGCGACTCGTGATACGCTTTGCGCCGCCACCAGCTGTCCACGTGGACATTACCTCGCGCCGGGAAACGGGACGCAGCCTCGAGGGTCCTGCGTTCCTTGCCGAGTGTGCGAGGAAGGCTACGGGGCGATCCAAGAGTGCAAGCCTGGCAGTGACACAACGTGCCAAAAATGCCCCGAGGGTTACTACTCGGAGGTGAAGAGCCCGTACGAGCCGTGTCTGCTTTGCCAACGAGAATGCGGACCGAAGGAAGTTATGATCCAGTCGTGCACCCCGTTATCGGACACCCTCTGCATGGGTACGTGGGTGCGCCATGGGAAAAGCTGGATGGGGGAGGGTCAGGATCCTTCCGGAGAATTCAGTGGGGGTGGAGGACACGGGCTGCTCGGCAGGGATCTACTGGATTCTGCAGACCTGTTCTGCCGAAGGATGCGATTGCATCTTCTCACAGCTGTACCGTCTTGTCTCTAAAGATTTGGGTGCTGTGGCGTGCAGGTAGTTCTCGACTTACGACCACAGTCGAGCCTGTAATTTCTGTTGCTAAGCAAGACAGTTGACAGCCCCATTTTACAACCATTCTTGACACAGTTGTTAAGTGAATCTCTGCCGTTCTTAAATTAGTAACTCAGTTGTTAAGTGAATCCGGCTTCCCTGTTGACTCTGCTCATCAGAAGGTCGCAAAAGGGGATCACGTAACCCCGGGACAATGCAACCGTCATAAATACGAGTCGGTAGCCAAGAGTCTGAATTTTGGTCCCGTTACCCTGGGGAGGCTGCAATGGTCATAAGTGTGAAAAACGGTCCGGAGTGACTTTTTTCAGTGCCATTGTAACTTTTGAACAGTCATTAAGCAAACTGTTGTAAGTCAAGGACTACCTGTATTTGGAAACTGGGCAGAAATTCTGTCAGGTTTTATGTACTGGTAGTCCTCAACTTACAACTGTCTGTTTAATAACTGTTCAGACTTACAACGGAACTGGAAAGAGTCATTTTCAAGCACTCCCTTTTCCAGTTTTAGATACTTGTGGATAGTAGTTGAATTACAACGATTCGTTGAGCAACGATTTGAAGTTGCAACGGCAGTGAAAAAAGTGACTTACGACTGATCCTCGTAGTTATGACTGTCGCAGCATGGCTAAGTCAGGTGGTTGTTAAAGTGAATCATGCCTGAATTTAGGGCCCTTTATGCTACGATTGTTAACCATGACTGGAGTCGTTAAAGGAAACAGGAAGTCGTTCAGCGAATACGACTTCCCTTGGCAGGTTGGAAGCTGGCTGAGAAGGTCACAAAAGGCGATTGTGTGACCCAGGGAAACTGCGCCACGGTGGTGTAGTGGTTAGAGTGCAGTACTGCAGGCTATTCCTGCTGACTACTGGCTGCCTGCAATTTGGCAGTTCAAATCCCACCAGGCTCAAGGTTGACTCAGCCTTCCGTCCTTCCGAGGTGGGTAAAATGAGAACCCAGATTGTTGGGGGTAAATATGGTGACTCTGTAAACCGCTTAGAGAAGGCTGTAAAGTACTGTAAAGTGGTATATAAGTCTAAGTGCTATTACCCTTCCTTCCTTCCTTCCTTAATTCCTTCCTTCCTTCCTTCCCTCCCTCCCTCTCTCCCTCCCTCCCTCCCTTCCTTCCTCCCCTCCCCTCCCCTCCCCCCTCCCTCCCTTCCATGGTGCGCAGTGATTAGAATGTAGTATTGCAGGCTAACTCTGCCGACTGCCAGTAGTTCGAATCCCACCAGGCTCAAGGTTGACTCAGCCTTCAATTCCTCCCGAGGTGGGTAAAATGAGGACCCAGATTGTTGGGGGCCAATAGGCTGACACTGTAAGCTGCTTAGAGAGGGCTGGAAAGTGCTATGAAGCGGTATATAAGTCTAAGCGCTGTCCTAAATCTATGCCAGTTTACCAAGTCCCCAAATTGGGATCACATGACCATGGGAAATGCTGCGATGGTTGTAAATGTGAGGACCGGTCATAAGTCACCTTTTTTCCATGCTATTGCAACGGTTGTAAGGCGAGGACTACTTTCATCTACAGAGGGTTATGTACTTATCGGTCCATAAGTAGATCTATTTATTTATTTAGATGTGCCTTGGGAGGGTTTTTTCCTCCGTATTTCACCATAAAAGCCCCCGTAATCTTGATCCATAGAAGATAATAATTGTAGCTCAGGGTTGAACTGGGGGGGGGGAAGGGTCCTTGGTGGGTTTCTTGCAGATGTTCCTCTAGACAACATCATCAGGACTAGAAGGGAGTGGGGTTTGTAGGGAGGAGGAGGAGGAAGAAGACTGTGGGGTCTTCGTTGCTCTCTGAATTCAGTTATTTTTTTGCAAACGTTTCATGACCCAACTAGAGAACATCATCAGTGCTAAAAGGGAGTGAGATTCCCTCTTATTTTTCTATACCAGTGACTTACCCAGTCAAGTTACTCTTGACCTTCTTGCCTTGCTCTCCCTTTTGGCCCCTTTGCACCCCAAAAACCTGGGGGCAACATGCCCCAAACTCGCGGTCAACCCGACCAAGTTCGCCTCCTAGAAGATGTTGAGGCCATCCTCCGACCCAGTGGAGAGATCTGAATTCGGATCCTCTTAAGCTTAAAGCCCTTTTCTTCCTCTCCCCTGTTTCTAGAGTCTCTTGGCTATTTTAGGGAGGATTTTCTGCTGTCTGTCTGTGTGTGTGTGTTGTGTATTTGTCTGCCTGCTAGACTCCTGCAGTTGCTGGTCTTCGTCATAATCTTCCTTTTGTTCCTGGTCCGTGTCTCTAATCCTCCTGGCAGGCGGAGGGGGTGGGGGGACGTGGGGTGGGGGTGGGGGAAGGACTCCCCCATAGACTGAGCCGGAAAGGGTGGGGCAGAGTGGTGAGTCAACAGACACACACACACACACACTCTCTCTCTCTCTCTCTCTCTCTCTCTCTCTCTCTCTCTCTCTCTCTCTCTCTCTCTCTCTCTCTCTCTCTCTCTCTCCTCTGCACAGACACATTCACGCTATTTGTCAGCTCTGGGCTGCCTCATCCTGTAACTATTTCCCGGCTGTGGGTGCACAGCTGGTGGGGGGAGATGGGGGGAGATGGAGGGTGGTAGGGAAGCACTCTTAAGCCTTGAAATGAGAGTTTCGTGTTTGCTTTGGGAGAGAGACGCACAATGGGGCAAGTGTCTGTTTTCAGCCGTGCTAAAAAAAAAAACACCCCAGGATCAACCAGATGCAAGAGATAGAAAAAACGGAGAGAAAGAAAGAGAGAGGGAGACAGAAAGAGAGAGAGAGAGACAAAGAAAGAGAGGGAGGGAGAGAAAGAGTGAGTGGGAAAAGAAAAAAGGAGACAAAGAGAGAGACAAAGAGGAAGAGAGAGAGAAAATTAAGAAAGGAAGAGGGAAAGAAAGAAATAGGAAGGGAGGAGGAGAAAAAGAGAGCAGAATAAAGAGAGAGAAAAAAGGAACAGAGAGAGAGAAAGAAAAAGTGAAAGAAAAAGAGAGAGAGACAGAAAGAGAGAAAGAAGGAGGGAAAGAGAGGAAAACAGAAAGAGACAGAAAGAGGGAAAGAAAGAGGGAAAAGAAAGAAAAACAGCGAAAGAGAAAAAGAGAGACAGAAAGAGGAAAAAGAAAGAAAAAGAGAGAAAGAGGGAAAGAGAAACAGAAACAGAAAGAGAGACAGAAAGAGAAAGAAAGAGGGGAAGAAAGAAAAAGAGAGAAAGAGAAAGAGAAAGAGAGAAAGAAAGAGAGACAGAAAGAGGGAAAGAGAAAGAAAAAGAGAAAGAGAGACAGAAAGAAAAAAAGAGAGAAAAAGAGAGAAGGAAAGAGGGAAAGAGAAAGAAACAGAAACATAAACAGAAAGAGAAAGAGACAGAAAGAGAGAAAGAAAGAGAGAAAGAGAAAGAAACAGGGAAAGAGAAACAGAAAGAGAGAAAGAAAGAGGGGAAGAAAGAAAAAGAGAGAAAGAAACAGAAAGAGAGAAAGAAAGAGAGACAGAAAGAGGGAAAGAGAAAGAAAAAGAGAGACAGAAAGAGAAAAAAGAGAGAAGAGGGAAAGAGAAAGAAAAAGAAACAGAAAGAGACAGAAAGAGAGAAAGAGAAAGAAAAACAGGGAAAGAGAAACAGAAAGAGAGAAAGAGAGAGAAAGAAAAACAGAGAGAGACAGAAAGAGGGAAAGAGAAACAGAGAAAGAGAGGGAGGTTGCAATTCTGTTTAATTTTTCATGTCTCAATTGCGTCATGCCCCAGTGCAAATACACACACAAAAATTCAGATTTTTCTCTTTTTTCCAAAAACTAAGCCTTTCACCAGCTTTCTTGCCTTGACGGCTGAGTGGAATCAGGGATGCTTTTTCAGAGAGCTACCGATGGGGAGTTGGGTTTTATTTTATTCCGGCAACCCTGCAAGCCGAAAGCTAGCAGAGCAGGTGGAGGCTTTGTAGAATCCACTTTTGGCACTTATTCCTATTTTAACGTGGCTACGAGCAGGGTGAAATGTTCCGATACAGGCAGTCCCCGTCTTACGACCCCAGTGGAGCCCAAAGGTTCCGTTGCTAAGCTAGACAGCTGTTTTAAGTGAGTTTTGTTCCACTTTACGACCTTTCCTGCCGTAAATTGTTAAGCGAATCACTGCAGTTGCTGCGTTAAGTCACATAAGGTTGTTATGTGAATCTGACTTGGCTTGTCAGAAGGTTGCAAAAGGGGGATTGTGTGACCCTGGGACACTGCAAAACCGTCATAAATATAAGTCAGCTGCCAAGGGTCGAAATTTTGATCACGAGAGCCTGGGAAGTCTGCAATGGTCGCACGTGTGAAAAAAACGGTCCTTTTTCAGTGCCGTTGTAACGTTTGAACGGTCACTAAACGAATAAGTTGTAAGTCGAGGACTACTTGTATAACCCTGATTTTGGTGGTCCTTAAAAGACCATCCAGCAGGCTGCCCTCAAAGGAACCCCTAAAATCGTGAAAAATTGCAAAACTTAAAAGCAAAGGCAGCCCTGTGGATTCAACGCCAAGCAACACTGATTTGAGCAAACAGAGAAGTTCACACTGTCAGAATTGCATTATAAATCTTGTTGACAAAGAAACAGTCAAATGGCTTCCCTCCAGAAGTTGCAAGTGCTTAAAAACACCGGAGGTTTTTAAGAAGAGAACGGACTGACCATTTGTCTGAAATGGGTAAAGTCTCCTGCCTGAGCAGTGGGTTGGACTAGAAGACCTCCAAGGTCCCCTCCAACTCTGTGATTCTTGTTAATTCAGTGCCCAGATCTACAGAATCTGATACCAGCAGCGAGGGAATCTTGCAATCCGGGCAATGCAGAATTCTGCTTCCCGGCTGGCTCCCAAGCACATTCCTGAATCTTTTGGGGTTTCCATCCCAGCCAGGAACTCACCGGTGTCTCTGTGCAGAGACAGATGTGTGCCAGATGTGTGGGAGAGGATGGAGGGGGGAATTAGGAAAAATGATGAATTCCTGATGTTTTTCTTCCTTGCCACCCCTAGCCTGGTTTTTTTTGCAAATGGGAAGGAGGGGGTCGATCCTCCCTTTGGTCTTTTGCGTTTGGAGAAATAATTCGGGATGTGTGTTTGGCTTCTACAGGCGGTCCTCGACTTATACCGTTCGAAGTTGCAACGGTACTGAAAAAAGGGACTTATGACTGTTTTTTTCACACTTGCAACCATGGCAGCCTCCCCATGGTCACGTGATCAGCGTTCAGACGATGGGCAACTGACTCGTATTTATGACGGTCGCGGGGTCGCGTGATCCTTTTTTGCGACCTTCCGACATGCAAAGTCAGTGGGGAAACCAGATTCATTATATCAGCTGGGTTTACTAACTTAACAACTGCAGTGATTCACTAAACAACTTATGGCAAGAAAGGTCGTAAAAATGGAGCAAAACTCACTTAATAACTGTTTCACTGAGCAGCGGAACTTTTGGGCTCCATTGGGGATAAAAATTGAGGACTACCTGTAGTTTGGTTTTTTTTTTTTTTTAAGTTTTCCAAAATAATTTGCAGGGAACACTTGTTATTTCTTCCACTTGAGTCTCTCTCCCTCCCACCCTCTTTCTCTCTCCCTCCTCCCTCTCTCCTCTCCCTCTTTCTCTCTCTCCCTCTCCCCTTCCCTTTCTCTCTTTTTTCTCTCTCTCCCTCCTTCCCTCTTTCTCTCTCCCTCTCCCTCTCTCTCTCCTCTTTCTCTCTCTCTCTCCCCTTCCCTTTCTCTCTTTTTCTCTCTCTCCCTCCTTCCCTTTCTCTCTCTCTCTCTCCCTCTTTCTCTCTCCCTCCCTCCCTTTCTCTCCCTCTTTTCTTCTTTCTGTTTCTCTCTCCCTCTCTTTCTCTCTCCCTCCCCTCTTTCTCTCTCCTCTCTCTCCTCTCCCTCTTTCTCTCTCCCTCCTTCCCTTTCTCTTTCTCCATCCTCTCCTCTTTCTTTTTCTCTCTCTCCCCCTCCCTCCCTCTTTCTCTCTCCTTCTCTCTCTTTTTCTCTCTCCCTCCCTCCCTTCTCTCCCTTCCCTCTTTCTCTTTTTCTCTCTCCTTCCCTTTCTCTTTCTCTCTCCCTCTCCCTCTTTCTCTCTCTCTCTCTCCTTCCCTTTCTCTTCTCTCTCTCCCTCCTTCCCTTTCTCTTTCTCCTCTCCCTTTTTCCCTCTCTCCCTCTCCCTCCCTTTCTCTCCTTCTCTCCCTTTCTTCTCTCTCCCTCCCTCCCTTTTCTCTCCCTTTCTCTCCCTCTTTCCCTCTCTCTCTCTCCCTCTCTCTCCCTTTCTCTTTCTCCCTCTCTCCCTCTTTCTTTTTCCCTCTCTCTCCCTCCCTCCCTTTCTATCCTTCTCTCCCTTTCTTTCTCTCTCCTCCCTCCCTTTCTCTCCCTCTTTCCCTCTTTCTCTTTTTCTCTCCCTCCCTCCCTTTCTCTCTCCCTCTCCCTCTCTCTCTCCCTCTTTCTCTCTTTCCCTCTCTCCCTCTTTCCTCTCTCCCTCCTTCCCTTTCTTTCTCCCTCTCCCTTTCTTTTTCCCTCTCTCCCTCCCTCCCTCTTTCTCTCTCTCTCTCTCCCTCCCTCCCTTTCTCTCCCTCTTTCCCTCTTTCTCCCCTCTCTCTCTCTCTGTGACCCCCCCCCTCCCAAAGGTGCTTCCAAGGCATCGGGGTTTGCCTTCCCCTAGTTTTAACTTTCCGTTTAATTTCAATTTTAATTGGGGCAGATAAAGAGCTGCAGATCCTGAAGCGGCCTGAAGGGCACCCCCAGAAGGACAATCCGAGAAGGATGGCGCCCCTAGAGGCGGAAGGCAGCGATTCCCACAACTCGTCCTCGAGTTTGTGCCTTCGCTGGTGGACGACCATCCCAACAACATCATCCCTGTCTACTGCTCCATCTTGGCCGCGGTGGTGGTCGGACTCCTCGCCTACGTGGGGTTCAAATGGTGAGTCTCCGGGGCGGGGACCCCCATCCTTATGGGACCCACCCAGCCGTCTTCAAATTCCCCTCAGGAAGAAATCTAAAAAAATACAGCATCCCTTTTCCCCCCCCCCACCTTGAGAGATGCTGCATTTCTCCTTTTGGGGAAATAAGATCCTTGGCCCAACCTCACCCCTCACGCTAAAGCTAGAATTAAGCTACAGAGTCCTCTACTTACGACCGCAATTGAGCCCAGGATTTCTGTTGCTAAGCGAGGCGTTGTTATGTGAGTTTTACCCCCATTTTACGATGTTTCTTGCCACAGTTGTTGAGTAAATCACTGAGGTTGTTAAGTGAATAACCGGTTGTTAAGTGAATCCGGCTGCCCCATTGACTTTGCTCGTTGGAAGGTGACCAAGGGCACTGGGACTGTCATAAATACAAGTCCGTAGCCGAGCGCCTGAATTTTGATCACATGACTTTTTGGGGACTCATATTTATGACGGTTGTAGCGTCCGGGGGCTCACAGGATCCCCTTTTACGACCTTCTGACCAGCAAAGTCAGGGGAAGCCAGATTTGCTTAACAACCACGTTCCTCAGTTGCAGTGATTCGCTTAACGACTGCACCAAGAACGGTTGTAAAATGGGACAAAACTCACTTAGCAAAGGAAATTTTCGCCTCAATTGTGGTCGTAAGACGAGGACTTTCAGTATTTAGCCTTTGAATCCCACCCAAGCTTTCCAACTTGCTCGTTCTCTCCACTCTCCCTGCCGGACTTTCATATACGCCCCACTCTTCAATTCCGCCCCCCATCCCCAGCCCTTCCTCCCCACTCATCCGTCTTCTGCTCACTGCTACATTCCTCTTTTCCACCCGTCCGGCCATCTGTTTTGGAGATGTCACTAAGAGAGGCTCTCTTTTTGTGCAGTGCTTTTTAAGAGTCAGCCAACAAAAGCAACCTCCGAGTTATAATTTTTTAAAAGTTCGACGCCGCAGCTACGTTCTACTGTAGCAAGATCTGGCTGTGATTTGGAGGGGCAAGTGGCCATTTCCACTTGAAGGGGAAATAGAGGGAGGGTCGCCAAATCACCGTCTCCTCCTGCTCTGATGCAGCTGGACAACCTGCAAGCAGAAGCACCAGCTCGCCAAAGCCCGGATGGGGGAGTTGGCATCGTCCCCCGAAGGCGAGAAAACTTCACGGAGACAGCGGAGTCTTCCTCGACACTCACAGCCTGCAGGAGCAGCACCCGTTGAATAAGGGTAAGGAGGACTTCGATGGGGAATTGTTTGGACTTGATTTTTTGGGGGGCTTCCCTATTCAGATATTGATCAGGCTGCTAGAGTCCAACCCCTCTTTCAAGGGAGGAGGAAATTAAATTAGGAGGAGGGAGGGAAGAGGGGAGGGAGACAGGGAGGAGAAAAAGAGAAGGAAGGAAGAACGTAAAGAAGGAAGGAAATAGAAAAGAGAAGGGAAGGGAAGGAAGGAAGAGAGAAAAAGGGAAGGAAGGAGGGAGGGAGGGAGGAAGTAGAAAAAGAAAAGGAAGGAAGAACGTAAAGAAGGAAAGGAAATAGGAAAGAGAAGGAAGGAAAGAGGGAAGGAAGGAGAAAAAGAAAGGAAAGAAGAAAGAGGAAGGAGGAGGGAGAGAGAGGAAGGAGAAAAAGAGAAGGAAGGAAGAACATAAAGAAGGAAAGGAAATAGGAAAGGGGAGGAAGGAAGAGAGAAAAAGGAAAGAGGAAAAAGGAGGAGGGAGGAGGGAGGAAGTAGAAAAAGAAAAGGAAGGAAGAACGTAAAGAAGGAAATAGAAAAGAGAAGGAAGGAAAGAGGGAAGGAAGGAGAACAAGGAAGAAAAGGAAGGAAATGGAAGGAAAGCAGAAAATGAAGGAGGAAGAAATGGACAGAGTGAGGAAGGAAGAAAAGGACACGAGGAAAGGAAGGAAGAGAAAGGAAGCAAGGAAGAAAAAAGGAAGATGGAAAAAAGGAAGGAAAGAGGGAGGAAGGAGAAAAAAGAAAGGAAAGGAAAGAGGGAAGGAGGGAGGGAGAGAGAGGAAGGAGAAAAAGAAAAGAAGGAAGAACATAAAGAAGGAAAGGAAATAGGAAAGGGGAGGAAGGAAGAGAGAAAAAGGAAAGAGGAAGAAAGGAGGGAGGGAGGAAGTAGAAAAAGAAAAGGAAGGAAGAACGTAAAGAAGGAAATAGAAAAGAGAAGGAAGGAAAGAGGGAGGAAGGAGAACAAGGAAAGAAAAGGAGGAAATGGAAGGAGAAAGCAGAAAAGGTGAAGGAGGAAGAAATGGAAAGAGTGAGGAAGGAAAATGAAAAGGACAGCGAAGGAAGGAAGGAAGAAAGGAAGCAAGGAAGAAAAAAAGGAAAGATGGAAAAAAAAGAAGGAAAGAGCAGCTCCATCAATCTGAATCAATTTCCTTCCCCCCCTTTCTTCCCCAAGCAGGACCCAGAGCCGACCCCCGCCTCTACAGCAACCTCGCCCACCCCCTGCAGGAGGAAGTAGAGCAGATGCTGGAAGCGCCCACCCCCTCTGGCAAAGACTGGCGCAGTCTGGCCCAGCACTTGGGCTACCCGGACGAAACCATCGAGACCATCGGCTGGGGGGAGGCCCCCGCCCACACACTGCTCTCCGATTGGTCGGCGCAGGAGGGGGCCACGCTGGAGGCCCTGTGCCAGGCCCTGACCGCCATCGAGAGGGGGGACGTGGTGGACCGTCTGAACGCGCCCCTGGAGGTCAGCTCGGTGGTGTGAACGCTCCCCACCACCCTCCGTTGCCGCTGGAACATCCAACCCTTAATTCTTGTCGTTCTGGAGTTTTTTTTGCTTAAAAATAATTTTAAAAAATAAGATTTTTAACAAGCAGGGCAGTGGATGAGGGATAGGACTTTGCTTTTGGGTGGGGGGAGGTGGAGGGGTTGGAAGAAAAAAAGGAAAATTTGGACAAATCACCAGGGAGGGCTGGATGGAGGTTACCGAGGTGCGTAGCAGGAGAGAGAGAGAGAGAAAAAAAAAACTACTATCAGTCCTCCAGGCATGTTCCTTCTCTGGAACAGCTCTTTTGGATTTCCTGGTGGTGCCCTATCCACACTGATTTAGTTTTTAGTCAAATGGGCCCTGATTGGTCAACCGAAGTCTCCCTCTTCCTCTTGCTCTCATTCTCTCTTCTTTTCTCCCATTCTCTACTCTACTTTCATTCTCTTTTTCTATCTGTTCTCTTTCTTTCTTTCATTCTCTTTTTCCCATTCTCTTTACCTCATTTTCTCTCCTGTTCTTATTTTCATTTCTTCATTCTCTCCCTCTTTTCTGTCTATTCTCTTCCTCTGTCTTTCATTCTTTCTCATTCACTGATTCTTTTTCTTTTTCCCTTCTCTTTCTCTCCCAGTCTCTTTCTTTCATTCTTTCTTCCTCTGCTTTCTTTTTCATTCTTTTATTCTCTCCCTCTTTCATTCTTTCTGTCTCTCATTCTCCCTCTCTCTCTCTTACACACACACACACACACACACACACACACACACACACACACACTGGTCATTCTCTGCATTGCCTTTTTGTCTCTGGTGGCCCTTTTGGCTAACCTCATGATGGGATCCTAATCAGGGCTGAATCCCGAAGTGACCGTCATCAGATGCTGGACCCAGGTTGACTCCCAGCAGAACATGGCTTAACAAACCCAGTTTGTTACCCAAACAAGCTCCCGGATGGCTTCAAGCGTTGGCTGGCTGGGCTTGTCCACACAACTGGACCCACATTCCCACAAGATGCTGAACCCTCGATCTCCCCCAACCTATTTTCACGGAATCTGAGCCCAGCTGAGGCTCTGCGGCTGACGATCCACTTTACAGAGAGGATGGACTTCAATCACAGGGTCATGGCTGCCATTTTGACTTATTTGACCTCTCCTGGCTGCCACAATTTGCTTCCTGTGGCTTCATCCGGCCAAAACATTTCCGCAGGACTGAGTTTTCCCTTGAATTTTATTATTATTCCCACAAAATGAGACAAGCTGCGTTGGGCAAGCCATAAATCATAGTTAACTGATCAGAGTGGCTGTGATCACCAACCTTATAAGCCAAGATTAAATTGCGGATTATGGATTATCTTGGTTTACCCAGCACTCCACAATGGTGTTTCTCAGCCATGATGGGTGGATTTCAACTGCCAGACACAATTTTATGACTGTCATTAAGTGAGTCACCGCAGTCCTTAAGCGAACCCCACCCTCATAAGGGAAAACATTTTACGCAATGGGTGTTTTTTGCTGGAAAAACCAAAAAAAATGTTGCAAAGTGTGATCACATGACCATGGGATGCCGCAACCGGTCATAAATGTGAGACAGTTGCCAAATGCACGAAATGCAATCACAGGGCTGGTTGTCATACGTGGTTGCCTCAAAATGAGCACACAAACCTAATAAATAAGTAAAATACAGGAAGTCCTCTACTTATGACCACAGTTGAGCCCAAAATTTCCATTGCTAAGATGTCGTTAAGTGAATTTTGCCCCATATTACAACTTTCCTTGCCACAATTGTTAAGTGAGTCACTGGAGTTGTTAAGTTAGTCACACGGCCGTTAAGTGAATCCAGCATCCCCATTGGCTTTGCTCGTCAGGATCGCGTGGCACCCCCGGGGGAGACGGCGACTGTCATAAATATGACTCAGTTGCCAAGTGTCTGAATTTGGACCATGTGACCATGCAACGGTTGTTAAGTGTGAAAAATGGTCATAAGTCACTTCTTTCCATGCCATCGTATGTTCGGTCACTAAAAAAAAGGTTGTAAATTGAGGACTGCCTGTAACTTAATGATCCTGTAGTAACTTTGAACTTTTAAGTGACCAGGTCATAAACCGAGGACCGCCTGCCGAGAGAAGAAAGATGCTGGTATTTTTTTCGAGTTAATAAAATTAACTTCCCTTCTGTAAATAATCCTGGAGTTTTGAAAGAGAAGAATTGTAAATATGCAAACTATTGTTGTTTTCACAATTCTACTGTTTAAATAAAGTTTTGATTGTACAAGAGGTAGAAGGAAATCGTTCCGGGGGGTAGGTGGGTAGAGGGATTTAAAAGCAGTTTTTGGTGTCTTCCCAAATAAATTAAATTATCCTGCGTCTGACCGGATGCTCCCAGAATTCCCCCCAGAAGCTCTCCAGGAAGTGCCAGAATCTTCTAAGGGAGGGCCGGAATCGGGGGTGAAATCCAACAGGTTCTGGCGAACTGGTAGCGGAAATTTTGAGCAGTTCGGAGAACCGGCAAATACCACCTCTGGCTGGCCCCAGAGTGGGGTGGGAATGGAGATCTTGCAGTATCCTTCCTCCAGGAGTGGGGAGGGAATGGGGATTTTGCAGTATCCTTCCCCTGCCACGCCCACCAAGCCACGCCCACCAAGCCACACCACGCCCACAGAACCGGTAGTAAAAAAAATTGGATTCCAGCAGGAAAGATCTTAAAGTCACGTCCAGCAGCAGAGATAGGAGGTCTCGCCTTTCATCCCTTCCCTGCAAGGTCAGTTTCCGGGATTCCCCCAGCCATCCAGCGTGTGTGTGTGTGTGAGTGTTTCCCGAACGTTGTAGAAGTGTGTGGCCTTAACAAAATGAATGCACACCGAGGGAGGGAGGGAGGAGAGCAAAGAATGAAAGGGAAGGAAGGAAGGAGAGGGAAGAATGAAAGAAAAGGGAAGGGAGGAAGGAGGGAAGAATGAAAAAAGGAGAAAAAGAAGGAAGGCTGGACAAAGGAAGGAAGGAAAGCAGGAGAGAAAAAAGTGAAGGAAGGAAGGAAGGAAGGAGAGATTGAGGGAAGGAAGGAAAAGAAAGAAAAGGGAAGAAAGTATGGGAGGGAGAAGGAAAGGAGGGTGGGAGGAAAAGGAGAAGGAAGGCAGGAAGGAAGAAGAAAGAGTGACTGGAAGGAAGGAACTTCTTCCAATTGCCAGAGAAAGTTTGGGCTCAATGTTGGTCATAAGTCGAGGACTACCTAAGTATTAGATAATAGGGCAAGGTTGACCAAACGGGGTAGAAGAAATAACTTTTCGCTGGAATATTTCCAAATTTGAGAGTTGACGGAATTGCTGGAACTTCACACGGCCAAAGGAGATCAAAAAAGTCAAGATGGAGCAGAGGATTATTCAATGGAAGCTCTGATCTGTTTGTATCGATAACGTGCCGGAATTTGTGACTGCAATTGGACGCGATGGGCTTTTTGGTTTGATTTCGGGAAAGGCAGAAGAGCTGAGAGGGAGACTTGGAAAAACCTCAGGGTGAGCCAGATGCCAACTGGGGAACTTTGGTGGGCTGTTAAGAAATTAAAACTGCTAAACTGAGCTCTCTGGGAGGCTTGCCAGTATTTTCCAGATGTTCCACAGATGTTAATTTATCTTTACCTCCTTTCCTCCTCTCCTCCCTTCTCTTGCTTCCCTCCCTCCTCCTTCATCCCACAATACCTCCCTCTCTCCCTTTTCTCTCTCTCTCTCTCCCTTTTCTTTCCTTCTTTCTTTCTCTTGCTCTTCCTTTCCTTCCTTTCTCCTCCTTCTCCCCTCAGTCCCACAATCCCTTCTTTCCTTCCTTCTCTCCTTCCCTCCCTTCTCGCAACTATCCCAGCTGACTTCAGGAAAGTGGTGGGAGGGGAGGGAGATTCACTTAACAACCATAGCAACCCACTTAACAGCCATGCAAAAAAAGGTCATAAAATCAGGTACAGCTCCCTTAACAGCCTCCCTTATTTAGCAATGGAAATTCTGGTCCCCACTAGCTAATTTTTTTTTTTTTTAAGATTTGCAACAGGGTGCTAGCAGGATTTCTTCTGGGAGGCAGGGCATCCAGGGGCCACCAAGTTACTCCAAGAACAGGCATGATGCCAACTGAGGGGATGGTTGTTAAGGGAGGCATCCTGCAGCACCGGACAAAGGGATATTTGGATGCCAGCAACGTCCTTCCTGAAGTGCTTTTAATTGCCTTGGGATAACACGATCGGTTGGGCTGAGCTGGCGCTTCCCTGATAATCTCAAGGGGAAATCCAGATTGTGTGGCAATAGCCGTCAGGGCTGGCTGGTACCTAATGGCCTGGTGCAGACATGTCCTTCCTGGGGTGCTGGCTGCTTAGAAAGCCCCGTGGACGTGGCCTTGAGCATCAAAGAGGGGAACAGCGGAGAAGCATCTGTTGTTGATATGGAAGGAGATACGGGAGAGGAGGAGGAGGAGAAAGATTGTGGGTTCTTTGGTGCTCTCTGAGAGCCAGGTGGTTTCCTTGCATATGTTTCATGACCTAATTAGGGAACATCATCAGTGCTAGAAGGGAGGGGTTGCGAGGAGGAGGGGAGAGAAGAAGAAAGGAGAAGAGAAGAAGAAAAAAGAAGAAGGAAGAAAAAGGAGGAGGAGGAGGAAGAGAAGAAGAAAAGAAAAAGGAGAAGAGGAAGGAGAAGGAGAAGGAGAAGAGAAAAAGAAAAGGAGAAGAAGAAGAGGAGGAAGGAGAAGGAGAAGAAGAAAAAAGAAGGAAGAAAAGAAGGAGGAGGAGGAGGAGGAAAAGAAGAAAAAGGAGAAGAGGAAGAAGAGGAAGGAGAGAGGGGAGGAGGAGAGAAGAAGAAAAAGGAGAAGAAGAAGAGGAGGAGGAGGAGAGAAGAAAAAAGAAGAAGGAAGAAAAAGGAGGAGGAGGAGGACGAGAAGAAGAAAAAGAAAAAGGAGAAGAGGAAGGAGAAGAGAAGGAGAAGAAGAAAAAAGAAGAAGAAAAAGGAGAAGAAGAGGAGGAAGGGGAGAAGAAGAAAAAAGAAGGAAGAAAAAGAAGGAGGAGGAGGAGGAAGAGAAGAAGAAAAAGAAGAAGAGGAGGAAGGAGAAGGAGAAGAAGGAGAAGAAGAAGAAGAAGAAAAAAGAAGAAGAAAAAAGAAGAAGAAGAAGAAGAAGAAGAAGAAGAAGAAGAAGAAGAAGAAGAAGAAGAAGAAGAAGAAGAAGAAGAAGAAAGAAGGAGGAGGAGGAGGAGGAGGAGGGGAAGGGGACTGGGCTCCTGGGTGCTCTCTGTGGTTGGTTGTTTGCAGATGTTTAATGATCCAGCTGTGTCAGGGCTAGAAAGGTGAAGGTTGAAGGCTATTTGGCCAAAGGAAAGCGCCAGAACAACAGCCCGTGGAGCACTCAGTAGGGCACCCCACAGGAACCAAGGGATCCCCCGGACACTTGACCAGCGAACTTTCAGAATTTCCCATCCGCCATGACTGGCTGGGGAATTCTGGGAATTGCAGAGGTTAAAGCAAAGCTGCTTTGGGATCTCAGCTTTGAAAGCTTCCCCTTCCTGGTCAAGGGGGGTCCCCAAGGGTAACCGAATCAGCTGGGGGGGGGAGGGGGGGCGGTGAAGCCATCTCTCTGTCCTTCAGCCTGCCTCCTGGTCACCACCCTTTTGAGGAGCCTCCAGCAGAGGAAACCAGAACCCTTGCCGTCCCCTTCGGAGGGAGTGGGGTGCGAGCCCCCTCCCCTGATGAGGTAGTTGATCAGCTGGGAACCGTGGGAAGGACAATCCGGAGGGCGCCAGGTTGGAGAACGCAGCCCTCTGTCTGAGGCTTTCCTGGGCAAGAGCCTCATTCAAGGCAGTGCAACTCTGCCACCTGCAGGCCATGCTGGGCATGGCATGCAGGCCGGCCCACTTAGGAACACAAGGACTTACAACTGTTTTTCACACTTACGACTGCTGCAGTATTCCACCACCCCCCGGTCATGTGATCAAAATTCAGACGCTTGGCAACTGACTCGTATTTATGACGGTTGCAATGTCCCAAGGGTCACGTGATCCCCTTTTGCGACCTTCCGACAAGCAAAATCAATGAGGGAGCCGGATTCACTTAACAACGCTGTTGCTAACTGAACAACTGCAGGGATTCACTTAACAATGGTGAAAAGAAAGGTCATGAAATGGGGCAAAGTTCACTTAACAATCATCTCACTTAGTAGCAGCAATTTGGGGCAGCACTGCTGTCGTAAGTCGAGGACTACCTGTGATTACATGTAACTCCACCCATGTTGAAAGATCAAAGGTTGTTAGAGGGAGGGACTAGAGGGAGTCTTCGACTTACGACGGAACGGAGCCTGCCCTTCACGGCTGTTAAGTTGTGACAGTCATCAATGGCATCACACATATGACCAACTTGATTTTACAACTTTGGTGATGGACATTAAGCGAATGGGGCCGTGTTGCTGAGAGCCCAAGGTGTGTGTTCCCCCGACGATTGTAAGTTCGAATCCAGGGGATGGGTGCCCTCCAGGTAATCCATCATAACTTTGGATGGTTGCTAGGCAACCAGTCACAAGTAAAGGACCGCCTGTAGGACATTTTCTTTCCCTACTTTTGTTTTGACTTTATTTATTTATTTATTTATAAATAAAGTTTACAGGCCGCCCATTTTACCTCAGGGCTACTCAACTTCCCGCGAGGGGGAGAAAAAAAAAAATCCATTTTTTCCACATTCCTTCATTACCATTTTCTTTAATTTTTTAATTTTTTTTTTTCGTTTTACATAGAAACTTCCGTAAAAATTGGAGAAATTAAAATGATTTCAAAGCAGAAAAATCAATCTTATCAACAGACAGCCAAGGCCTGCCCCAAACAACGAGCTGGCCTCTTTGCAAATATTTACATGATAACAGATGAAACCTTTGCAAAGAACAATGGGGAAAAAAACAAAAAACTGGGGGGGAAAAAAACCCAAAAAATGGAAGGGAGGGGGGGAAAAAAAGAAGAAGCAACCCCTCCTCTTTTTTTTTTCCTTTTTTGTTTTTTTCCAAAACTATTCTTACAAAGTGTTCCCATGATATCAACAGGTGTTGGGCTGCAAAAAAAAAAAATAGAGGCCGGGCCAAACGAAAGAGGGGAAAAATAATTCAATATATTCACATAAGAATATTATACAGATCTCGGTGGGGAGAGGGGAACGGACTCAACACGTTGTGTCACACATGGGAAGCACCACCGGGTGGTCAGTTTTGGGGTCTGCTTGCAAAGTGAGGTGGCTTGTGAGCAAGAGGGGTTGTGCAAGCACATTTTGCGCTCCCCCGTTTCTGCCACACCGGCCTCCAAATTCAGCTGGGAAAAGGAGAAGGTTTCTGGGGCCAAAAATCTGTGTTTTGTATATTCGGGCCCACAACGGTTTGAACTCTGCCCAGACCCTAAAAACTTTAATATATATATATATGTAAACCCTCCTACTCCATGTCGGTGTCTTCTTTGGGTTTGTACACGGTGCCGAATTTCTGCATGTATTTCTTGATGTATTCCTTCGTTTTGTGTTTGACGTTCTCGTTGCATTCGAGGTCTTCGGGCGTCTTGCAGTATTTCAGCTCCTTGTTCATCACACCGTGGGTGAGCTGAGAGGGGGAGTGAAGAGACCCACAGAATATTATATTTGTGGCTCAACTCTGGGGTCCTGGATGCTCTCTGAGCTGAGACGTTTCGTGACCCAACTAGGTAACATCATCAGTGATAGAAGGGAGGGTGGGATTGCGGAGAGGAAGATGAAGTTCTCCCTCACCCTGTTCTCCTTCCTTCCTTCCTTCCTTCCTTCCTTCCTTCCTTCCTTCCTTCCTTCCTTCCTTCCTTCCTTCTTCCCTCCCTCTCTCCTTTCCTTCCCTCCCTCAGCCTTGGTTCCTTTCACACTCGAGATTATCATTTCTCCTCCTGATTTTGCAGGCAGAATTTGGATCCCCCCCTGTGAGCGTAGTGGGGCAGATGCATTTTCCCCACTCAGGAAGGCCACTGAGATTTGTCTCTAAGCTTCTGCCTGGGTTGCTCATTGCAACCACAGGAGTCTATCAATAACAGAAGGAAGAAAAGAAAGTAGGAAAAGAAGAAAGAAAGAAACAAAAATTGAGGGAGGGAGAGAGGGAGGGAGGAGAGGAAGAAAGAAAAAAAGAAAAAAGGAAAGGAAAGGAAAGAAGGAAGGAAGGAAAAAAGGAAAGAAGAAAAAGAAAAAAGGGAGGGAGGAAGGAAGGAAGGAAAAAGGAAGAAAAGGGGAAAGAAAAAGAAGAAAAAAGAAGAAAAAAGAAAGGAGGAGAAAAAAGAAAAGAAGGAAAGAAAGAGAAACAAGAAAGGAGAGAAAGAAGGAGAAAAAAGAAAGAAAAGAGAAAGAAAGAAAAACAAAAAAAGAGAGAAAGAGAAAACCTGGGCTTAGGAGTCTGACTCCCTTTGCCCATATAACACCGAGGGGGGGTGGAGGGTGGGACCACTAGGCCTGCTTGTCTTGGACATGTCCTGAAGATCTGACTGCTCACCTTTCGTGCCAGATGCTTGAAGTCCTCCGTTGTGGTGATGCGCCCCACTTTGCAATCGGGTTTGCGATAGGGGTTCAGGCATTGCACGATAAACTGGGACATCTGGTGGGGGGGAATAAAGAGAGGCGATGTGAGACCTTGTCCGTTAGGAAATACACAGGCAGTCCTGGAGTTATGACCGCAACTGAGCTCAAAATCTACGTTCCCAAGTGAAACGTTTGTTTTGTCTCGTTTTATCACCTCGCTTGCTTAGAGTTGTAAAGTAAATCACCGCAGGTTATTAAATTAGTCACGTGGTGAGTTCTAGTCCTGCTTTAGGCATGGAAGCCAGGTGGGTGACTTTGGGCCAGCCACTCTCTTTCAGCCCAGCCCACCTCTCAGGGTTGTTGTTGTGGGGAAAATAGGAGGAGGAAGGTGCATTAGGTCCGTTCGCCACCTTCAGTTATCGATAAAAATACTAACAGCAGGATATAAATATAAAATAAAATAAAACAATAAACTAAAAAAATAAAAGAAATAAAAAACAAAACAAAGCAAAAAACGAAAACAAAATATTGAAAATAAAATTGAAAACGAAAACAAATCACCTCTTTACGGAAGACTTCTTTGCTCTTCTTAGCCAGTTCGCTGGAAGTGTCTGCTTCAGCAGTTTTGGGCTTTTTGGAAGACTAGAAAAAGGCAGAGAGAAACAGAGAATTATTATAGGGGAAAAAATGTTATATTTTGCAAGTAAGGAAAGGGTCCCCCCCCCCATCCCCCAGAGGAAAAGGCAACTGAGAAGCCAGAAACTTTATGATGGTTTGCTTTGGGAATTTATTTATTTATTATTTATTGATTTTATGCTCCCCGTCTCCCCTGTCAGGTGACTCTTTAGTCAGAGTTACTTCATTGCTTATTCTTTTATTTGCATTTTCCATTTTTTTTCTGCATCTGGTTACAACAACAACTTCAGAGGAAGTGTAACTGGAAGCAAGACAGGGGAAGGCTTCTGTGACTCAAAACAACAGAGTATTATATTTGTAGTTCAACTGTGAGGGTCCTGGTTGCTCTCTGAGCTGAGACGTTTCGTGACCCAACTAGGTAACATCATCAGTGCTGGAAGGGGAGTTGGGGGTGGGGAGAGTTGAGGAGGAAGAGAAAGTTCTGGTAATCAGATGGCCGAAGTTCAATGGCAAGCAGCAGCTGTCCAACCGTGGCATCTTTAAGACCAGTGAACTTCAATTCCCAGAATTCCCTGCCAACCTTACTGGGCTGGGGAATTCTGGAAGTTGAAGCCCACCAGTCTTAAAGCTGCCGAAACTGGAGACCCATGGTTTAGAGAGTACCTTTCAGGATTTATCTGAGAAGTTCTGTAATTATATTTTCTCTACAAGGAGATTACCCATAATCCTCAGTTTACGATGGGTCTGCTTAACGGCCACTCAAAGTTATGACAAAACCTCTCAAGACCTATTTATGACTCGTTTTTCAACACAAACACCTACAATGACTGTACTTTGAGTGCTTAGCAGTTTGCAGTGGTGCTGCAATTAGACACAAACCGTGATTTGCATCTTTTTGGGCCAGTGGTTTCCGGTAAAAAAATAATGCCCGTTAGGAAAAACGGATTCGCTTAACGAATGCAGACTCTGCTTAACAATGGCAGTGTTTCACTGAATGACCACCACATTTGTTTAACATCCCTCATAAAAACCCATCGTAACTTAGAATGTGTTCAGGTGATGCCTTGACTTATAATGGCAACAACTGGAATCTCTTCTTGAACTTATGACCGGGCTAACTACCTAGCTATAACTCAGGTGGTTATATTACCCAAATAACTAGCTATGGAATGCACAGAGATGCTACCACTACAGGGTAGTCCTCGACTTGCGACCGTAATGGAGTCTCCCCATTACGGTCGTAGGTCCCAATGGTCATATAAAACAGGTCAGCCACATGACAATCCAATTTTCTGACTTCTTTGTGGTGGGGCTCGCTAAGAGTGCAATTGTGCCAGAAGTCGGAAGTCACCGCTAGTTTTCGGGGAAAAACCGTCATAAAACATAGGTCCCATGATTGCAGAATGGGTGGGGAGGGCATCAGAATTGGGTTTGGAAATACCTTTTGGGGGAAATCCTTTGTAAATCCGAGTACTTTCCTGCTTAATTATTTTTTAAAAACATTAATTACTACCGGTATTTTAATTTATTAATATAAAACAATAAATGTATTAATTTGTTAAAAAAAAATTTTTTTAAGTAAGTCTCCATCATCTGCAGCTTCTCCATTTCTGATCAAGCGTAACTTTGAATCTGGGTCATGTGTTCCCTATTTCGGGTCCTTTGTGCATTCGAACGGTCGCTAAGTGTTCTGGTCGTAACTTGAGAGCGACTTGGATTAGAAAATCCACGCAATGCCTATCAGGGGGAGCTTCCCTCCAACTCACTTTCATGGGGTTTTCATCGTACGTCGGTGTGCCAAGATCCATTTCGGCTTCGTGCTCCAGGCTGGCATCATCTTCTGGGCTGTCCCAGTTGGGGGGGTCCCATTGGGTTTGCCTGCGCAAAGAGGGGTGTCAGTCCTGGACCCCACCCCAAATCAAAACCTGAAACCCACACCCCTGGGGATGGTTGGGGTTTTCAGGAACAGGCCCTGCCATATGGCCAATGTCCACAGCGCTTCTTTCCAGGCCAGAGGCCTGCCTTACCTGGTGACCACATGGTAGTAGTAAATCTTGCCCTCCGGATCGCGGGCTGTTTTCCAGTTCGGGGCAGGACGATGGTTTTGGGCTTAGGGGAGATGGAGGAGGCAGGTCCAGGAGATTGTTGGCCACCACCAATTCTGGCTGAAAGGGAGGGAAGGAAGGAAAAAGGAAGGAGGGAGGGAGGGAGGGAGGGAGGGAGGGAGGAAAAAAAGTAAAAAAAGGAAAGGAGAAGGGAAGAGAGAAAAGAGAAAGGGGAGGGTGAGAGGAGAGAAGGAAAAAAAGGAAAAAAGGATAGAATAAGAGGAGAGGAGAAATGAATCTGCAAAGCAATCATCTTCAAAAACTTCAATATTTCTAGCCTGTTTTTATACTTAACGTAATTTTCTGAGTATAAGACGCACTTTTTCCCCCGTAAAAGAGGCTGGAAATTTGGGTGCGACTTATACTCCGAATGTAGCTTTTTCTAAGCTTTTCTTTCCAGCCCTAGTGAGTGAAGAGATCTTCCGCGCTTTGCCTGCTTTTCTCATTGCTTCTCTCTCTGACAATCAGGTGTGCTTTAGAAGCTGTTTCTTATCCCCAAGCAAGCAGGGGATAAAAACCAGCAAACTAATGTGCTGAAGCTGACTAGACTAAGGACGCTAGCCAGATGAATACCCTGGTAGGTAAATTTCCCCCACCCTCCCATTTTCCTCCCCCAAAACTAAGCTGCGTCTTATATTCCGAAAAGTACGGTAAATAGGACAGGATTCTTGTTAGTAATATTTCCCCTGCTGGGAAGTGTAATCTGAGACACATACCATTAATGGAGTGTTTTCAACCTTGGCCCCTTGAAGATGTGTGGCTGGCTGCGAAATTCGGGGAGTTGAAGTCCACACAACTTCAAGCAGTCAAGTTCAGAAACACCATTGTAAAAGGGTCCTCGTTTAACAACTACTCATTCGGCACCCATTTGAACTGATCACAGCGCTGAACAAATACTAACGACCCGACTCCATACTTCCAGCCATCACGGTGTCTCCAGGGCCACTTGTGACATTTCCTGCTGGTTTCCAATCAGCAAAGTCGAAGCCGGAAATCGGAACTTCCTGTCGCGTGAGGTCCTCGTTTAACAGCCCACAAAGTCCTTGCTTAACAACAGCAACTGAGATTGGTGAAAGTACCCTTCCTAGCATGGTTTTTCAACTTATGAACGGCGCAATTTCCAGACCCAATTACCACTGTTAAAACGAGGACCACCCGTGCGAAAGAGAAAGGCTCCTGCAAACAATTTCACGAGTCTGATGGCACCACGACATGAAATGAACAAGCTTCTTCCCGTCTCTACCTGTTGGATCGGTGGGGGCTGCCCAGTTGTGACAATAGTGGCAACAGTGGCTGTGGGTTGCACCACCACGCTCGGAGGATGGGTGGTGTAAATCTGTTGTCCTTGGATGTACTGAAGACTTGGCTGGGCGTAACTCTGCAACAAAACAGAAGAGCCATTTCCAAGGATTACTCTGCGTACATATTGCCCTCCACTTACGAAAATTCATTTAGTGACCGTCCAGTTACAATGGCACTGAAAAAAGCAAATTTATGACCGTTTTTCACAGTTATGACTGCTGCAACATCTCCAGGGCCACATGATCAAAATTCAGATGCTTGGCAACTGACTCATATTTATGACGGTCACAGTGTCCCAGGATCACACGATCCCCTTTTGTGACCGCCTGACAAGCAGTCAATGGGGTAAGGTGGGTTTGCTTAATGACCACATGACTCACTTACTGGCAGTGACTCATTTAACAACAGTGGCAAAAAAAGGATATAAAATTGGGCACAATTCTCTGAATCCCCCCACCTTGCTTAGCGATGGAAATTCTGGACACAATTGTGGTCATAAGTCGAGGACAACCCATAGATGGTCTCAACAAGTTTTGGGCAGTCCTGTTTTGAGCGTCTCCCGCAAAAAGACCGCCCTGGCGGAAGACCAATTCTGCCGTAACTTCACCTTGGCGAGATTACCTGCACGATCGGCGGCGTGGTCTGAGAATAAGGCGAGGTGACTCCGTAGACGGTCGGGCAGGCCTGTCCTTGGTAATAGATGGTGGGCTGAGACTGGGCTGGAGAGTAGGGGGGCTGCACCGCCACGGTCGTCTGGCTGGAGTCCCAGACGCCGTAGCTTTGTCCCTGGACTGGACCAGGCGCCGCCACGGGCAAGACAGCCACGCCGGGCTCCTGGTGAACCATAGGGTCACTCGGGGCCACATACTGGGGCGTGGACACCTCCAGGGGCGTTCCTACGTGCTGGACCACAGGCACAGGCTGTGAAGTGGCCAGGCTGGGCTCCATGGTGTGGCCCACCAGAGTCTGCGAGGGCTCGTACGAGGCTGGCGAGCACATAGACTCCATGCTGGGGGTGGGAAGGAGCACCTTGCCGGCATTGGGGTTGCTGGGATCTACGTAGGCCTGCATTGGGTAGCCTGGGGGGTACCCCATAAACGGGGGGTGGGAGGCCCCGTAACCCAGGGAGTCGTACGGCAGGGGGGATGCCATGCCCAGGCTCTGCAGCTGCTGCTGCTGCTTCTGTGCCTCGCGCTGGGCGACCTCCTGCTCGAAGAGTTTCCTCCGTTCTTCGGTGGACAGCTTGCTGCGGTCCTTCAGCCGTACCTTCTTCTTCGAACTCGTGGCCAGCGTGTCGTAGCTGCGGAGAGAGAGAGAGAAAACGGGGCTAAGAGTCCCGATGTGAGATGGCCATGTATAACGAATCAGGTGGGACTAGAACTCCCCAGCACCTAGCCAGCAGCATATCCACAAGACCAAACCACCCTGTTCAAAAGTTTAAACAGCTTTTGGACTCTGAGACACCTTAATTCAAAGCAAATGCTTTTAAAATAAAAAAAGAAGCCTCTGATGATCACAGCTGAATAGCGTGACCGTCAGAGCCTTTTTTTACCTTTTAAAAGCATTTTTTTACAACCTATTCACCAGAATATTCACCCACCCAGTCACATTATCCCCCACGAAGCCACGCCCATAGAACCGGTAGTAACAAATTTTACATTTCACCACTGATTTTAGGCATTTTTAAATTTTGATTCTTCCCAGCACAAGCATTGATTCCTGTTGGGTGCTAGCCATTTTATTCCTTTTTTTTTCAATCTGCTGTTTTTAGTATTAAAAAGAATCTTCACAAGGATTATTTTATATTTTCTTAGGACAGCTGTTTTGAAGCATGGGCAGCATAAAATAAAAAGGTTTTAAAAATGAAGTAAAAAACCTTTTCAACCTTTTTTATATGCACCCCTGCAGGTAGTCCTCGAGTTATGACTGCAATGAGGCTATTCGTTGAGTGAGGCTGTTGCATGCATACCTCACTTAATGACTGCAAAGTCGCTGCCCGTTGCAGTCGTTAAGCGAGGCACCTATGTGATCGCCTCGCTCAGGATTGCTGTGTTGGCCCTCCCATTAAACAAACGGTTGTAACTTTGAGCATTGCTTGCCAAATCCCTTCGTTCAGCGCGGTCACAATTTCTGCCACCAAACAAATGGCCGTAAGTCGAGGACTACCTGAAAACATTAATGGAAAAGTGGACTGAACCCTTCCCAACTTGCCGGTCATCCGGTCGCTTGGTGCCTCGTTCATAGGCCGACGGGGGGGACAAGGACTCCCTCCGTTTCTTCTTCTCTTTGCTCTGCCTTTCGGGATCCCGTTCCCTGCTCTGGTTTTTGGGGGTGGCTGGAGTGTCTCGGCCCACCGCCTCTCTCCCATGATCTGGCAACAGAACAAAGGTGGTTTACAGAAGGGACATTTCATTAACTACGAGGCCAGATCTAACCAGAATTGGAAGACAAGGAAAAAAACAAAACAAAACAAAAGGAAAATTAATCAAACTGGCCAACCTTGTGGTGAGGTGGGTGGCAAAACAACAAACAAACAAACAAACAAATAAATTTCATAAAACCACATTTTTTTCTTATCTGGACAGTTCAGAATAGCAATAAATAGGAGAATAGTGTTTAGAAATACTAATTTCTCTCTCTCTGTGTCCTACATTTCTATCTTTCTTCTATCTATCTATCATCTATCTATCTATCTATCTATCTATCTATCTATCTATCTATCTATCTATCTATCATCTGTCTCTCCCCTATCATCTATTTGTCTGTCTGTCCATTCTCTATCTCTCATCTATATTCTTTCTCTTATCTATCTATCTATACATACATCCATAATCTACCTACCCAGAAATATCTGCCTGTCTATCTATCCATCCATCCATCATCCATCCATCCATCATCCATCCATCCATATTTACCTACCCATCCATTACCTACCTACCTACCTACCTACATCCATCCCAATCAACCAGTCAATCAGAGGCCCATTCCCCTTCTCTTCCACAATGGTCACAATATGTCTTCCAGCCTCGGCTGTGAGTTTATAAATTAGCGTTTCACCATCTTGGCTGCTTGAAGATGGGTGGACTGAAATGCCCAGAGTTATGGGAACTGAAGTCCATCCATCTTAAAGCTGCCAAGGTTAAGAAACATTGGTCTCTGGAAGGCTTCAAAAAGCACCGTCTTTGCATACATACCGCTGCTCTCCTTTTCGACTTGACTCTTTTTCGGGATCCGGTAGACCTCCTGCAATTAAAAACACCAAAGCCTAAGTAAAGATCAGCTGCACATTTAAGCCATCCAATATTATTGATATGATATAATACGATATATATGAAATATAATATAATACTGTAATGTAATATAATAATATATTATAATATTTAATGTAAATAATAGAAGTGTCAGGGTTCCAAGTAATGCCCCCAACGAAATAAACCTCCAAGGCTAGAAGTTCCTCAAAGTTCCACTTTATTAGAGATGTCATATTGTCACAGCTGGGAAAAGCCGACTCTGAAAGCTCCCAGGTTTCCCCCACCCAACAGAAAGTTCACATCCCTGCCCAGCAGCCACATGTCCATCACACGGCCCAATCAGAGCACCGTCCCCACTGGAGAGGCCTCCCAGTTCCAGCCCTGCAGGTACAGGATAAGAGGTCCTTGACTCTCTGAGACAGGAATGTTATTATGACTATATCTCACCCATGCTGCATAAAATCCCCCCCCCCAGCTTCCCACCGTAGGAAATGTGGCAGGCCTGAAGGCCCAACGCAAAAGATATCTGCCAGGACTGACGACAATAACACGTCATAATACAATTATCATATAATGCAATATAACAAAACATATAATAAAAGTTAACAAACATCAACAGAGTCAATGATTATACAAAATCAGAAAGAATGGAATTCTTCTACGTGCAACCCTTGCCAAAGTCAAAAATACTGTATTCACCCCCCCCCATTTCAAAATCTAAGCTTGTCCCTAATTCTTCTTAGTTCATCTTTCATCAACCTGGTGCCCACCAGAGATCGTGAAGCCCACCTGCCGTCATCCACAGCAGAAGTGACATGCTGGTTGAAGGACATGGAAGTTCTACCTCGTGTACAGGGTATATTTATGAGCCAGCATGGATAAGGAAAGCGTGATTTGAATTAAGCCAGGAAGTCATGAATTAAAACCCCAGGTATGAGGGAGGAACATCACCCCACTTGTGGGCCCCGTCTCTTAAGGAGGTCCACCTGGGGGGAACCAGAAGAAGGGCCTTCTCTGTGGTGGATCCCTCCCTGTGGCTTGAAGGACCCTCTTTCCCCAGTTACATCCATAAGTCTATGGAGATTCTGAGCCATCCAGGTGATGGTTGTCCCAAAGGTGCTTTTTCAGGAGGCCACTGGACTTTTCTTGGTTTTTTTTTCCTTTGAAGACCTTTCGCTTCTCATCCAAGAAGCTTCTTCAGCTCTGTTCTTCAGGTGAAGAAGGTTCTTGGATGAGAAACGAAACGTCTTCAAAGAAAAGAAGAAGAAAAGCCCAGTGGCTTCCTGAAAAAGCACCTTTGAGACAGTTACGTCCAGAGCAGGGAGGCAGGAGATGTCACAGGTCCCTTCTCTTAAGGAGGTCCATCTGATGGACCCAGCCTTCCCTCCCCCAGTGGGATATCAACCCTGAAGAGATAAGACTGGTGCCCACATTGACATTTTTCTGTAGGTCTCTGAAAGCATGGTTTTCCCAACAGGCCTGGAGACCCCAGGGAGATATGCAGCCCGTCAAGTTGTTGTTGGGGATTTATTGAAGTATTATTTCTGTAAGGCCATTGAGTGAGTTGAGTGGCCATTCACGTTTTTTAAACAAATACATAAACTAATGTGTGCATGTTATTAAACAAAACCATTAATGCTTCTATTGTAGTACTACTTTCCCTAATATGCCTACTGCAATGCTGCTTTCAAATACAGGCAGTCCTTGACTTGCAACCATTCGCTTAGTGATCAAAGTTACAATAGTCCTGAATAAAGGGACTTAGGACTCTTTTTCACACTTACGACCGTTGCAGCATCCCCAGAGTCACGTGATCCAAATTCAGATGCTTGGCAACTGACTCATACTTATGACGGGGGCAGTCTGTCCCAAGGGTCACGCGATCCCCTTTTGCGACCTTCCGACAAGCAAAAGTCAATGGGGAAGCAGGATTCACTTAACAACCTTGTGACTAAGCAAACAACTGAAGTGATTCACTTAACAACTGTGGCAAAAATAAGGTTGTAAAATGGGGAAAAATTCACTTAACTACTGTCTTGCTTAGCAATGGAAATTTTGGGCTCAATTGTGGCCGTACTCTGAGGTCTACTGGTAGTAGTTAAATCTGTTAGTCCTGCTTAAAATTTATTACAAGCTAGGGTAGAAAATATCAATATTATAATTTACTAGCTGGATAGCCATACTCTGCTGAAATTATGTGATTGGGCTTGATGAATCGACACTTACAGCTTGAAAATTAATGAGTAGTTTCAATCAACCTCTCCTCTCTCCTTCTCTCCCTCAGCCTTGCCCCACAGAAGCCTCTCCTCTCCTATCGTATCCCACTTCTCTCCCTCAGGCTTGCCTTACAGAGGCCTCTCCTATCTTATTCCCTTCTCTCCCTTTCAGGTGGGGAGTAGAACGTCTAAACTCCCAGCCCTGCAGGCCAGTCACACGCTGGCCACGTCCACATCCAAGTGGCAGTTGGAACAGAGTTCTTTTCAGGTAGGGAGGGGGAGTAGAACATTTAACTCCTTAGCATCAGAGCGTGTTAATAATAATATAAGAAATACTTATTATCTGATGGTCTTTTCAAAAAATCCTTTCTTAGCGAGCACCTAGAAGCCAAGAGGAACGTTCGTGCCAAATTTCAAGTTCGTAGGCTTTACGGTTCTGGAGATTTCGTGATGATGCGTGAGTGGTATTTTGCTTTTATATATATATAGATAATTAATATGAATCAGTTCCCCAAGATCCAGTGGAGATTATAGTTAGTTGCATGAAAGTATGAACACCAGGGAGGCCTAGATAATCAATTCCGTCTGTCCACATTGAAGGGCCAAATAATATTTTTTCTCCCTTCCACGGAGGCAGGATGGAAAGGTTTTTAACCAAGTTTACTAAGTGTGAAAAGTAAAAGAGAAATTCTCAGACACGTAAGAGATTTCAAGGAAAGACTTTGCGAGCAAAAATCCTGCCACCCAGCCAAACTGGGGAAAGAAAAAAAATACTTCCCACGGTCTATGAGAACAATTTTGGAAAAAGAACAAAAATAAATAAATTCCCCAACTTTTTGCTGTTGCCTTGCATTAAAAAAAAGGACGATGCAAAAAGAGCACAAAATGTCCCTTTGTTTTCATCCTTTTCTCTTTCCCTCTGTTACACACACACACTCAGTGTGGGGATTGGGTGTGGTTTCAGACTGCAAGATTGTAATGGAGGCTTCCCATTATGGTAGATGTTGAGGGTTGTAAAAAGTTTTTCCTTCTTTCTTTCTTTCTTTTTCTTTTCTCTTTCTCTTTCTTTCTTTCTCTCTCTCTCTCTCTCTCTCTCTCTCTCTCTCTCTTTCTTTTTCTTTCTTTCTTTCTCTCTCTCTCTCTCTTTTCCTTTCCTTCTTTCTTTCCTATCCTTCCTTTCCCTCCCTCCCTTCCTCCTTTCTTCCATGTCACTGGCAAGCAACTCCATTTTCTGAGTCCATTTGTGAGAGTTGTTAAGAGAACACCATGGTCATTAAGTGAAACCATGGTTTGCTCTCAGGCCAGTTTTGCCAAAAATCAGAGGCAGCAGCCAGTTAGACAGTCCTATGACCACGGGATGCTGCAAATAGCCCAGGTAAGAAGCACCTGAAGTGCCACCACATGACCATGGGATGTGTATGTGCGCACAACTGTTGGAACTTCAAATCTGGGGTATAACTAACTCCCTCCGCCCATTTTGGTTGGTCATTAAGTGAAGCATCTGTTCACAATGGGCCAGTTTTGCCAAAAAAAAATGCAAAAACATCTTAAAACAGACATGACTGTGGCACACTGGAAATGGTGTAAGTAACCCCCAGGTAGGTCTGTCAGAACTTTTGACAGGTAGGTACGGGACTGGTTGTAAGTCGAGGGCCGCCTGGATTGGTGGCATAAAGCCAGATGTTGAATTTTTCTATATATATATATTTGTTCTTGTTCAAGTTTCAACAGGTTTAGTGAGAAGCAGAAAGCAGGGGTCAGTTCAGTTCAGCCACCCAAAATGTAGAGTAAGGGATTCGGGCAGTCCTTGACTTATGGCCACAAGGGAGCCCAAAATTTCTGCTGCTAAGCGAGAGTGGTTGACTGAGTTTGGACCCATTTTACCACCTTTCTTGCCGCAGCTGTTAAGTGAAGCACAGCATTTGTGAAGTTAGCCACACAGCTGTTAGGTCAATCCGGCTTCTCAACTGAAGGGAGTGACAAGGGAATCCGGCTCCCCTTGTCAGGAGATCGCAAAAGGGATCACGTAAAGCCCCCACCACCACCACTCCCTGAGATGCTGCGACCGTCGTAAATATGAATCAGCTGCCAAGTGTTTGAATTTTGATCACGGGACCACTGTAGTTGTCATAAATATGAGTCAGTTGCCACCGCAACGGTTGTAAGTGTGAAAAACTCTTTCCAGCACCGTGGTAACTTCAAACAGTCACTAAATGAACCATTGTAAGTCGAGGACTATCTGTAATTCCCTTTTCTGTGCCATCCTGGACTATGTCTTGTTGGTCAATAGGACAGACCATATATATTAATCCTTGATGCCATCAAGAAAGAACATCAGTAATTAGGCTCCCTCCCTCCCCTCCCGTAACTTCTGTTCTGGGGCGACAGTATCTTCACCCTAACAATAAAGATCATCCTTGACTTACAACCATTCATTTAGTGACCGCCTGAAATTAAGACAGCACACACACAAAAACAGGACTTATGCTTTGTCCTCTCACTTACAACCACTCCACCATAGGATCAAAATTCATGTACTGGCAACTGGCGTATATTTACGATGGTTCTAGCGTCCTTGGGGTCCAGTGACTCCCTTTTGTGACCGTCCCAGCAGTTTTCCGACAAGGAAAGTCAAGGGGGGAGGAAGCTTGATTTGCTTAAAGACCGTGTGATTCACTTAATAACTGTAGAGATTTGCGTAACCACTATGGCGCAAAAGAGTGTAAAATCGGCCCCAACTTATTTAACAAGCGCTTTGCTTAGCCACAGAAATTCTACTCTCAACTGTGGCTGTAAGTCGAGGACCACCTATTATCTATATAAACTTCCAATTATGGGAAAAATGCTAGAAGTTTAGAGGTTTAATACGCCTTGAAAATGAAAAAATGACCCAAGTTTTTTCCACCAGCAGAGTTGAGATCTTAATCATGAGACCATGTATTTGCATGCTACGGAGAAAATTTTATTATGTTCTCCCTTCTTAAGGCATGCTGGCTGGGGGATTATGGGAGTTGAAGTCCTCCTTCTTAAGGCACGCTGGCTGGGGGATTATGGGAGTTGAAGTCCTCTTTCTTAAGGCATGCTGGCTGGGGGATTATGGGAGTTGAAGTCCTCCCTTCTTAAGGCATGCTGGCTGGGGGATTATGGGAATTGAAGTCCTCCTTTTAAGGCATCCCTGCTGGGGGATTATGGGAGTTGAAGCCCCCTTCTTAAGGCATGCCAGCTGGGGGAGATTGAGAAGCAGTGCTTAAGGCACCTGCCTAGAAACCAGGAGACTGGGATCAACCCAGTTCTAGTCCTGCCTTATCCACAAAACCAATTAAGAGATGATCTTGGGCCAGTTCACTCATCTGAGCCCTAGGAAGCAGACAATAGCCAACCCTTTCTCAAATGCCACCCCCCCACCCGCAAGAAAACTGTCCACCACTAACTCACAATCGCAGCCACAAAATAAACCTAATGCAAACAGCATGAAACTAGCTTGAAAATAATGGCTAAAGGCTGCTCAATAGATCTACATTTATTTAACTGATACCTTGTAGATAATGGAAGCAAATATTTATGGAGGCCCCTCTGGCTCTTGGGCTTCGGGATGGTGGGACGGCGGTGAAGAATTTCCAACCTGGATAATGTTCAAGGCAAGTCACCATTGTCAGTTTTGCCAATTTGGAGAGGTGGCCAGCATTGGAACCATTACTCACCCTACCGTAAAGACGTTGGGCGCTTTCCCGCAGGGATAACTTCGTCCGTCTTTATGCAAGACTTACCTGTCACTCATACATCCCCAGTTCCGGTTCTTCCCGCGAGCCCACGTAAACAAAGGCGATGATGGTTTGTTTAGTGCAATGATGTCCGTTTTCAGCACAGGGAGAGCCATGCACCTTTTTCCATTACGGGCGGGAAAAAGGGTGCATAAAACCCGTGCTGAAAACGTACAGTTTTGTTTTGTTTTTCGGGTCTGTGTGTATTGTGCTGGTCTGCGAGGTGGATTCTGTGTCGGATGGACCCTGGCTTGGGTTCGAGGCCTTCCCGCCAGCGAAGCCTTCGAGGCGCCAAGGCCAAGGCGATGGTGGTGTGTGAAGAAGTACGCGTGGTGTGTAAAATAAAACGAATAGCTCACACGATCCGGCTCTCCCGCCAGGGATAAGGGGGTGCTTCCCCGAGCGTCGTTGCCGGACGCCCCCAAATTTACGTCAGCCTCAAAGAGTTTAGCCACCTCTGTGCTTTCATTTTTCCGACCTGAATTCAGCCTATCCCTCATACATCAGGCAGCTTGCCAACCATCTCGTTGGGATTTTTTTTCTCTTCCACGGGTTTTTCCATTCTTCGGGAGGACGGAGTTGAAAATGGGAGTTGTGGGCCAGCTGGGGATGTTAAGGAGCTCCTTGCTGCCCTGAGAAGCTGCATGGAAATGGTTGCAATTACTACGAGGGCTCAGGATGAAGAGGTTTGCGGGGGGGGGGGAGGACGTGGCTTTGAAGTCCCACCCACCCACACAAGGAGGCTTCCGAGGGACGGCTTGGAAGGGTATGAACAACACGTCGCTTCCAAGACCCTCAGACTCAACCCTCCAGTCCCCAGAAGTGCCTTTCTTTCCAAAGGGCAAGTTTTGGAAATTTCTTGTTTTTTGTTTTCCTTGAAAATGTTTTCCTTCTCACCCAAGAAGAGTCTTCCGTTCTTAGACAAGAAGCCAAAGATTTGCAAGAAAAAAGAAAAACGAAAGCGAGAAAGTCCAGTTGTGTTTTGGGAAAAAAAGCACCTTCCCTTGAGGACAGCCATGACCTGGTGGACGATGATGGAGAAGCTCCATACACAACTCCACCCTACGAACCTTCTCGCTTTCAGATGTGGTCATCCAACTGAGTTTTCCTCAGATAGCTTTTTGTCGGGTCATTAAAAAAAAGGAATAAAATAGGCTGCCTATGAGTACAGGTAGTCCTTGACTTACGACCAGAATGGAGCCCAAACATTTCCGTTGCTAAGCGAGGCAGCTGCGAAGTGAGCTTTGCCCCATTTTGAAACACTCCGTGCCACCGTGATTAAGTGAATCACTGCAGTTGTTAAGCGAGTCACACGGTTGTTAAATGAATCTAGCTCCCCCCCCTCACTATGCATGTCAAGATGGTTGCAAAAAGGGGTCACCTGAACCCAGGATGCTGCGACCGTCATAATTATGAACCAGTTGCCAAGCGTCCATATTTTGCCATCACCTGATCATGGGGATTCTGTGACGGTCATAACGGGTGAAAAGAGGTCCCAAGTCACCTTTTTTTCAGTGCCGTTGTGGCTTTTGAATAGTCACTAAGTGAACGGTTGTAAATTGAGGACTACCTATATCCTAGCTTTTCATCTGATCAAAAAAGAAAAAAAGAAAAAGAAAAAGATAAGTAGGTGGTTTATCAGTAGTGCTTCCGACCTCGGATCAAGTTAAAAGAGACGTTTTTCTGAGGGTCAAGGGACCATCTTGGAGGTCTTCTAATCCAACCCCTTGGCCAAAGCAGGAGTCCTTACACCACCAATTCATTTTCCCCAGGAGAAACTGCGACTGTTGTCTAGGGCTGTGAAGGTGCGTAGGCATGCACGCAAGCACAAACGTAAATTGACCACAAGAAGACAAAGCAAAACCCAAACAAACCCAAACAAACAAACAAAACAAAAAACGAAAAGCAGTTGCCCTTAATTTAAAGCTATCGACACAGGCTGGACAAGGACAGTGAAATGCCCAGGTCTGCCTCATATCATTCAGGATGAATGGCTGTCCAATGTTTTAGAACCTGGAATCAAGGGCTGGAAGGGACCTTGGAGGTCATCTAGCCCAACCCCCTGCTCGGGTAGGAGATCCTATTCCATTCCAGACAAATGGCTGTCCATTCTCTTCTTAAAGACCTCCAGTGATGGAGCACCCACAATTTCTGGAGGCGAGCTGATTCATCACACTGATTAATAGTTCTCGCTGTTAGGAAATTGCTCTTTAATTCTAGGTTGGATTTCTCTTTAATGATCTTACATCAAATTCTTGGAAAAGTCAGACAGAAGCAGCTAACTCTTAATGCCATGACAACGGATAGGAGAAGCCTGATATCGCCCACACGTGGCAATATAAGATATTCCCACACGTGGGAACATGAGAGTATAAGATTTCAGATACATGGCTGGCAATGCACGGAGATCCTGCATTGGAGATCTTGTTAATCCATATATCCAAAATCAGCCCCTTAAAACCTTTCTGAATGCAGCTATGGGATCACCAGAAGTGTAAACTGGATTTAGCTTTAACGTCTGAAATGGTAACCTTGGGTAGAGAATGATTCCAGAGCTGGCCAAAATTTGAGCCAAGAGCCAGAGGTACCCCGAAAAGGCAATGAAAAACACACACAAAAAAAAACGATCTTAGCAAATATATGCATTTTTCTCTCCTTGGCTTCATACCAAACTTAAACTGTCAATTCTCAAGCTTCAATGTCATTAAACTGCTTTTAGATCTAGCTTTTCCCCCCTTCCCTCTTCCTGGCCCAGCCATCAGGGCATAGGCTGACGCATGAAAAACTGGGACACGAACTAAACACACATGGGTGACCGTTAGGCGCAAACAAAGCCCCTCTCGTTCGAAAAACTATACTTTAAGCAGCGAGGTTTTCTCCCTAAGGCACTTCATGTAAGAAAGCAGCCTGTCCCAAACTCACAATAAATTCTACTTCAATCCAGATAGGATGATGGGTACAGGGGATCCCTGAATACAGAATAACCAATATTCTAGATGTACCCTCCCAATATATATGTATGTATGTATGTATATGCATACCGTGTTTCCCCGAAAATAAGATCCTTTCTTTTATTTTTTTTGAACCCTGAAATAAGCGCTTGGCCTTATTTTCAGGGCACGTGGAGCAAGATGGGCTCCTCTTGCCATCTTACCTGATTTCCAGCTCTGCGTTTAAATATTTTTGGGGAGGGCTTATTTTCAGAGGGAGGCTTATTTTAGCACATGTGCTCAAAAGCCCCAATTGGGCTTATTATCATGGGAGGTCTTATTTTCAGGGAAACAGGGTACATATATACTATATATACCCGCACACACACATACACAAATGCAACTAAGAATAAGAAATAATGGATTACACCAAGGTATCCCTTCTTCACTTACTATATAGAGCAGCATTGCTCAACCTTTAAGAGGGGTTCAATTCCCAGAATTCCCAATCCAGTATATTTTGACTCATCTTAAAGCATGATGGCTGGTGGATTCTGGGAGTTGGGAGTTCTCCCCTCTTAAAGCATGCCAGGTTGGGGATTCTGGGGACTGAAGTCCACCCCACTTAAACTTGTTAAGGTTTAGAATTACTGCTATGGAGATTTGTAACTTCTGAAAAATAAAAATCGAAAGAGAGGATCCAATCTCCCTACATCTTTCTTTCTTTCTACAGCGGTTTTCCCTTTCTTGGTTTTTCAAGCACTCCGTTTCTTTTCTGTGCTAAGTTACTAATAACTCAGTAACAATAACATCTCCAGCCCTCTGGGTAGGCCGAACCTTTCTAAACTATTTGCTATTCTTGAAAATGCAAAACAGGTTTCTAACATCCTTCAAATTCTTTGCAGGAGACCGTGTTTGATGTCCTATGGGCAAGAATTTGATTACATGACGGATAAATTTCACTTTACAGGTAGTCCTCGACTTACAACCATAATGAGGCCCAACATTTGTGTTGCAAAGCCTGACAATTTTTAAGTCAGCTTTGCCCCATTTTACGACCTTTCTCGCCATGGCTGTTAAGTGAATCACTGCGGTTAAGTTAGTCACTTGGCTGTTAAGTGAATCTGGCTTCCTGCTTG